TCACTACATAGTATGTGGTGTAGTAGATAGTGTAGACTTTTCTATTGACTTTGATAGGTAGTGTATGAAGTATGTACCTGATACCGACAGGTGGGCCGGTCTCAAGTGTGTATCTGATACAAAACAGTGGGCCCATAGTATGTAGTGTAGATAAGTGTAGACTTTTCTATTGATTTTGGTAGGTAGTGTATGAAGTATGTACCTGATACCAACAGGTGGGCCGATAGTCCAAAGTGTGGAGTTTGCTATTGCATTTGATAGGCAATATACAAGAGCTATATATATATGTATGATGGAAACAAGTGGGCCGAGTGGGCAGTGGTACTGATATATACAGATGGGCCGAAAGTGTTCATAGACTAGCTTCCATAATATACATGCCAAGACCACCTCGGTCAAAGGACATTCGGTCAAATATGATGGATGAGGGATTACCAGGAATCGATCCATAATATAAATGCCAAGACCACCCCGGTCAAATACACTCGGTCAAATACAACTCGGTCAACAGACATTTGGTCAAATATGATGGATGAGGGATCTACCAGGATCCGATGCATAAGATACATGCTAAGAGCACCTCAGTTAAATATGACTCGGTCAAAAGACACTTGGGTAAATACGACTTGGTCAAATAGGACTTGGTCAAAAGACACTCGGTCAAGAGACACTCGGTCAAGAGACACTTGGGTAAATACGACTCGGTCAAATAGGACTTGGTCAAAAGACACTCGGTCAAGAGACACTCGGTCAAGAGACACTCGGTCAAGAGACACTTGGGTAAATACGACTCGGTCAAATATGACTCGGTCAAAAGACACTTGGGTAAATATGACTCGGTCAAATATGACTGGGTCAAAAGACACTCGGTCAAGAGACACTCGGGTAAATGCAACTCGGTCAAAAGACACGGGTAAATACGACTCGGTCAGAAGACATTGCTGCATGAAGCCATTCGGCGGTCGTGGCACCTGCATGATGGTGCCATTAGGCAGGGTGGCATAGCCATTCATAGGGATGTGGTAACTACTGAGTGGGACAGATACCGGAACGTGCTGAGACTCAGCCTTGAGACGTGCTGGTGAGCCAGTCTGATTGGACTGGGGAGGTTCCGCAGGAGGTGACATCTGCATGTCTGTCGGTTGATGTGCTGTGCCATTGAGAGTCGTGGTGGCAATGCCATTGGGTGGGGCGATCAGCCTGACCGAGTGGCCATCTGGTGTAGGAGTGCCAGAATGGTTGCCGTTGGCTCCGTTCGTGGAAGCGGCGGTGCGATGAGGGGAGGACTGCTGAGCTGAAGACGATGGCAAGAAGATATTGGTGAATTGTACGAGTTGGTGAAGTTTCAGTTGCATGGAATCTCATCGGCATGCGTGATGCAGCAACCGAGATCGGGCGATTGGTCATATGGAGTATAAATCGGTCAATTCTGAAAAGACAAGAAACTGAAGGATACTGTGCCAACTGCAACACATGACCGAGATACACTCTGCCAACTTGCTGTCAGTACTTATATCACAGGAAAGAGAGTGAATATACATGGAATCAACGGCCAAACAATTGCATTTGAAAGTAAATAATACAAGTCCGTGATATACTGGGGTAATTCTGCTGATGGACGCATGCTCTATGTACAACTATGTATTGAGCCGAATGATCAGGGGAGAGACTTTGCGGCCACATACTGCAGTCACTTTACCCTTGATACTAACAGCCAGCTGAGGGTGAAAATTCCCTGTTCCAAACAGGCCAGCTGATGTGGGCCCATCAATGTACTGTTCTGTTAAATACAGGTGGGCCCATAGTATGTGGTATAGGAAATAAGTGTACACTTTTCTATTGAATTTGGTAGATAGTGTGGTTGTTAGTATATGAAATATGTACCTGATACAAACAGGTGGGCCGGTCAAAGTGTGTTTGTGATAGCAACAGGTGGGCCTATGGTATGCAGTGTAGGGTGTAATAGATAAGCATAGATATTTCTATTGATTTTGGTTGATAGTGTATGGTAGGTAGTGTATGAAATATGTACCTGATACAAACAGGTGGGCCGGTCAAGGTGTGTTTGTGATACCAACAGGTGGGCTGAGTGGGTCAGGGATCTGATATATCAGATGGGCCGAGGATACTGGTCAGTCAATGGGGGTCGGTCAGTCAATGGGGGTCGGTCGGTCAATGGGGGTCGGTAGGTCAATTTGGTAGGTCAATGGGGGTCGGTCAATGGGGGTAGGTTAATGGGGGTTGGTAGGTCATTGGGTCGGTTGGTCAATGTGGGTTGGTCAATGGGGGTTGGTCAATGGGGGTTGGTCAATGGGGGTAGGTTAATGGGGGTCAGTAGGTCATTGGGTCGGTCGGTCAATGAGTCAGTCAGTCACAAAACATCGGTCAAGATATGGCCGAAATTGAAAAAATCGGCCGAGGTATGACCGAAATCAAAAACATCAGTCAAGATATGGCCGAAATTGAAAACATCAGCCGAGACATGATTGAAATGGCTGAGATATGACTGAAGTCAAAAACATCGGTTGAGATATGGCCGAAATTGAACACATTGGCCGAGGCATGATTAAAACGGCCGAGGTATGACCAAAATCAAAAACATTGGTCGGGATATGACTGAAGTCAAAAACATTGGTCAAGATATGGCCGAAATCCAAAAACATCAGCCAAGACATGATTGAAATGGCCGAGATATGACTGAAGTCAAAAACATCGGTCAGGATATGACTGACCAAAATCCAAAACATCGGTCTAGATATGGCCGAGATTGAAAACATCGGTCGGGATATGGCCAAAATCAAAAACATTGGTCTAGATATGGCTGAGATTGAAAACATCGGCTGAGGCATGACTGAAATGGCCGAAGTATGACAAAAATCAAAAACATCGGTCTGGATATGACTGAAATCCAAAACATGGGCCAAGATATGACCAAAATCAAAAACATCGGTCACAATATGGCTGAGATTGGAAACATCGGCCAAGGCATGACTGAAATGGCCGAAGTATGACAAAAATCAAAAACATCGGTTGGGATATGGCCAAAATCAAAAACATCGGTCGGGATATGACTGAAGTCAAAAACATTGGTCTAGATATGGCCAGGATTGAAAACATCGGCCGAGGTATGACTGAAATGGCCGAGATATGTCCGAAATCAAACACATCAGTCAAGATATGACTGAAATCAAAAACATCGGCCGAGATATGACCGAAGTCAAAAACATCGGTCAATATATGGCCGAAATCCAAAACATCAGCCGAGGCATGATTGAAACAGCCGAGATATGACCGAAATCAAAAAGATTGGTCAAGATATGGCCAAGATATGACTGAAATCCATTCCTAAGCTTATTTGGAGTGTATATATTATATAGCCAGCCCAGGACACACATAGGATCCTTCTACAGGAACAAAATGATAGAAATCGCATTTTTGGCATTTTTGATGTTTTTCAGTATCTTACCCTTGCACATCTGATCAACCCTGTTCATATATCATGAGAATAGTATATATACCTCCTTTCATGATGAAGATCAGTTCAAAATAGGTTGTTGGTTTGAGATACTGCATATGCTTGCTATTTCTACTGATAAGAGATCAATACCTTCAAATCATCAAAATTTAATAATCAGAAACTTGGAGTACATTCACAATATATTCAGTATCATATGTATAAATTTACAGAACAATCCAACAAGAATTGAATGCTGAGGAAGTGAAATAGATAAGAAATTGAGTGTGAGAAAGCTCAAGGACCCAAAACATCGAAAATAGTCAGTTGAGCAATAGTAGGGCTTTAATGCTAGGTCAACACACATTTACACTACATCCCTTCCACTCACCCCCTACCCTCAGGGCAGTAGGTAGTATGGGTTCCTTAGGTAGTTTACGGTCTATCCTACATATTTTTAATGAAATCTTCAACTTGAATTATATATAAATGTGACTTTGTGCAGTTGCCTACCTGTTGCAAAAACCAAAAGACCACTCCAGGATCAATTTCAACTGATCATTTTGGACCCAGTTGCCTTCAAATGGGTAGTACTCATCTAGGCGAACACCTTGGTGGTCTAATCTTCAACAATGGTTCAGATCTGAGAAAGTTATGAGCCATAATTCAGATTTCAGTCACATCTCAGCCAGCCAATGTCTTGCGTTTATTTAGCTTATATCTCGGTCAGATGATAACCGATTGACATAATAAGACTATGGATATAATCGCCTTTACTGGGGCTACAACTGTTGTTAACAATGTGAAGCATAAAAACAACTTTCAGCCAGCCGATATTTTGGATCTCGGTCATACTACTTAGATCTTGACCGATGTTTTTGACTTCAGTCATGTCTCGGCCGATGTTTTTGATTTTGGTCATATCCCGACCGATGTTTTTGACTTCAGTCATATCTTGGCCATTTCAATCATGTCTCGGCCGATGTTTTGGATTTTTGTCATACTTGGGCCGTTTCCATCATGCCTTGGCTGATGTTTTCAATCTTGGCCATATCTAGACTGATGTTTTTGATTTTTGTCATACTTTGGCCATTTCAGTCATGCCTCGGGCGATGTTTTCAATCTTGGCCATATCTAGACCGATGTTTTTGATTTCAGTCATATCCCGACCAATGTTTTTGATTTTGGCCATATCCCGACTGATGTTGTTGATTTTTGTCATACTTCGGCCATTTCAGTCATGCCTCAGCCGATGTTTTCAATCCCGGCCATATCTAGACTGATGTTTTTGATTTCAGTCATATCCTGACAATCATGTCTTGGCCAATGTTTTGAATTTCATATCTTAACCGATGTTTTTGACTTCAGTCATATCTTGGCCAATGTTTTGGATTTCGGTCATATCCCGACCAATGTTTTTGATTTTTGTCATACTTCAGCCATTTCAGTCATGCCTTGGCTGATGTTTTCAATTTCGGCCATATCTTGACCGATGTTTTTGATTTCGGTCATATCTTGGCCATTTCGGTCATGTCTTGGCTGATGTTTTGGATTTTTGCCATGCCTCGGCCGATGTTTTGGATTTCAGTCATATCCTGACCGATGTTTTGGATTTTGGTTATATCCCGACCGATGTTTTTGATTTTTGTCATATCTTGGCCATTTCAGTCATGCCTCAGCCAATGTTTTCAATCTCGGCCATATCTAGACTGATGTTTTGGATTTTTTTCATACTTTGGCCATTTCAGTCATGCCTCGGGCGATGTTTTCAATCTCAGCCATATCTAGACCGATGTTTTTGATTTTTGTCATATCTCGGCCATTTCAGTCATTCCTCGGCCGATGTTTTCAATCCTGGCCATATCTAGACCGATGTTTTTGATTTTTGTCATATCTCGGCCATTTCAGTCATGCCTCGGCCGATGTTTTCACTCTCGGCCATATCTAGACCGATGTTTTTGATTTCAGTCATATCCCGACCAATGTTTTTGATTTTTGTCATATCTCGGCCTTTTCAGTCATGCCTTGGCTGATGTTTTCAATCTTGGCCATATCTAGACCAATGTTTTTGACTTCACCATTTCAATCATGTCTTGGCCGATGTTTTGGATTTTGGCCATATCTTTACCAATGTATTTGACTTCAGTCATATCCTGGCTGATGTTTTGGATTTTGGTCATATCCTGACCGATGTTTTTCATTTTTGTCATTATCTGTTGCCATCAGCCCATTTAATGGTATCAGCTCCCATTGGCCGACCTGATTGCATCAGCCACCACATTCTATTGGCCCATCTGATAGCATCAGGTATTCATTGCCATCAGCCCATTTGATGTTATCAGCTGCTATCGGCCGACCTGATTGCATCAGTCACCACATTCTATCGGCCCATCTGATAACATCGGGAATTTGTTGCCATCGGCCCATTTGATGGTATCAGCTCCTATCGGCCCACCTGATTACATCGGCCAACACATTCTCTCGGCCCACACGATAGTATTGGGAATTCATTGCCATCGGCCCATTCGATAGTATCAGCTCCTATTGGCCCACCTGATTGCATCAGCCAACACATGCTGTTGGCCCATCTGATTGCATCAGGCATTCACTTCCATCAGCCCACATGATGGCATCAGATATTCATTTTCATCAGTCGGCCCATACAATGGCTTCACACCCATCATTGGTCGACTGGTACACACAGCTGCTATATTCCACATCGGCCCAGCTGATAACATCACACACTCCACCATTTTTCCCTGGCCATCGGCCGACATGATAATATCAAGTATCACTACATATGGGCCCACCTGTTAAAATCGACTCCCATTGAGACCACTGGCCGAACGTTAGACACGGGAAAATATTTTCGGTTGGCCGAGGTCCACTGGCCTGTTTGGAACAGGGAATTTTCACCCTCAGCTGCCTGTTTTATACAGGGTATGTGACTGAATGGGCTCTTGCGGCCGAAGCAGGTGATGTTCCAGCAGAACAGGGTCCAACTACAGCAGGAGTGGATGAAGGGCCGGCATGTGCTGACACCGAGGATGCTTGGCCAGATGTGAATGTGTCGCCATGCATGTTAAGGCGACCAAAAGGGCGAGTCGCCGAAGGGCCTGCAGCAGATGCCGAGGTAGCAACCGAAGGGCCGTACACACTGTTCAAGTACCTGATGCCCATCGCTTGCATCTGTGGGGTGGCCGAGGTAGCACCGAAATTGCTCATCGTCGGTGGTGGGAAGGATGGGTGGGCAACAGTCTGTGCCTCCCGAAGCTTCTCCACCAGGCTGGTCAGGCCATTGACGAGGCTGACAGTGGTGCCGAGATCGAACTGCATTGAGGAAAGCTCCGCACACATTGAGGAGATCCGGGTTTCGCAGTCCTGCTGCACCGCATCGACCCTGGCAAGGGTATTCTGGTTGGCGACTTCCATGGCAGCGACCTTAGCAGCCAGGGAAACCACACATTCGTGGATGGCGCTGATGGTCAGTGAGTCCCAGCTCCACCCATCATGTCCAACTCCACAACACTTTTTACATATGAACTCAATGACTTTACTGCGTGGGATGCTGCCAACGTCTTGGAGTATGCTACATTGCGATTCGCCGCGATCTGGCTTGTATGTGACCGGAGCCATGTGCCTCGGACGCCGGCTTACAAAGCCAGCTTTGTCCGGCACCTTCAATGGGAGGCAGATGTGAGTGCCTCTTCGGTCGGTTGACCGGTCGGCATGCTATTGTAGCTGATCCCTCCATCAGTGTTTTGCTTTTCCTTATATCAACTTATGTCTGGTGATGAACATTCATCCGACCATGCCCGACCTCCTCCGCCTCGTCATTGCCCACTTCGCCCACTTCCAAACCGGCACCATCAATGCCGAGGAACTGCATGACAAATTCTTCGAGTGCTGCTCTCCCAATGACCAAGAACTATGGTCCAATCACCGAGTCGTTCGCAATTATTCCCATGATTGGTGGAAGGATCGCTTCGACAGGTTGGGGTTCGAGCTCCTGATGTTGACCATTCAGGAGGTCATGGAGATGACCTGAGAGCACTTTGAACAACTGGTCAGTCATTTCCTCCGCTCATCCTGGACTTCCACTGATGTGAATGTTTAGCCGATTGGAGCCATGCTCATGCCAGGTCCCGCTGTGACCGGTCAGGTGGACAGCGATGCCCTCTTCAATCAAATTGTGGCGGTGAGGGCCCATCTCCGACACCTTGGCGAAGCGATGGCCTCCTTGCTGGAGCAGAAGACCCAGATCGCTGCAGCAGCCGCCTCCACCATATCCCAACTTGAGGCGCCGATTGATGAGGTGGAGCAGGCACTCATTAATTCCCGTAGGCGATTTTGTGCGGAGCAGTGACTGTATGTGTGGACTTATCGCCAATATCACTTAAAATACCGGCGATGTACATAGTATTATTAAATGTGTTTCAGTGCCTTTGTATATAAGCAATCAATGAATGATTCCCATTCCTCTGCCCGAATCATGACCCCAATTCCTACTGACTGGGCATTGCACACCACATGCATTGCTGCTGACTTTGTTCACCGGCTCTTTGCTTGCCATGTCAGCGATCAGCAACCGTTGGCGTCGCCTCCATTGGCACTGGATGTGCTGACCATGCTCGCTTGTCGGCAGTTAGCCCGAGTGCTCGCCGATGCATATGCAAACCCGAGTCGGTCATTTCTGTCATTCAGTCGGAGGTTTACTAACACATCGCAGTTCAGCTTGATCTTGACATGATTCATTACAATGAAGCCCTCGACAAACAGTCCACAGGGAGGATCACAAAACATGAAGATGCTCTGCTCCAAAAATTTCCTTGTAGTTCCCAACAATTGTTGGAGAAGCCCTCGGTGCTCATGGATTCCGGGGGCCGTATCATCTTATGGTACCTTCCGGACGCCATTAGCCTGTGGATTCAAGTAAGGCTACGTATTGTCGCCTGTGGGCCAACCATTTACACCAACCCCACAGGCCAAGATGGAAGCAGCCACGGTCGGGATGGGCTACCTCCTGAAAACAAGCATCACCAGTGGACAAGAGTCCAACTGGAGAACATTCTCCGGTCATTTTCACATGAGCGATTGCCGCCTGCTAACCCCAGGATGCATCAACATAGCCCCTTGCTGGTTCCAGCAAGGCCGAGAGGTATGACATACTTCTTCATGTGCGATGCCGACACTCACTCGGCAGTGTCAGCCTTATGGATTCCCCCCTGCTGGTGGCTTCACCCCGGAGGTGTCGGCTATGCTGAAGGGCGAAGGTGGTCCGAAGGTCATATTATTGATGCAGCGATCGGCACTCCTGGCCTCGGCGGCTCTTCGGGTGATGCACCCGGAGTTGTATTGGGCTTCGGTCACCACACAGATGAAACTCACTCAATGGGCTATGGAAAATGAGCTTGATGGCATGTATGCTCGTCTGCAACTTTGGGCCTTGGTGTTCAACTGCGCAGCCGTCATGTGTAACAGGCAATGCCCTCTTCACCGAGATCCGAGATCTACTCCAGAAGGGTTCGACGTCATGACCAGTGTCGGCCATTATTGCAATGGCCTCATGACGCTGTCCAATCTCGGCATTCAGTTGTGATATAACTCCGGTGCCATGGTCGGCTGCTCCGGACACATTGTCAGGCATGGTGTCACATTCAGGGGTGATCGGTTCGTGTGGGCATGGTTCATGCGCGATAGCCTTCACAATTTTGTGGGGACACCTCGGTCAGAGTATGCAAAATACAAGGATGTAGATTGGGATGTCTCGGTTTCAGCTTAGACGACCATGTCATGGTATATCAGATTACATTACGGTTGCATTCAGCCTTTTGGATCGATTAGTGATAAGGTTGTCAATTAATTGGAATTGATGATGTTGATTGAATCCCTGAAGTCTTCTCGCCATGTCACCGATCGACCGGACGTGAAGATGGAGGCCATGGGCCGAGCCGAGATGATCGGCATTGTTTGCCATGTGCCAACCGATGTGCACGGGAAACACGTTCCCCATCGGCCCACCTAATAGAATCAAACGCTGCTCATTCGTGGGCCCACCCGACATCATCCATCCCATCGGCCCACTGATATGCACAGGAAATGCATTCTGCATGGGCCGGTCGATATGGACAGGCAACACATTCTATGGGCCCACACGATGACTTCACAGCAAGCATTGGCCGACTGATATGCACAGGCAGGGCATTCTACATCAGCCCAGTTGATACATCGGGAATTCACCCCCATCGGCCCACACGATAGCTTCACACCCATCATTGGCCGACCGATATACACAGGCAATGCATTCCATATCGGCCTTCCGGATAGGATCGACCTTTTCTCCCCCATTGGCCCAATACTACATTGTTGAAATCCTCTCCCCAGTGATTATTTGTAAATTTGTAGTGAAATTCCCCTCCTGGGGTAAGCTTTACTTATTTAAATACAAAAATATGATAATAACTTGAAAAATTCAAATAAATATAGTGATTTCGCTTTTCTGCTGTTTTTGGACCGCATTTTGGACCATTTGGACCGTGTTTGGACCTCCCTTGGACCCCTGGACCCTCCTGGACCCTTTGGACCTCCCCTGGACCCTTTTGGAGAGCAGGTTCGTGTGGTGTGTTTGTTGTTTGTTTCTGTGCCCGAATCCCACGGAGAACTGGGGAAATTGGGTATACAAGACGAATGTGTGAGGAGTCTTGCGGGCGTCTTTTGCAGTTGTCAAAGACTGTCCCGTGACATCTCCGTGTCAAGTCCTACCTCCCTGGCTGCCTGTTTTTACGGGTGTTTGCCAGTTGCTATCAGCTTTTGCTGGGACCTCTGATAGCACTACAGTGCAGAGATTTGGTTGGCGGGACACTTTTTTGCGTTGAGTCTGACTGCTGGGTGTTCTATCTGGCAGTTGCTCACAGTTGCCTTCCTATCCCCTGGGATAATATCTCGGACAGCATTTTTGTTGTCTTCAGCACTGTCATACGTCAATTTCCTGATGCGATCCTGTTCTCAGGAGGTGCAGACTTCTTCGACCACCCACACACACCCACTTTCTTGGATTCCAACCTATGTGCATATAACGCATCTCTCATGTCTTCATCGACTAATTTTGCTGCAGTGGTGTTTCTATCCTGTCCATTGCTATATTTTGCCTCATTTTTTCGATTTTGTTGCTACGTACTGCCATGTTCGTACATCATTTATATACGTTTATCGAGTCCTGCTAATTAATTTCTCCTTAGGCTTCCTTCCACTCCACCTACTTCCCCTCAACGAGCTCAGTCTGCTGCACGTCGTGCTGAGAAAAATCAACATAATCTTGGCTCACCTCCTGCGCGACGTCTACCGCAAAATGATCCTGCCCCTGTAGCACCAGATGCTCCCCATATGGTATGTGTATTTTGATTGAAAACTTCGACCGTTGCTGACATATCTTATTCAGAATATTCCTCATATGCTGGGAAATTTAAATCATGCTCAGATCCCTGTGCAGAGATTTCCTGGAATTCCACACAACACAATTGAGCGTCATGAGGCGCATCGTCAATGGCGTGCTCATCACCCACCACCACCCCCACCTGCTCCAGGCTTTGGCTATTTTCCTCCTGCTCCTGCTCCTGCCCCTGTCTATCCTCCAGGCTTTGGCTATTTTCCTGCTCCTGCTCCTGCCCCTGCCCCTGTCTATCCTCCAGGATTTGGTGGCTATCACCCTGCTCCTGCTCCTGCTCCTGCCCCTGTCTATCCTCCAGGATTTGGTGGCTATCACCCTCCTCCTGCCCCTGTCCCTCCCCCAGCTCCTGTCTATCCTGCTGCTCAAATGCCAATGCATGGTGCTGTGTATTATGAGGGCACAGCTCGCCCTCAAAACATGCAGAATGCCCATCCCTTTCTTCATCAGCCTGGTGTTCAGGGAGTACGAGTTGGAGTTGACCATAACTTCAATCTAATGGAAAATTTCAATCGTGCTCAGGAGGATCGTCGAAGGCAAAGACATAACAGACGGGGTCCTGCTCCCAATCCACCACCTCCTGATCTGCCTCCTGCTCCCTTTAATCCTCCTCACCCTCCTCACCCTCCTCACCCTCCTGCTCCTGCTCCTGAACCTCATTATGCTCAATTTAACATCCAGTTTCATCACCATTTGCAAAACTTGCAAAATCAGGTTGAAGACATGGAAGATCCACGTCTTCACCAACTTAGGGAGGAAATAATGCAGTGACAAGCACAGGAGGCTCACCAGAGGCAGCAGGTTCAACAACAGTTGCAGGATCGTCAGGCTCAAGAGATGCATAGGCAAGCAGAGATTTTGCAAGCCCAACAACAAGTACTCTTGCGTGCACAGGAAGAGGAAGCACGTCGTCATGAGATAGCTCAGCAGGAGCATGAGCGTCATCTTCAGGCAGAGCAACACAGGCTTGCATATGAGGCACGTATGGAGGATGCTTGGCAGGACTATCACAATCCAGGATTACAGGAGCAGCATGACCAGGATGAGGAGAGAAGGAGAGCTCAGGAGCGTGAACGTTGTCAACAGGATAATCCAGAGGATGAGCAACCACCACCAGCACCACCACAGAACATTCCTATTCCTATTCAACAACCACCTCAGAATGCTCCTGTTCCTCCTGGAGGTCAACCATATGCAGAGCCTGTCAATCATCACACTCTTGGTCCTCTCACTGTAGAATGTCCCAACTGTCATGCTCGCCACTTTGCAACTGAAAGACTCACCAACTCCTCTGCACATAATCCAAAATTTGGCATGTGTTGCTTGCAGGGCCAAGTTGATCTCCCACCTCTCCTACCATGGCCTCCTGAGCTCCAGCAGTTGTATCAACAGCGTGCATTTCTCACCAACATTCGTCAGTACAACAGTACTGTGGCATTTACCTCTGTTGGCGTTAAAGTTGATGACCTTGCTCTTCGAGGCTCTGGCCCAAGCTCCTTTCGCATCCATGGATCTCTCCATCACCTCATGGGAAGTCTTATGCCTGGAGAAGCTCAACAGCCTGCCTATGCTCAGCTTTATGTCTTTGATGCAGAGCATGCCACCGATGTTCGTGTTGACAGAAATCGCAATCTCGATCCTCAAACCCTCAGACAGCTCCATGATATGCTTTACAGACATCATCCCTATGCTCAACTTTACAAGGCAGCCTATCAAGTCATGATAGAGAAGCCTCCAGAGCAGCACAAAGATGTCAAGTACGCATTCACTTCAAGCCAGGCAGTGATGGTCGAAGATACAATCTTCCTACTTCCAATGAGATTGCTGCCATCATTCCTGGAGATGGATCTGAGGATGTTTCTGACAAACACGACATTGTATTGCGAACTCCAAGGTGGTCAGCTCCGCCGCATCAGCCAGCTCAGTCATGCCTATTCCACCCTTCACTATGTCCTCCTCTTTCCTTCTGGTGAGGAGGGATGGCATCTTGACATTCCTCTCCGTCCCCCTGAGGGTGGTCGTGGTCGTGCAGAAAAAGTCACCCAGCTGCTGTATTATGGCTATCGCCTTCACATCCATCCACCTGCAATCGAGCCTGACAACATCTTTCGTGCAGGACGACTCTTCCAGCAGTATGTGGTTGATGCTTGGGCTACTATTGAGCAACGCAATTTGAACTGGATCAGAAACAACCAGAAGAGGCTCAGGGCAGACTGCTATAGAGGCTTGACAGATAATGTCCTCAATGAAGGCATTGATGATCTGGCTGAGACAGGGCATTCCTTCATCCTTCCTTCCTCTCATAGTGGGGGTCCTCGCTATATGTATCAACTTCTCCAAGACTCCTTGGCCATATGTCGTGCATGCCAAAAACCAGACCTGTTCCTCACCATGACTGCAAATGGGAGTTGGCCTGAGATTGCTGACAATCTTCTTCCAGGTCAGTTCGCATTTTTTGCCTTATTGATGATTTCATTGCTGATCAGTCATAAAGGTCAGACTGCTGTTGATCGTCCAGACTTGGTGGCTCGCGTGTTTTATCTCAAGCAGCGGGCCCTCTTGAAGAAGGTTCGCGATGGCTTCTATGGAAAGGTCGCTGGATTGGTGTACACCATCGAATATCAGAAGCGCGGTCTCCCTCACATGCATCTCCTCATCTTCCTCGAGCCAGAGTACAAGATACGCACTGCAGAGCAGGTCGACTCCCTCATCTCTGCTCAGATTCCTGACCAGAACCTTCATCCACAACTCTATGAAGCTGTCAGCAAATTCATGCTCCATGGTCCCTGCACTCCAGAACGTTGCTTGGAGAATGGTCGTTGCAAGAAGCATTATCCAAAGACCTTCTGTCCTCAAACATTCATGAAGGAGGATGGCTATCCAGAGTATGCACGACCTGACAATGGCCGCACAGTCCAGAAGCCTAATGGCAATGTCTTCACCAACAAAGATGTTGTTCCATATCCTCCAAGGCTGTTGGCAGAGTTCGACTGTCATATCAACATGGAGGTCTGTGCATCCATCAAGTCTGTCAAGTACATCCACAAGTACATCTACAAAGGACATGACCGCGCTACCTTGGAGATGGGAGGAGCAGTGGATGAGGTCAAATCATACCTTGACTCCAGATACATCAGCTCTGTTGAGTCTATGTGGCGCATCTTTGAATTTCAGATGCATGAGGAATGGCCCTCTGTCTACCGCTTGCCAGTCCACCTCCCTGATGAGCAGATGGTTGTCTATGATCCTGAGGATGATGCCCAAGATGTTCTGGACCGTGCTGCAGCCAAGGAGACTTGCCTTACTGGATGGTTCATAGCCAATTCTGATGAAGACCTGGTGGCAGCTGGAGCCCACTGACTATCTCTACCAAGACTTTCCCTCCCGCTTTGTCTGGGTTGACAAGAAGGCATGGAAGGAACGCCAACGTGGAAAAGCAATTGGAAGGATGTATGCTGCTGGACCCAACTCTGGAGAGCGCTTCTATCTGAGATTGCTTCTGACTGTTGTTCCATGTGTGTATCATTTAATCTCTCTCATGTTTGCCATTTGCTTACTATTGTTTTTTGAAGGGGCTACCTCCTATGAAAACCTTCGCACTGTTGATGACCATATCTGTGCTACTTTCAAGGAAGCATGTCAGCTCAGAGGTCTCCTTGATGATGATGGGGAATGGAAGCAATGCTTGAGAGAGGCCTCTCACATGTGCACTGGACATAGCCTGCGAAGTCTTTTTGTCATCATACTCCTCCACTGCCTGCCTACCAACCCTCATCTGCTTTGGAACGACTTCAAGGATAATCTTTGTGATGATCTCCGTCACCATCTCATTCATCGACTGCGCATACAGGATCCCACTCCAGAGCAGGTCCATGACTATGGTCTCTATCTCATCGATGGTCTTCTTCACAAGAATGCCAAGTCCCTCGAGGTGAACTTCCGCTCAAGGTCAGAGTGTCAAGTGGGTTGGTCTGAATTTGAGGACACCTGTGTTCAGTCATGGACAGCTGTATGTGGGTTTGTCTCGGTGCACTCACCCATCAAGAGTATTTGTGATTTTCCCTGAAGATGAAGAAGAGAGAAAGACAAGCAATATAGTGTACACAGAGGTGGTTAGAAGACTGATTGAAGATTGATGTACAATAGATTGTATAGATGTGTACTTTTATATGACAAAGATTTATTTATTAAAATTGTGTTGAGGACTATGTTGAAATGATAAAGACTGGAGGGGCCAATGGCCCCTCCAGCAGAGCACGAAGTGCTCTGCTTGCTTCCTGTGCCGAAGGCACAATGGGCTTGGACTCGTTTTACATGGGCCATCCGATAAGCACCGGAAACGTGTTCCATACCAGCCAACCGATGCACACAGGCAATGTATTCCATATGGGCCAACCGATATGCACAGGCAACATATTTTACATGGGCCGACTGATAAGCACAGGAAACGTATTCCATACCAGCTGACCGATGCGCACAGGCAACCTATTCCATGTCGGCCAACCGATATGCACAGACAACCTTTTCCACATGGGCCCAGCTGACAGCATCAGAGACTCCTCCACCACCATTTGCCCACCAATATACCGAACCCATGGAGCCATATGATGTTCATGGCCACCGGCCGACATGTTAATATCAACCATCATTACTTATGGGCCCAGCTGTTGAAATCGGGTCTCAGTAAGCCTGCTGGCCGAACATTATGCACAGGCAAAACCATTCGATCGGCCGACGTCCGCTGGCCTGTATGGAACAGCATATTTTCAACCTCGGCTGCCTGTATAATACAGACTATGTGACTGAATGGGCTCGTTGGAGAGATTCGCCGGTGTCTCCATCCCAGATCATGAGCACTCCGTCATGACCGCTTGCTATCAACCGCCCATCCCGTGATACCGCCAATGCCTGCACCCGACTACTGTGTCCCTCTGTTTTGTTCAACACAATGCCTTTCCTCAAGTCCCACAGACGAATCATCTTTCCCGAGCATGTCACCATACATCGTTGATCAGAGAAAACTGCGACTGCAGATACGTCTGCTTCATGATCTTCAAACATTCGAACGGGTGTGGTGCTTGGCATGACCTGCGTCATTTTGTAAACGTTAACGGTAGTGTGGACGGCCGAGGTGGACTTAGTTGGGATATTGTGGGTGTCTGGGTCTAAGTTGCAGAGGTGTGTGCACTATGCGTTTTTATGCTTCTTCACGACATTAATATTTCATCAGACGCCCGAGACATGTGGCTGTTATCAAAGCACATTGCTTGGCAATCTAAGCGATTGAGCTCATGCATCTGAGTCTCCGACTCCTGTAGCCGCAGCTTTCCAGATGTGTGATCACACGACCCACTATTGACGCAGGTATTGAAATTCAAATTCGGCAGCAACCTTTCAATCCAAACCATGCCCCAAGGTAGGCGTCACTGCTGTGATTATGACATGAATTACTCTTGAGCGCGTTGCAGGGAGCCAAGTGAAGTTATTTCGACCACTGTCATTGCAGGGGTCCGCGCTGCAGATAGGAAGACAACAAGCACGTTCCATTTGATTTGCCATCCCTCGAGTTTCATTAATGAAGTCGACGCCCATACACATGGTATTCCATCTGGTGACATGTTCATGTTCTGTTCCCTAGAAGGTTCTTAGCGGAGATCTAACGGTTGCGGGGTTTCCCTTGATCTACCGTATAATCGGTACTTTAGGCATCCACAGCCTGGTATGTTTCCAATTTGTATCGAAGATAAACAGTTGTTTCAAACTCTGTTATCATCGATCATCGAATAGGCATTCATCTGAAATCAGTCACGGGTCAATTGCAATTCCATGGATTCGAGGTTTTTAACTTGAATCCAGGTGGTTCCACGATAGCATGTCATCGCACACCGCTCGCACAGCCTACAGGTTCGTCCGAAGTTGAGTCAATAAGCACGGCGGTGTATGATGCCGACTTTCTACGTTGATGATGTCGTGTTTGATCGGACAGGAATCGCATGTTAGACAAGAAGTTCCAAGCCCGGGAGGGGATTGATCAGTTTACGGTAGCAATACAAGTAGGGCGCATGGAAGGAAATGCGCGCAGGATCCAGGTTGGCTCTCGATTGATTGAAAGTGGCCTCGAGATTTGAAATTCAACAAACCGATGGTAACGATGGGTAAGCATTGTAGATGTCCTATTGAAATGAGCCAGTGATTTGCGCAATACAGATACTGTCGAGGTACAATGAAAACTCTCTGTGATTCAAACTGCACTAGTAACAGCTTGCTGAGAGCATAACACCACCATTGGAAGCATAGAGTGCGCTTTGTTCTTACTTGAGACCTGAGTGAAGTGCACCGGTTGAGGATTGGAGACGGGGTGACAAGACTGAGGACATACCAGTGAACCAAACTTGTAACTTGGCCCTTGTAATTCCATCACTCTTGTCCATGATGGATTGATACGATTCCAAGGCTGCTCCAATCCTACCTACCCTAAAGAGTGCGTAGCACAGGTGCTGATTCGTGGTTTGCCACAGGGACTTGAGGTCCCAGCCGAAGAGCTGCAAAAAAAACACGCAGTTAGCATGAAAAAGATATTTGCTTGCATTATATTAACGTACCACGGTGAATTCCTCGTACATGGAATGAATTGCCAATTTATAGAAGCAAGCACTCGCGTTGACAGCGGCAGTGAAGTGATCGACAGCTTCATTGTGGCGCGCGTTATCCAGGGCGATGTTTCCCAGTTGGACACGTAGATACGCCTGATGTGCGAAGGACAGACGAATCAGTGCTAGCACACGAACCTGGGCTTGATCGATGGCGTGATACTCACTTCCACGATAAGACAAGCAAGGGAATTGACGTTGGGATACACAACTAGCTCTCCGACACGCAGCATTGCCTCTTCATGCTCATTTGCATTGAATAGGGTGATGGTCTGAAAATCGCAATGAAGAACGCAGTATGTAATAAAAATGTTACGTGCCTTTATCAAAAAAAGGAAATGATTGGTCTTTAAATCTCCATTCGTGTACATGGACGCGAGGTCGAAAGCTGCCCTCGCGGCCTGAACCTGGTTTTTACCGCAGAGGGCGATGCCCTGGGAGATATGGCCTGCCAACGAGGGTTGAATGCTGACGGACTATGCATGGCACCATCCTCGTTAGCTTTCGTAAGGGGGCCATGATTCCAAATTATGTACCTTAATTGCGTCATGAAGCGCGTGGTCCCAGTCGCAATTCCGCGCCATAACAAATGCGCGATTGGCATAGGCGGTGTAATTGCTGTCATCGGCTTCAATTTCTTCACTTAGCACTTTTTCAGCGGCAGGCAAATTCCCAGCTATGCACGCATTGCGTGCCGCCGAGTTTAAAGTGAGGACCTGCATGAAGTATGTTCGCATTGCGTTATGAGGATCAAAGGAGGGAGCATGCCTTGAAATCAGAGTAGGCTTGAGCCTTGGGCTAAAAGCGACACTTAGATGATGATGGGGCGGCAAAATGAAAACGAAATTACCTGGTGTGTCGCCAGCTCCTTGAGAGTCAGACCATCCTCAGGTTGTGGCAAAGCTTCTTCAGGCTCGGATACAGGCCATTCTGAAATTTTCTTGTCCGCGCCTCCGCTGAGAATGTGCCTGTCATTTGCGGAGAAGGTGACGCAGTTTACCTCGCCAGAGTGCCCGAATGCGGCGATGGTTCGTCGATCCGACAGCCGCCAGAGGCGAACACGGTTATCATCGGATGCGGAGGCAAGGAGAGTGCCGTCAGAGTTCATGGCAATGGCGCAGATAGTCTTGAAATGGCCCTTCCAGGGATCACCGACCTGCTTCCAGGTCGATGAATTCCATTCTTGTATGGTGAAATTGGCCGCTGAGAACAGCCGTGTACCGTCAGGAGTCCAGGCGAGCGAATTAGATTCTCCACTGATATTGAGATTTGCGATGCGAGACCGTGTGCCTGGGTTATAAATTTGGACGTTATTGGCTGCCGCAATGGCAAGATGTTTGCCAGACGGTGAATACCGAATGCAGTGAACTTCTGCATCACACTGGATTGAATTCTTTTCCGGCTTCCATGTTGCTGTGCTCCACAGCGTCGCGCAGTATGATGATCCACTGGCCAACACTGTACCGTCTGGAGAAAAGTGCAGCGAGTTGAGGGTGATCCCGCAACCGGGACCGGGACCGAGAGAAGGTTGGAGAGATTCGCCGGTGTCTCCATCCCAGATCATGAGCCCCCCGACCCGATCACCGCTTGCTATCAACCGCCCGTCCCGTGATACCGCCAATGCATACACGGGATAGCGATGTCCCTGCGTTTTGCTCAACACAACGCCTTTCCTCAAGTCCCACAGACGAATCATCGTTCCCGAGCATGTGACCATACGTCGTTGATCAGAGAAAACTGCGACTGCAGATACGCTTGCTTCATGATCTCCAAACATTCGAACGGGTGTGGCGCTTGGCATGGCATGCGTCATTTTGTAAAGGCTAACGGTAGTGTGGACGGCTGAGGTGGACTTAGTTGGGATATTGTGGGTGTGGTCTAAGTTGCAGAGGTGTTTGCACTATGCGTTTTTATGCTGCTTCACGACATTAATCTTCCATCAGACGCCCAAGACATGAGGCTGTTATCAAAGCTGACCCACTATTGATGCAGGTATTGAAAACCACTATCGAATATGGGATAAATGAACCCGACCCTTTGACCATCCATAAACCAACCACCTCAGGCAACACTTTTCGGTACCTATAAAGGGTCTTACAGACCCGGTTACTATGTTGTGGGAAACCTATCTGCAAGACCCTTCCTCCCTCCATCTAAAAATAGCTTACAGGTAATTTTAGCTCCTTGCACCTACAGTGCCTCCTGCACTCGCATTTGTAGGCTCTGTAGGCTCTGTCTGTCCATTAGTAGGCTCCCATGATATGCAGGGAGGATCACTTGGTAGGCCGAGGAGGCGTCCTTGGTAGGTATTCGCTTATATCAAACCAAGTAGTCCTAACTATGCTTGTCCCAAGTTCTTATCGCCATGACTCTAACGAACTCCTGCAATACTCGCAAAGCTCAAATTGTATCCTCTGGCCTTGGACAACACTTCATGAGCCCTAGGAAAGCGAGAGATAAGAGGAAGACTCAAGTCCTTGTCAAGCTGCCTGGCGCTGAGCTCAAGCATCGTTGTTTACTTTCTCAAATGCAACGACTCATGGATCCTACATCCTCTAAACCAGGCCGTTCTCTTGGTACCACACTGGAGGGTCCCTCTGGTGAAGCAGACAATATAAATCTAACCAACGACTTCGATTTTGCAGGCGCTGAAGTTGAGACGGCACACGCAGTATCTTCTGATAGGCCCGCAGACTCGGAGACCAGTCCTTCCAAGCAGCGCACTCTTCCAGATAAATCAACGGGTACATTATATGCTAACTGGAAAAAGCTCATACCCACCCTCGTAGACCCGCAATTGAAGTATTATGCGCGCACTCTTGGCCAAGCCCTGGAGACAACTCACAATGTTATCTCTGCGTGTGGCACTCTGTCATGCGCTCAGAGAAGGACTAGTATATTGTGTCTATTCTTTGATAGTAAGTAGTACTTACACTAATGCCCTATCGCACAATCTAACGAGTGTGAAATACGCCAACAGGATTTATATCAATTGATGTACTAAGTTGTGAATGTTCCAGCCTTCCGCAGGTCCTTCTTCATCATGGGCTATTCCCTACTGCACCTTCACAACCTCATATGGCGGTCTCCGTCGATCTATTGTCGTTTTATCGAGCGTTATTTGAGTGCTCTTGCAATGCCATCAACGCTCTCGCATCCGCGCTCAAAACTCACTATTTGCGCCGAGGGTTTCAAGTGACCGACTCACACGTAAGTCATATTTATGTATTGATTAATGCTACTAATGTAAATTGAAGGGTGACATTGTGCAGGAACCCTTTCGTCGTGGTTTAGGTTATGCCATACAGTGGTACAATGTCCTCCAGGTCGAAATCGAGCGCCAGGTCGATGCAGTTCTCCAACAAAGTCGAGATCTTGTGGCTGGTCTTCAATCACCTCAACCACTCGCCTTAGCGCATGCAGAACATTCAGCTGAAATTGGCTTACACCATGGTCAATGTGCATCACTCCTCATCCAACGATGTCCAGCGTGTTTCGGTGGCGCGCTGTTTGGAAGACCCGTTAACCAAGGTGGCGACATACATGTTGCTACCGACGGGAATTTTCATCATCGCCACCGCCGATCTGCCGGCAACTGTCCTCCCTTTTATGAGCCCACCTACTTCCTTCCTAAAGGGTTCATTGACACGGTTGGGCTGCAGAATTCACACACAACGTAAGCGACCTGTGCAAGGTACACACACCCCTTGTCCCTGACGAGGCCATCGACTTGTGTGAGAACGCATATGAAGCTGCTGACAGGAAAGAAGCAAAAAGCGGCGATGGACAGCTTTGACGACACGGGATTGATGGCCCTGATTTGCCGTCACGACATCCCACTTTTTTTTGTTAATATTGATTCCCCGGGCGAGCAACAGAAGTATCCGATTGCGCTGATCGAACATTTGTTCACATTGCTCCCTCCTCAAGCAACAGTGGTGACGCTCTATGACATCGGATGTGTTCTTGCGCGGACCCTTTCAAAAGTATGTACATGCTCTCAATTTCCTCCATTTTCTAATCATTTCCAGTTCGAGATCCTCCCCAAGGATACCTTATCACAGTCTGCACTTCGTGACCACTGGCGATGCACGCCTACAGTCACGAATGGGCGTGTCAGTTGGCGTACAATCCTTGTATGTGCATTGGGCTAGGGTTATCTGATGGTGAGGGCACTGAACGGCTGTGGTCTCGGCTTGTTCGCTTGATAGGTGTCGAAAGGTCGTCATCAGTACGTTATTTTGTTTGTATCCTACTGACATGTACTAATTGCCTTAATTCGTTTAGCGTCAGCGTCGTATCTGGTTAATCGACCGTCAAGCAACTGCGATAGGATCGGAAATGAAATCAGACCTGGGGGACTGGCTTAAACGCCGTCTCAAGCGGGGTGTCAAGGACCAGGGTTCTGCGGCGCTGGATGTCATCAACCGTTCCGAAACATCTGTGGAGGACCTACAAGCTCAGTGGGCTGACCAGCAGGCAATCCCAACTCTCAATTCGTGCGCGTGAGTAGCCACATCATTTTTGTACTATCAGTAGTTAATTAAGACCTCAGACTGCCCCCACCCGTCTGAAGAAAGAACTAGATACCGTCCTTACTTTACAGGCCTGATCTGGATGTCTCGGATCGAGCCTTGCAGGCCACCAAGACTATGCTGGAGAAGGAGGCAGCATCGGATGACACTCTCGATGTCCTTCGAGAGCCTACAGAGGGGCCATGATCGTCTCATGACGAAAGTCGAAGCGTTGTATGCTTCACTTAACGTCAATGACAGGTTTCCCGAGCTCGACGGTGTCAATCTCGACTTTGTTCATGTCCTTCTCATGGCATGCGATCTCAAGATGAATATCCTGAAAGCGTGCAATCAGCTAGTTTTTTCGAATGGGACAAATTGGATCGTGCAGTAGGCGGATCGCACCAAACATTAGGTAAGTCCTCACTGCTAGACTATTCCTACATTCTAACTTTATTTTTCAGGGACGAAGCTTCACCAACATACTCGAAAGGCTATAGCCAAGCGTCAACCTGCGCTGATGACGGCAATCCGAAAGTTTAACTCTTACTGCGAACGGTTGGAGTCACTGTATGATCCTACTTGGACTATTCCCCTCCCTACCCCCCTTCCAACAAAATTAGCTGAACTACGTGGTGACCAGACATTAATGCAGGATGTCTGGGTCACGCCGTCAATGGGAGATGTGCCTCGCTGGTTGGAAGACTGCGGACATCAGGGACGGAATTCGTGCCCTTCTCAAACGTGACCAGTGCCAGGAGGAGCAAAAACGCTTAGGCATGGAGGCTGACAATTTGTGCCGCTTCTTCAGAGAAGAGCTAACTGCACTGGAGCTCTCACTCCGATTGCCCGAAAGTAAGTTTGATTCTCGCTATTTATTCAAGGTCTCATTGATCCGGCCTTGCTCGTTTATAGATAAGCGCTTTCGTGTTCCATTGCAACAATGGCACTCACATTTTATCCGCCTTCAGACGCGATGGTCAAACTCGCTTGCACCATCGGCTCGGTTCACAAGCCGTGCAAAAGAGGCGCTAGACCGCGCTATAGCCTACTCTGGAGATCCTCAAGATACTGTTCTTAATTTGGCTAGCATAACAGTGCAGGACCCTGCTCCAGAAGATGAACCAGTTCGTCCCTGAGGTGGATGACTTGGACTCGCAGGAGCTTGAGCCTGAGCAAGCTGCAGCTTGCAGACATCCTGGAGGGTGATGTTGCTAGAGCGGAGTTTGATGAAGATCAGAACTTAATGTCCAATATGTGCGCTGACATTGTGTGGGATTCCCCAGAGGTACGTCAATGTCGTTGACGGGCCAAACATCACTAATATTTTGTAGGGTCTCCTGATTGATGATTTCCGCGCCCCATCTCAAGATTCGCATGTCATTGTGGCTGGACGGGTAGCGACACGAGTACGACCGTCGATGGGTGGATTCCCCCAACAAGTTTTTGAGCCGAGAGACATCTCATTTCTTGCTTCTCCGACAGCGTACCTGAATGATGTTTGTATCAACGGCTGTGCCATGCTTCTGCAGATAGATATCCCTAACCCCATTGTAGCTATCTTCTCCACGCACGATCTTCCTCGCATTCACTACAATGCAGCCGATGATATCCTTTGGCGCAATACATCCTGGACGCGCTATTGGGAGAAAGATGTGTGGATTATCCCAATTCATAGGCCAGCTAGTGTTGGCCATTGGGTTGTTTGTGTTATTTACTTGTCGAGAAAAGAAATCCATCTCTTTGATAGTCTCGCTGAACGAAAACCGTGGAAACACGACTTGAAAGTATGTTTATTTTGACTTACATGCGATCATGAGTTTGATATCTTTTACAGGACATCATGAAACTTGTTTGTCGGCTTCTGGTAGTCGCACATCAACGAGACAAGCAGGTACATATCGATCTGGATGGATGGGTGGCTCGGCCATTGACTGTGAGTTCAAGCACATCTCTCATGTCTAAACCTCAATTTAACAATTCACGCAGGTCAAACCACTCCAGACTAATGGATATGACTGCGGAGTATGGATATTAGCAGCCATGATTGCTGTCCTACGTGGACGACACATTACGCGACTACAAGAGGAGGAAATGAGCGACTTGAGATATTACCTACATGCTCGTGTACTTTCTATACCTGCCTTCTAGCACGCATATGCTAACAGTACCCTAGACCTACGAATTTCCCATTGGCGAGCCAATCTGAGACCTATACTGTAGAGATATGACACTAGCTTCGTCACATTGCAGCACGTGACCCGAGTCACATTGGTGTCACAGCTTTGAATGACCTGGGGACCTGTGCCACACAAAAAATAGCTTAGCAAATTGTGATGCTGCACCTTGGCTTCTGGCTGATTCATATATTATTGTAAAGCCTGAGAAAAAACAGGTAGAAACTAGCTCGGCCATTGTTGTTTTATATTGTTTTCTGTATGGTTTTCTGTATGTTTTAACATATGTCACAAATTAGCTTGGTCCCCAAAAAATTGGTGTGACAGTCACACAAATAGGGTTTGATGTCGTCGAGGCTGTGACCTGTGACGAACTAGTGTCATATCTCTACAGTATTCGTCTTTCCCTACCATCATGAGCGGGAGGTTACCGCTGAGGACAAATCAGGGCGAACAGAAAGGCTATCATGAGAATACATATCCCTGAACGTCGGCCGTATATCATTAATATACTTGCCGAGGCAGAGAGTCTTCGCCCTACCATCATTGAGCTTGAGGATTACCGCCTGAGGACAAATCATGGCGCATCAGACAGGCTATCATAGAATTGGCATATCTCTGAAATGCCGGCCACATAAAGACTTGCGATATTATGTACATACTCGTGGGCTTTCCTTACCAGTAGACTAGGATCTGCATTAAATTCTAAGTTTTTGACTCGGATTAGCACAGCCTGTCTGCTAACTTGAAGGACATATCATGGTGTGCTGCTACCATATTTGAACACCAAAGACACATCGCAACATGTCAGACAGGCTATCACAGACTGTATGATGAGTTCTATATGCATAGTAGATGTATTGAAGAGCTGTCAACAAAGAACGCTTGTGTAGTTAGATTGACATGCTGCAAATGCCTTCCACTGGCACTACCATTTTTGATCTAACTTCGGCGTGTCCAAGTCAGATGGCGCTCTGTCACATGCAACTCAGTAAGTGTCATTAATATCGAACTCCTACTTATTGAAAAGACTTCTCCCTGCCATCATTGAGCTGCCAGAGGACCAGTCCTACTAACACATCAAACAGGTTATCATAGACTCCGAAATATCCTAACATTCGGCATACTATGTACTAGTATCTTACCTTTCTCGCCATGCCAACATCGCTCGTATTCATCGCCAAACCGCTCTCAGCATCCATCTCACTGTTGGAGAACCTCCTTCCATGTCTAACATCGCACCTGAACAAGCACCAGATGTCGTCAGTCAGTGAATTCATGCTGAGTGCAATGAGCGGACGGTTATCGGACAAGGAAACTTGTGCGTTTCATTAGTGTTCGTACTAAAAGTGCACAAAGCTAATCATGTACAACTGAAGGTAATCCTACTCGTTACAATAGGCTACAAGATACCTGCCGCCGTTTGGTGAAAGTCAATGGCGTGAGTCATTCTATACTGTCATGGAGGATTTCAGGCTAATATATGTCTTGCAGCTCATGTTTTGACGTTAGTAGGAGATATATTCTCTATTCTATTGGCTAATGGACTCCACAGTAGGCTCTTCAGTAGGCCTTCAATCCTCCAGGACCTACTGAAGTCCGATCAGACCGCCGTGAATGTCTCTGCCGAAGAAAACCGGTATGTCATTCGGCTTCTGTTACTGATTACATTCTAACTTGTTATGTAGAAAGAAAACCCCCCAAAAATATATAAGATTTGAGGCTGTGACCATTTTTTTCCCTCTGGCGTGCTCTTCTGGTACCTCTCTGATCTACTTTGGTTGCCTCCGTCAACTCACATCATCCCCCTTGCTCTTGCATAAATTTTGGTGTGTACATGTCTTGCATTTTGTTACATTACTAACAATACTTGTAGAATGACTCAAACCCCACACAACGAGGACACAGATGTGTTCAGGACGGCAGTCCTCTCCCCCTTCCAGATATGATCATTCTTCATCGGGATTTCCTCCCAGCAATGCAGCCTTTCCCCTGGCTGGCGACAACTTCATTTTCCCGCAGTTTGGTGGAGGCCGTCAGTTACGAGGACCCGGAGGTTGAGTTAACTCCGTCAAGATTAAGGAGCACTCTGAAAGCCACAGCGCGGGACACTGGAGTCATCAAAGGTGCCTCCGCTCAACGTAAGGGGGCCCAACAGCCGTCCACAGAAAGTCAAGGCTCAATCACAACCTTGAATGCTGCCCAGGATGACAGCGCCATTACGACCCACAGCGGTCATCATCCCTCGCCATTTACTGGCGAAGGGGCATCATTCACTCCCATGCTGAACACTGGCAACAGCCGTCACCCCTCACCATTTACAGGTGACCTTTCTTCCCGAACACCAGCTCCCGCACCTATCCAGGATATGTTCTATGGTCCGACGAGGGATCAGCCTGCTTGGGCAGGTCAACAGGGTTCTGACATGTTTGGCCTGCTGGGCGCTGACTCCTTCACGGACTTAATTGGCGACCAAGATCTAAATTCATCAGCCTTTGATCAGGGCTTCTCCGGCCACGTCGCGCCATTTGATCTTCAGTGCCCATCTCACTTGCCTCAAGCCTCGCTCGCTCCTCCTCCCTCCACAAACATCAACCCACCTACACCTGACACACATATCCCAAGTCCGGGGTTGCCTCAACACTCACTCGCTCCTCCACCCTCCACAAACATCATCCCACCTACGCCTCATGCACGTATCCCAACCCCAGGGCCAAGTCAGCACCTAGACTTGAGCCATTACTCTCCCACCACAATCTCCAGTGAGCGGTTTCCAGAAGAATGTCTTACTTCACACTCTGAGGAGCCGCCTGTTGTGGGCTGCAGGTCTGCCAAGACTAATGCCGCACTTGATGCAAGCTTTGCGGCAGTTGATCAGACGCTCCTTGAGTTATCCAGGACTACTGGAATGCCGATGCATCAAGTCATCAACCTTTTCATGAAGAGCTGTGGTCGCACTGCAAGTAGCATTAATTATTGGAACCTCTATTCCAATTACTTCAAGGACAACACCAAGCAGGAGCTCGGCCGGCTCGGTCAGAATCTTGCGGTTGGAGAGCGCACACCAAGTAGGTTCTACATATGGACTCATTGCGGTATCGTTATTGACCCTGAAACATAGGTGTAACTAGGCGAAAAGAATGCTATGCAAAATTCAAAGAGCAATTTCCCGACACGTATCAAGATATTCTCGACACCCACGAGGAGCTCGCTTCACTTGGGGCACTGCCTCAAACAATTGGACAGCGCGGACAGGCGTTTCAGAGGTTTCATAGAAGGGTCATGAATATAGTAAGTGACTTCGTGAATGTTTTTGCCTCAAAGCTTACCCGCTGCAGTTGGATGTCGCGTCTTCGAAATTTGGCTTCGAATCGGCCACTGTCATGTGCGGCAAGATCGTGAATCAAGATGCTTCTCTCGGTCATGTGCACACAACACCGGGGGTAACTGATGTAAGTTTATATTATATGCGATGTCACGCACATATTGACGATCTGTCTTAGTTCTTTCTAACGCGATGCCGTGCGGACAATGATACGATTATTGGTCATCTCAAGGCTCAAGTCTAGTGAGCTTCTGAGTTTATTTTGAAGTGTGCGATGTCTTATCAAATGTTACAGTAACACAGTGTCTTTATCTACTGTAGAGGATGCTTTCGCGGAACCGGGAGATGACGACATTGTGTCGCTCAAGGACGCAGGTTCCAAGGACCCTGACTCTAAGGATATGGAAGATGATCAGGCTTCTCAGGCTTCAGACCTGCCGGAAGGACGAGAGGAAATGGGACAAGAAGACAACATCAAATGGATTAAGAGAGAGATTATGAAACAAGTTGGTACGTTGCGACATCGGTACTCTCATCATTCAGACTTGTTGACTACCATACACTAGCCAAGTTCGGAGGCAAATTCGGTACCGACAGGGTGTTCCCTTGGAAGCTCATGCCAAGCGCGCTTGCAGACGACAACATTTGTATCAAGGGTTATCCTGCGCACAAGTGTCTCCTGCCAGGTGAGGCGCGCGACACTACCTCAAATTCAAAAAGCAAGGGTGTCGCCGGCCTCACGCAGAAGGAGGTATTGATTCTCATGGACTCTTTGAAGTCAAAAACGATGTATGTTGAAAAAGTTGATGCTTCAAAACGTGGTGAGCATGATCCGTCCATTGGTTCACATTTTGGTGTTGATTTTCTTGTTTTAATAGTGGCGGTGATGTCATCTCAGCAACCTGTTATTATCGGCGAAGCTCCCCCATCAGACTACTCTCATACAGGCGCTCGACGGCTATTCATTGATGGCCACATAGACTACAATGGTCCTTCTCGCATTCAGGTCAGTGCTGCGACTACCAAGGTCAAGAAATCTACCACTTTGGCCGCAAAATCTACTACTTCTGTTGAAGTACTAGTACCTCCGCCATCCCGGCCTTTTAAGGTTGTTGCAAGGCCTGGACCTCCCCCATCTCGGCCTTTCAAGGTCGTCCCCAAGCCACCCGCTCATGAGGTCATCGAACTTTCAACTTCACCCGATTCTCAAGACGCCAATGACCAACATAATTCAGCAACCGACTCGGAGTATGAAGAAGCCTCTCAGGGCAAGAGGAAGAAACAGAAATCTAGTGGTGAGCCGCCTGCGCCAAAGAAGCGCGCATCACCTGTAGACATTCTCCCCAAAACAGCAATGCCAGCTGGACCTTCGGAAGAGAAATCAGGACCCTCGTCTCAGCATGCTAATGCTTCTCCTATGAAAGGGGGCCCATTATCCCCACTGACGGTCGAGTCGTCTTCAACCGAAGAGCGGGATCTTGTCTTACCCGCTCCTACAAGTAAGTTTGCTCTTTGATCGCTTACTATCTCCCTCATGATTACCAGACAGAGCTAAGCGTCTTCGTGACGGCCCTTCAAGCAAGCCCGGAGAAACAAAAGGTATGGCTTCATCGATTATCTTCATTTTGATGCCCTGAACATTACTTTAATAGGCCGAACTCAAGCACGACCACTTGTGAAAGGTTCGAGAGCAAAACCAAAGCCAACGTCTCGTCATGGTCGGGTCCTTCGTGCAATTTATTCTGAGGACTCTGACTCCGGTAGCGAGAAGATGATGACCACATCCCACCAAATCAACCTGGACAGCATGGATCCATCAGCAACGAGTCAGGCGATTGCGTCCAGGGATAACTTTACGGATCCATCAGCAACGAGTCAGGCGATCGCATCCAGGGATAACCTTACCGCAGACGAGGGCCCTGCATCACAGCTACAGTCCAATACGGAGAGGGATGGGGCGCATGCACCATCTCCTAAACGTGATGCACCTGACATACCCACAGAGTTCACTCCTGCCCCTCAGAGAGGAGGAGGAGGAGATGGAGATGGTGGAGGAAATGGAGGAGACAGAGATGAGGGAGGAGACGGAGGAGATGTAGGAAACGGAGGAGATGTAGGAAATGGAGGAGATGTAGGAAGCGGAGGAGACAGAGGAGGCATAGGTGGAGGCAGTGGAAGAGGAGGAGGATTTCAATCAATGAACGAAGGTTCATTCGGTGACAACATTCCTCCTCATGGAGGCCTACCTGATTCTGACAGGGTCCCTGCAATTATTGACCGTCAATCTGCAGAACCTATGCACTCTCAAGAGCCTTTCCGTCATGAACTTCGCAAACCTCACAGGCCCATTCATCAAGATCTGCGTGGTTATTACCCTCGTGATTATTACTCTCGTGATTACTACAGGGAGACTCACTTCCATAATTCACGTGGTACTCTCCCTCCTGATCCTCGCGGCTCTCTCCCTCCTGATTCTCGCGGTTCTCTCCCTCCTGATCCTCGTGGCCCTCTCCCTCCTGATTCTCGCAGCTCTCTCCCTCCTGATCCTCGTGGCCCTCTCCCTCCTGATCCTCGTGGCCTTCTCCCTCCTGGTCATTGTGGTCCTCTCCCACTCGAGCCTCAAGAGCGCTTGAACCGAGAGCATCACGATCCTCGTTATCCTGGTCATACAGCTTATGAATCTTCGTATTCGGTATGTGACGCTTTCTTAATCTTACATGTTTAATCTAATGTCTTTGCATTCACAGGATTATGGTCACCTGCATCCGCACGATACATACTATTCTCGCAGGTGCAATGCCAATGACAGCGCTCCTGAACACCATGATGCTCGCAGTCGCACGTGCGACTTGTCTCCAGTGACAGAATCGAGCATGGATTACACTATGGAACGGGAGCGCGGCCGCTCATTAACATACTCTGACCACGACAGATATACTCCTGCTTACATGCATGAACATGGATACCCCTCGCGTGCTGATCATGACGATCGTGGCTATGGATTTCCTCCCCAGAGCGGAGGTTACTATAACAACCCTCAAGCCTTTAGGAGAGGATATGACAGAGACTCCAGATGGGCCGATCAGGGAGCGCGCAGCCCATACCACCATAACCATGATGCCAATTCAAATACCCAGCTAGGAGAGCAATCCGGCAACGCACCCCCTTCTGCTTGATCATGTATATTTCCTTTATTCTCCTAGCTCCATCTGATGTTTCTTTTTATCTCCTCAAAGGAGAAGCCATGTTATTGTCACCTCCCTCGTTGCCTGTCTCTGTTCCGTCTCATCAGCCCTTACATTGTTCATAGTATTGTCTGCATCACCTTCGTCTTCTTCCTTTTCAGTACCTCGTCTTTTTAATGCTATACTTCTGTATGTTTTTTGACCATCTCGTTACTCTACCTTCAGTGGCGGTTTTCTTGAATAAATCCAGCATGTTCCTGGGACGAAGTGTGAAATTTTCATTAAACAAGCCCGTAGGACTCAGACTACATTTGAACGAGCTGATCGAGACTCCTTCCTACAAGTACAGGTGTCATCGAGTGTAACAGGCCTCCATACAAACACAACATATTCTTGCTAGACAATCCTACGAATATATTGAAAACGGTCTTCTCATAACTCGCAAACGGTCCTCTCATACCACGCAAATGGTCCTCTCAAACATCAAAAACCGGTCCTACTGCGCCTCGCCAATGGTCCTCTCATACCTCGCAAACGGTCCTACTGCGCCTCGCCAACGATCCTACTGCGCCTCGCCAATGGTCCTCTCATACCTCGCAAACGGTCCTACTGCGCCTCGCCAACGATCCTACTACGCCTCGCCAACGATCCTACAGCGCCTCGTCAACGATCCTACAGCGCCTCGCCAACGATCCTATAGCACCTCGTTAATGTTCCACTCGAATGGCCTATGAGACTTCTGGGACTTGTGTAGTGCGGCATAGGCAAACGGAAATCTTTTTCAATTCACAGAGGTGGAGGTCCGCGTACTTCGAGAGGAATCTGTCTACAAATTTGGGATTTGGGTGGGAGGTCCTTGCAGGAGGGACGTCTTGGAGAATGGTTGTCGCAATGCAGGAAACCCTGTCTGAAAGACCGTGGGAAGCTCTAAAAAGTGCTGCCAAGGGTGCCAACCCAATGCCGAGATTTAGGCGCGGGTAGGCACAATCTTTGATGGCCGTTATTCGAGTTCAAATTCGGCAACAGCCTTTCAATCCCAACCATGTCCCAAGGTAGAACACTTCACTGTTATGATTATGACATGAATAACTCTTAAACGTGTTACAGGAAGCCGAGTGAAGTGTCCTTGCACGTATCTGCGCGGCAGATGGGACGACAGTAAGCGCGGTTCACCTGATTTGCCGCCATCCCTCAAGTTTCAATTAAGTCGACGCCTATATGTGTATTCCGTCTGTTGGCATGTCGAGCTTCTGTTCCCTGGAATATTCTTAATGGCGATCTGACGCTTGCGAGAGGTCCTTCGTTCTACTCTGGAATAAGCACTCTAGGCATGTACAGCCTGGTGTATTTGCAATTTGCATTGAAGATAATCAGTTGTTTCAAACTCTGCTATCTTCGATCATCAAATGGGCATTCATCCGAAGTAGTCATGGGTTAATTGAAATTCCATGGATTCGAGGTTTTGAACTTGCATCTTAGGCAGTACCACTACGATAACACGTCTTCACACCAGTCCATAAAGGAGGGTCGGCAAGCATAGTGTAGTCGTATGATATGAGTACAAAAGGTCATTTGTGTAGTACAGATGCTATCAAGATACAATTCGAGATCTACATTTCAAACTGCACGGGTAACAGCTCGCTGCGAGCCATTAAATGCGTAGAGCGCGCTTCGTTCTGAATGTAGAGCTAAGTGAAGTGCAATGTACACGGGGCGACATTACTGTAGTGTTTAATCGGAGAGAGATCGTGAACTACGCATGTCAGACAGCCAATGAAGTCTTTGGTATTCCAAAGGTTGAGAGGGAATCTTTCAGCTTACAGAGACAGTCTAATTCGAGTGGTGGATGGAAGGAAATGTGTGCAGCGGAAGCAGTAGCTCTCCATCGAGGCTGGTCAGGATTTCAATGGCCTTCAACGAACTAATGATGAAGCCCACGCGCTGACCGTTGCGTGTCAGCGTCGTAGATGTCCTGTTCAAATGAGCCAGAATATGATACGAGTACAATTGCGCGATACAAATCCTGTGAAGGGACAAATGAAAACTACACGAGTGACTGCTCGCTGCGAGCCCAGCACCTCCATTGGAAGCATAGAGCGCGCTTCATCGTTACCGGAGAGCTGAAGTGCGGTTTAGGATTGTAGACAGGTCGACGTTACTGAGTATTTACCAGTGAAGAAAGCATCTAAGCTCATATTTCCACCACTCTTTTCCATGAAAGATTGGTACGCTTCGAAGGCTGCTCCAATTCTGCCTGCACGAAGGAGTGCGCGACAATGTTGCTTGTTCACGGTTTCCCACAAGGACTTGAGGTCCCAACCGAACAGCTGCAAAAAATACACAGTTGAGCATTAACATGATTTTCGGTTGCATCACGTCAACGTACCACGACCAATTCCTCGTACATGGATTGAATGTCCAATTTATAGAATAAAGCACTAGCGTTGACGGCAGCAGTGAAGTGGTCAACAGCTTCGTCGTTGCGCCGGCCGTCCAAGGCAGAGTTTCCCAATTGAAGACGTAGATACGCCTGATGTACGACAGAAAAATCAGTACCAGCACATGCACCTGGGTTTGATCGAGTGCGTATCACTCACTTCCGCGACACGACAGGCGATAGGATCGGCATTGGGACCCATGGCTAGCTCTTCGAGGCACAGCATTGTTCCTCCATGTTCATTTGAACTGAACTGCGCGATGGTCTGAAAATCGTAATGAAGTATGGAGTATGACACACAGATATTACGTGCCTTGATCAAGAACAGGAAATGACTGGTCTTTGAATCTCCGTCTGTGTACATGGACGCGAAGTCAAATGCTATCTTCGCAGGCCAGGGCTGCCCATTGCCGCAGAGGGCAATTCCCTTGGATATATAGCCTACAAACGAGGGCTGAATACTGACAGACTATGTCGTCATCAAAGTTAGCTCCCATAAGGGGGCCGTGATGGGTCGGCCTGTCTCACCTTCATTGCATCGTGCAGCGCGTGGTCCCAGTCACTTCTTCGCGCCTTCACAAATGCACGATTGGCATAGGAGGTGTAATTATTGGCATCAGCCTTGATCTCTCCACTGAGCACCCTTTCAGCCTCATGCAAGTTCCCATTTATGCACCAATAGCGCGCTGTCGAGTTTATAGCAAGGACCTGCGTGAAGTATATTTGCATTGCATTATGAAAGTCAAAGTAGGGAACACGCCTTGAAATTGGAGGAGGTTTGAGGCTTGGCCTAAAAGAGATCATTAGACAAGAAGAGGCGGCAAAATGAACATGAACTTACCTGGTGTGTCGTGAGCTCCTTGAGAGTCAGACCATCATCAGGCTGTGGCAAAGCGTCATCAGGCTCGGATAGTACAGGCCACTCTGAAATCTTGTTGTCCGTGCCTCCGCTGAGGATGTGCCTGTCATCTGCGCAGAATGTGACGCAGTACACCCCGCCAGTGTGCCTGAACATGGCGATGGTTCGTTGATCTGAAACCCGCCAGAGGCGGACACGCTTGTCATCGGATGCGGAGGCAAGAAGAGTGCCATCAGAGTTCAAGGAAATGGCACGGATGGTCTTGAAATGGCCCTTCCAGGGGTCACCAACCTGCTGCCAAGTCGATGAATCCCACTCTCGTATGGTGAAATCAGCACGTCCGCCCGCTGAGAATAGCCGTGTGCCGTCGGGCATCCACGCGAGTGACGAGTTGAATGCTCCATGGATCGTTGAATGACCCTTGAAATTTGAGATGCAAGACCGCGTGCCCGGATTATAAATTTGGACATCATTGTCTGTCGCGATGGCAAGATGTTCGCCAGACGGTGAATACCGAACGCAGTGGACTTCTGCACCACAATAGATTGAATTTCCTTGCTGCTGCCACGTTGCTCTGCTCCACAGTGTCACATAATAGTTCGATGATCCACTGGCCAGCACTGTACCGTCTGGAGAGAAGTGCAGCGAGTTGAGGCTATACCCGTTATAGGGACAAATAGAAGCTTGGAGAGGTTCACCGGTGTCTCCATCCCAGGTACTAATCACTCCACCCATATCACCACTTGCCATCACTTGGCCATCCCGTGATACCGCCAATGCCTTCACGGCGCTGAGATGTCCCTCCGTTTTGTTCAACAGAACGCCTTTCCTCATGTCCCAGAGACGAAGCATGTTGTCGTATGAGCATGTGATCATACATCGTTGATCAGAGAAAACTGCGACTGCAGATACGCCTGCTTCATGATCTTCAAACATTCGAATGGGTGTGGCGCTTGGCATGAGGTGCGTCATTTTCTGGACATCGACGGTGTTATGGACGGCAGAGGTATACTTTCTGGGGAGAATTGTGGGTGTCTGGGTCTAAGTTGCAGAGGTGCGTATACTGTGCGTTTTTATTTCTTCACAACATTGATCCCTCACTAGCCGCCCAAGACACGAGGCTGTTATCATAAGCGCCTTGCTGAAGAATCCAATTGCATTTCCAGATCAGTCTATGTACGAACCTGGTCATATGACGTACCATCATTGCACCCAACAATCCAGAAAGCGACTCGGTATAAAAATTTAGGTGCGGGCAAGCACAATCTTGGATGGCCGTCATGCCAGCTCAAATTCGGTGGACGCAACAGGTTGAACCTTCCATTTGTAAGGATTGCATATCCTCTACACACCGATCACGCTTCAAAGCGAAGACGATGTGACTCCGTTACTCTTCGCATCCGAGTTACAAACTTCCATTTTCATTTCCTTTTACGATCTTACCTTGTACTCACACTTCACAATCCCTTTCTTGGACCGAGTATTTTCACCTCACCATATGCTCTTCATGCCGATTCCGGCCTAGCTGTCAACCATTCGAAAACGTATATAAATCATTCATGTACTCTCGTATCTAATAGGGAAGTCATAACAGAATCCCAGACGCTGATTCCCCGCTCCAAGCTCGACCGAGAACTATCGCAGAAAGTCCTCGTCTTATACGTTTTCTCTACTCGTCTCGTTCGCCGTTACGCTCGTCACTTATCTACTTCGTCTCGTTACATTTCCCCTTCGAACTCACAACAAGCCTTACACATTGTCAATACCAAGCATGCCCCATGCTCCCAGTTTATTGCCAAGTTATTTCGACCACTGTCACTGTTGCAGGGGTCCGTGCGGCATCTAGGAAAACAACAAGGTTCACCTGATTTAAAATTCCTCGAGCTTCACTTAAGTCGACACCCATACACATGGTATTCCATCTGGTGACATATTGAACTTCTGTTCGCTGGAATGATCTCAGCGGACATCTGACAGTTGCGGGGCTTCCTTCTATTCTGGAATGAGCACGTGTTTGCAATTTGCAATGAAGATAATCAGTCGTTTCAAACACTGCTATCATCGATCACCAAATGGGCATTCAGGCGAAAACAGTCATGAGTGAATTGCAATTCCATGGGTTCATCGCACACCGCACGCACAGCTCACAGCTTCGTCTGAAGTCGAGTCAATGAGCACAATCCAACTATGTACTTTGACAATGTCGTGTTTAATCGAACAAAGATCGAGAACCACCCGTGTTAGACGATTCATGATGTCATAGAAATGGGAGGGAATGGTTCAGTTTATGGTGGCAGTCCAATTCGAGTGGGACGCATGGAAGGAAATACATGCAGGCTGGTTCTCGATCGAGGGTGGTGAGAATCCGAGCGAAGTCCGGCTGAGGAATTTAGACGCTATATCATTTTATATGGACAAAGACAGAGAACTAGGCGTGTTAGAAAACCAATGAAGTCGCGGTGATCCAAGTCTGGGAGGGAATTGTTCAGCTTACTTAGTGGCAGTCCAATTCGAGTGCACATGGACAGTAGCCGAAAAAGGGCACACGCCGACCTGTGGGTGTAAGTGTTGTAGATGTCTTGTTCAAATGGGCCAGTATACGATACGAGTAAGGCTATTTCGTAATACAGATGCTGTCGAGGAACATGAAAACGACCGCCCGTTGCGAGCGCAGCATCTCCGTGGGAAGCATGGAGTGCACTTCGTTCTTACTGGAGAGCTGAGTGAAGTGTGGTTGAGGATTATAGACATGTTAACGTTACTGAAGACTGACCAGTGAAGAAATCATCTAAGCTCGTATTTTCACCACTCTTGTCCACGAATGATTGGTACGATTCGACGGCTGCTCCAATTCTACCTGCCCGAAGGAGTGCACGACAGTGTTGCTTGTTCACTGTTGCCCACAAGGACTGGAGGTCCCAACCGAAGAGCTGCAAAACATATGGAGTTGAGGATGGATTCTCAGTTGCGTCATATCAACGTACCACCACCAATTCCTCGTACATAGATTGAATGTCCAATTTATAAAAGAAGGCACTAGCGCTGACGGCAATAGTGAAGTGGTCAACGGCTTCGTCGTTGCGCTGGTTGTTCAAAGCAGAGTATCCCAGTTGGAGACGCAGATACGCCTAATGTGCGAAGGGCAGAAAAATCAGTACCGGCACACGAACCTAGGCTTGATCGAGTGCATAATACTCACTTCCACGATGCGACAAGCAACATGATCCGCATTGGGGTACATAGCTAGCTCTTCGAGGCGCAGCATTGCCTCTCCATGTTCATTTGAACCGAACTGCGCAATAGTCTGAAAATCGGAATGAAGTATGGAGTGTGGCATAAAGATATTACGTGCCTTGATCAAGAAAAGGAAATGGCTGGTCTTTACATCTCCGTTCATGTACGTGGACGCGAAGTCAAATGCTATCCTCGCAGCCCAGAGCTGCCCTTTGCAGCAGAGGGAAATTCCCTGGGAGATATGGCCTACAAACGAGGGTTGAATGCTGACAGACTATGTCATCATCGAAGTTAGCTGCCATAGTAAGGGGGCCGTGATGGGTCGGTCGGTCGGTCTCACTTTCATTGCATCGTGAAGCGCGTGGTCCCAGTCGCTTCTTCGCGTCCTCACAAATGCACGGTTGGCATAGGAGGTGTAATTATTGGCATCAGCCTCGATCTCTCCACTTAGCACCCTTTCAGCTTCATCCAAGTTCCCATTTATGCACCAATAGCGCGCTGTCGAGTTTATAGCAAGGACCTGCGTGAAGTATATTCGCATTGCATTATGAAAGTCAAAGTGGGGAACATGCCTTGAAATCGGAGTAGCCTTGAGCTTTGAAATCAGAGGAGGCTTGAGGCTTGGCCTAAAAGAGATCCTTAGACGACGAAGGAGCGGCAAAATGAAAATGAACTTACCTGGTGTGTCACCAGCTCCTTGAGAGTCAGACCATCCTGAGGCTGTGGCAAAGCATCCTCACTGGCAGGCTCGGATGCAGGCCACTCTGAAATCTTGTTGTCCGCGCCCCCGCTGAGGATGTGCCTGTCATCTGCGGAGAATGTGACGCAGTACACCCCGCCAGTGTGCCTGAACACGGCGATGGTTCGTTGATCTGAGACTCGCCAGAGGCGGACACGGTTGTCATCAGATGCGGAGGCAAGAAGAGTGCCGTCAGAGTTTAGCGACATGGTACAGATACTCTTGAAATGACCCCTCCAAGGATCACCGACCTGCTTCCAGGTGGATGAATCCCACTCTTGTATTGTGGGATTAGCCCCTCCGCCCGCTGAGAACAGCCGTGTGCCGTCGGGCGTCCACACGAGTGACGAGTTGTATGCTCCACCATTGATGGTTGAATGACCCGTGAAATTTGCGATGCAAGACCGGGTGCCTGGATTATAAATTTGGATATTCTGGTCTGTCGCGATGGCAAGATGTTCGCCACACGGCGAATACCGAACGCAGCGCGCAGTTGCACCACAATTGATTGAATTCCCTTGCTGCTGGCACGTTTCTGTGCTCCACAGCAACAGATAGCCCAATGATCCACCGGCCAGCACCGTGCCGTCTGGAGAGAAGTCCAACGATCGGAGGGGAGAACCAATATTAATGCGGGTAGAATCCACAACATGGAGTGGTTCGCCGGTGTCTCTATCCCAGGTCATGAGCCCTCCGTTCCAATCCCCGCTTGCTATCACTTGGCCATCTCGTGATATTGCCAATGTACTCAGGTCGTCGCTATGTCCCTGCGTTTTGTTCAACACAATGCCTTTCCTCAAATCCCACAAACGAAGCATGCTTCCCGAGCATGTGACCATACATCGTTTATCAGAGGAAACTGCGACTGCGGATACACCTTCTTCATGATCTTCAAACGTTCGAACGGGTGTGGCGCTTGGCATGAGTTGCGTCATTTCCTGGACGTTAAGTGTATTATGGATGGCCGAGATGGACTTGGTGGGGAGATTGTCGGTGTCTGGCTCTAAATTGCAGAGGTGCGTGCACTCTGCGCTTTTATGGTGCTTCGCAACATTGATCCCTCCCTAGACGCCCCAAGACATGAGGCTGTTATCATAAGCACTTTGCTTGACGATCTCAGTGACTGAGCTAATGCGTTTGCCTCGTGTCGCCGCAGCTCTCCAGATCAGTCTATCAACCTGATCGCATGACCTACTATCACTGCAGGCTTTGGAAGACACTATCGAATATGGGATGAACGAACATCCAGAAAAGTCCAGAACCAACTCAATACCGATTTAGGCGCGGGCAGGCACAATCTTTGGCCGCCGCCGTTATACCAGCTCAAATCCGGCTGGCTCATCAGCAGCTTTTCAATGTCCCAAGGCTGGACGATCAGTATTGGTGCGCATTAAGACACGATTAACTATTGAACGTGTTGCAGAAAGTCGAGTGGAGCCACTGTCATTGCAGGGGTGCGCGGGGCAAATCCAGGAAGGCAACAAGCACGGTCAACCTGATTCGTCATGCGCTCTCCCTCGAGTTTCGATTCAGTTGACGCCCAAATACGTGGTATTCTTAGCGGAGATCACACGATTGCGAGGCTTCCTTCGATCGCTTTTGGTGTCACCATCATCATACGCATGTATGATCTGTCATTTGCAATGAAGATAATCAACTCGACTATAATCGATCATCGAATGGGGATTCATCTGCATTCATGCGAAGTCAGTCATGGGTTAATTGCAATTCGATGGATTCGAGGTTTTGAATCGATGACTCCCGCTTACATCTAGGTCTGTTCTGTGATCGTTTGTCTTCTTGCCTGTTGCTTGGGTTGCCCCCTATGCTAGTATTCGCGTGCGGCTCCATATTTTCCTACACGACATGAATGGACACTTGGGGATAGACACGCCGAGGCATTTTCTGTTGAAATACATGAAGTTTCTTCACTTAAGGTATTCGTGGTTGTTTTCAATCGCTTTGGAGATCTCACTCAACGTTCTTTATTCGCTGGTGGCCTATTCCGACGTTCTGCTTCGGTGGCGTTAGGTATGTCATGTTCCCTTCATTTTGCCTCCAGGACACTCACAGTATCAATCACACTGTCGGCATCAACGTCACGGCTCGGAGTAGATCGCGGGCTTGCAAGATGCGATCGAAATTCCTGCGTGCTCGCTGAGAAGAGGACTGGAAAGGACTGGAACCTCCAACGGGACCCAGCCGCCGGACATTACAAGATTACCCGGGCTTAATGAAAGGATGCCGAATTGGTATGAAATAACCGTTTTCTGAAGTCAGTATCGTGATGTTCTCCCTGTTTTCGTGGCCCCCTTTCGGAGTCACCACGAGTCGGTTTCTTAAGACATTGTTTATCTCGTGTGTAATACTTGTGCCGTGTTGGATTGATTGTTCGTGTGGTGTGGACCAATATGTCCCTAACGGCGCGCGCCCTTGTCCCCCCGACTGTGAAAACATTGTTGATATTGACACGAGTAGACGAAGTCAAGGATATAACTGTGACCTGTCCTTGGTTTAATACTTAGGTCGACCAAGCGAAAACTACACAGAATCTCAGCGCTAAGCCTTGAGACATAAATCACTAGCAGCTCGTTTCATATCATTACTAACTCTCGGGCAAGCACAAAGGAAGCTGCAAAGAACAGGATATCACCGACGACCGCGTCCGTTCTTTTCCTTCATCGCAGTTCGTTTTCTCTCCCGCTCCTCTTCCCGTGCTCTCGCACCGCGTTGACGAGGATCGATAACCTCGTAATCTCTCTCAGCCTTCTTCGTTTCCTCCCCATCGTCCTTCGGGAAGTGCAGAGCATGGCCAATAAATCCGCGGTCGTCGTCCACTTCTATACCCGGATCCTCACCACCAGGAACGGCTCCACCGCCACTGTCGTCCGCACGATCGCCCTCCTCTTGAGCATCCTCCATCTCCACATTCGCGTTTGACTGTAACAATCCCCTGAAGCTGTTCAAGGCAGCTAATACATCACCCTCGTCTTTCTTGCCCTTCCCTTTCTTCTGCAATCCACGCCCTTTGGAGTACTTGGCAAGTCCTTCCTCGAGATAGGATTTCGTCTGCTTAGTTTTCTTTCGCGCAGCTTCCTCGTCACTGTCCTCACCACCTTCTCGTTTGCGCGTCAGTCTACGGATCTCACCCTCCATCTGCTCGATTTCAGCACGTCGGGCATCACTGGATTTCACGCGTCAACTTGAAGCACAACAGGGAATTAGGGATATAAAACCTTCCAGAAGCCTTCTCTTTCGCGTGGGTTTCGCGGATTTTCTTGATGTCTTTGTCTGCATCCTCGGATTTGCTGCTCTTTGAAGGCTTTTCGTGCTGATGATATTTGCGTTATTCGTCACTCTGCAGGAGCTGAAAGAGATGTACCTTTAGTGATGATTCCTTCTCAGGTGCACGTTCCCGAGGTGGTTCTTTAGATTTCTTCGGAGGTCCGAGCAGAGATTCTGGCATCGGAATCCCCGTGGCGTCGGGATTTTCGATCACTGCAACCTTCTGCTTAATTGTCAATCTTAAAAGTTCATTAGCTTGCGTACTCACAGTCTGGCCGTGCAATATTTTTCTTCTTGAAGGCCACGGGTTCCGTTTCGTCATCCTGATCTCCGCCGAAGCTCAGAAGTTTTACATCCCTTCGCCCTGTCAGCAAGACAAGAATAGGGTACAATTTCTAACTTACTTTTTAGCACCTCTCCGACGTTCTGCCTCTTCTCGTTCTCGTTGACCAGCTTCTCGTGCTCGCTGCTGGGCACGCTTTTCGGCAGCAGTGATTCGGGGTATGATGTCTGGGAATGGATTGTCGACTATTGTTATCGACTTGATTTTGGGAGGACTGTATGATGAAAGCTCGTGAGCTTTGAAAGGAAAATATCGCTACGGGTACGTATCAAACCTACTACACGGGTCGGTCATTTTCACCAATTTCTAGAAAGGGAGAGTCAATGTGAGTCGACCAAGCCCCGTGCGAGAGTCACTTACCCATCTCTCCGATTTTCATGACGTCTGAGCCAAAATCAGTGAGAAAACATCAAACTATGTCTAACCTCCAAACGTACTGTACACGGTGTCTCCCATTACCCTCCCAAACAACGTATGTTTGCCGTGTAGTTCATCCGCTCTGTCTATGCCACAGGAGTGCGTCAAGGGCTTCAATTATCAACTCGCAATGAAAGGTTTCTCACCGAGGGTAATGAAGAACTGCGAGTCGTTAGAATTCTTAGTTCCATTGTTGGCCATAGCGACAAGCCCACGGTGAGCATACCGCAATCGCGGGTGAATTTCGTCCTCGAATGGTTCTTTGGCCTAGTGTGATGACCGTGCAGCAACGTGGACAAAGACAAGACACACCTCCATAGAATGACTCCCCGCCTCCGCCCGTCCCTGTTTTATCACCGGTTTGGACTAGGAAACCCGGTACGATTCTGCAAGGAAAGTTAGAGGCCTATTTGGAGCACATGGAGCACAATACTGACCTATGAAAGATGACGCCATCATAATAACCTGACCTGCGAATGAGTTGGGCGCCTTGGTTTCAGAGGTAAGCCAATCCCTGACCTTCGAGTGCGAGCGCGATGAAGTTCCGGCATGTTTTTGGTGTTTCCTGAGTGTAAGCTCAACAACCAAGCCAGACACTCGACGAACACGGTGAGCGCACCTTTGACCAAAGTTCGATATCTATTTCGCCTGCAGTCGTGTCAATTACCACTCGTCCGTTTGTTGGGAGCGCCATGACTGCTTGCAAGGAAGGTCAACTGAGAGTCGTGCAGCTAGTACCGGACTTAGGTTTATTACCCGGAAGTGGACAACCCCAAAAAGGTATGTAATTCCAGTTTACCTGCTGTACGCTTGTTTTCTGCACATATATCATGGGTCGAGTACGGCGATCTCGTACACACCATGCACAACGCGATGTGCATCGAGCATCCCGTACAAGGGTATGCACCTATTTTTTGGTGTCCGCCCGTTTGTTGACTTCCTTCAGGCTCGCACAAAAGACCTTGATCAAATTCAGCTCATTGATCTAGACCCAAAGGTACTAAAAATCTATTCAGCCCATGATCTCCATCTAAACCTCTACATAGAATCGCGCTGCTCTCGAAGCACAACCCCTCGATTTCGAAAAACCTGGCCTTGCTCAGCATTATTGCGTCGAATGTGCAAAGTAAGTCTGCTGTCATTTCTTTCCAGCCATGATAATCATGTCGTTGAACAGACACTTTGAGACTGATACCGCGCTCCATTCGCATTGGAGGGGCAAAATACACAAAAGACGATGTAAAGCTCTGAAGGAACCTGCATACACGATAGAAGAAGCGGAAAGAGCAGCTGGATTGGGGCGAGAAGGAAAAAGAGTACCAATTTCTGCACAAGCCATGACGACAGATACTTAGGTACGAGAATTATGTCGAGGTCTTTTTTTCATTGCTCACATACTTATGCCCTGCAGGGACCAGTGTATGACTGGATGGTCGTCGGTCCTAGATCATGCCTTTGTCTTTCTGGTTGGGAACTACCGACTACATGTGACAGCTGCTCGAACTGGATTATGCCCTCGAGTCAAGCATTAGTGGTGTTATCCAGTGCGCAGGGCTCATAGGATCACCGCGAGAGGGATGATCGACGTCAAGTCGAAATTACTTGCGTCGCTCTAGTTCTTGTTTGCTTTTTCTATTACTCCCGATCTTGCTCAATCAAGGTTCACTACTGTTGCTCCACACCAGGAAATAACTTGTTCCAAGACAAGTATGAGCAGCAACTGTGGATATCAACTATATAGTCAGCGGAGAAAGGCTCACATTTTATGCTGCAGGGAACAGTAGACGCGAATAAGGCGACATAGAACGTGAATCGCAAAGCGTGCACGTCGAAATCGTCTCATGATCGCGCACTCTGACTACCACTAAACCACTAATTAGCCCGAGCTTTATAAATGCCCAAACAACATGGTATGATCAGATCTATGAGACCCTATGACAATTAACGTTAATTAACGGTCATTATCACTTCACTGAAAAAAACCCAGAATCATCCGCACATCACAGATTCGAGATAATAGTTTACGGTCACCTAAAAATGTTAACAAACAACGCTACATCCACCCACCCATCTTTTGCTCATGACGTCGCAACCTGACCCCCAATCGACATGTCCAAAAACTGGTTTTGTAAAGCATGCACACCACCATGCGCCCCAGCACCTTGTGGGTACGGAGCGCCGGGTTGGTGCTCGCCCGATGGTGGATTGCCATACCCTGGCGCCGGCGGTGAACTCTGAGAGTAACCAGCTGCCGCGGGGGGCCCATAGCCATTGCTCGCCGGTGGGGCATACCCGTGCACCTCAGACCCCGACCCGGCAAATCCACCCTGCGCAGTCGGAGAGCGCTGTTGCTGATAAGGTGGAGAATGATAACTATACGGGGCTGGTGCACCTGCAGTCATAGACGACGTCCGTTGCAACGGAGACACTCCGCTAGCTGCACTGGTTGGTGACATCTGCAGGGCAGATGCGGAGTCTTGGTAATATGGCTGCGAGGGGTATTGGCTTTGTTGGGGGCTGGGGTTCATGTATGATGTATGTTGGGAAGTAGGCGATTGATGCGCGGCTTCTTGGTGTACAGGTTGTTGCTCAGGCTGAGCCTGAGCCTGAGCCTGGTATGGATCCTGTGACGATTGATGTGATTGAGGGGATTGCTCTGGCGGTGGCGACGCGTCCTTTACGCCTGGTACTGAAATAAAGTACACCGCTCCAGCAGTGTCCATTCCACCCTGCGCATAGTATTGCGCCCACGCCTGGACGTTCGGATCTGAGTATGTTGCATTCGGATCGAAAACGTAGGGTGGGCCTGCACTTTGAGGTTGTAGTTGCTGTGGTTGCGGCTGCGGTTGCAGTTGTTGGGCATGTACTCCGGGTGAATACTCGGCTGGCTGTTGTGCCTGTGGTTGTTGCTGGGGATAAAGTTGCTGTTGAGTTTGCTGCTGGGAATAAGGTGTTGGCGAAGTCTGCGGGTACGGCGTCTGTGCGGGCAGAGGGTGCGGTGCTCCGCTAACGGGGCCACCGTAAACTTGCGCTTGTTGGTATGCATATGCAGGGTCAGGATGTTGTGGTGGTCCAGCATGAGGCTGGGGTTGGAGCGGTGGTTGGGACTGGGGCTGAGGCTGAGGCTGGTAGACATTACTGGGACCTCCATATCCATACGGCTGGGGTTGGTCGTACCCGTATCCGTAGGGTTGTGCGGGGTGCGGACTGGTGTCGTACACTACAGAACATAGTGAGATACGATGACAATAGAGAGCTCTATTGCTTACTCGCAGCGTGACGCGCAAGGCTATCTTCCATTATCCGATCAAATATAGTTCGGGCTTTCACGAAGGACTCGTTCATCGATACCAAATCGGCTGTGTAATTCATCAATCCAATTGACCAGCGAAAATCGGGAAAGAAACCGTACCTCGCTTCTGGCTGTACTTGTCAATGAGCTTGACAATCTTGGGACGGAGGGCCATGCATGAGCGGTATAATTCCTGAATCTCCTCGTTATCGGCTAGGTTCTCTCTTGAAGCATCCAGACTCCGCAGCATTGTCAACAACCGATCAACGTTCACAGCTTGAGCGAAGACAGCTGCTTCCTGCTCTGCCTCACGCGCAAGTTCAGCGGCAGTCGGCTCAGGGAGGGGTTCCTGCGCGTAGCGGAATACATGGCGAGCAGAACGAGCGCGACAGCAACGATTGAGAACATGTGAGATTATCATGATCAAGCAGGAATAAAGAGAGACGTACAACATAATTCACGGGGAATATTCCTGTGCGTCCCTTCAATTGCCCTCGCCACCAATCCTTGTAGCCTCGATCCACAACCTTGATCACGTCACCTTTTTCAAAGGCGAGTTCGCCGGGTTCCGTTGGCTCAAAGGTGTGCAGGGCGCGGACACGAGTGACTACTGGTGTAGAGAGTTGGGACGGAAGTGACGATGTCGAAGACGCAGCCATGGCTGAAACTCCGCCACTCGTGGCAGAGTATCCCGTGGTTGTCCTGGCATTTGAATTGTGACTATTCGATGTATACGCGGGAGCCTTTGGACTCGGCGAGCGCGCTGGGACATATCCAGATGCATGCCTTTGTGCACCGGACGAACTAGCTGAGGTAGCAGGTGCGTAAGTAGATCGCCCGCCCTTGTCGCGCATGCTCATTTCAAGGACACGTTGGAGTTCCTCTTCCTCACGCCGCCGTGCCTCGTCGTCGACGGTTGGCGGGGGTGGCTCAGAGGGGGTTTCGAATTGATAGTCTGTGAGGCAATGAATCAGTCGGGATACCGCAGGGTAATGCAAGGTAAGAAGGTGTGAGAATGATGGGAATCAGAGTTGGTGGAGACGGGGTGGATCAAAGGGAACGTACTCTTTGCTTTCAGATTGTTGTAGCAGTCCTCCATAACTCCTAGAGTAGGTTCGCTTTCAAATTCTGATGTCCACATCGCAATGAGGCCGAGAGCCCTCCGACGGACTTTTTCATGTGTTGTCTGTCAAGGACCCAAGTCAGTTTCGTCCGAAGTGTAATATGCGGGACTAAAGGGCAAGCTCTGAACAGGAGTATGCACGCACCCGATCAACGATAAGTTTCTCCAATGCCCCAGTGAATGCTCGGCTAGCAAGCTCGCGATGAAGTGCGATACCACAATTCTTTGAGAGTGATTCTCCTAGCGAAAGTGCGTAGAGTTGTACATTTGGGCTACGATGGGCCAGACGCTTCAAGAGTGCTGCGATCACGTTACGGGCACTGCCAAACGAAATTCGCGTTAACATCGGAAATTATCAAGTCTCCAGAACCAGCAAGTTGACTGGTTTGAGATCGTGATGCAGCGGAAACAAGGCTCACCCCTGTTCTCCTTCTTCTTGTACTTTATCACATAGATTGAGAATGACCTCCCAGTTCTCATCTGTCAAGTTCTCATCGGTGGCCTTAGCTGAGATACGTTAGACATTGTATCAGGATACAACGACCGACACAGCGAGCATTGCCCACGCACCCACTATATCATCGTAAGGATTGGGTTGGCCTGCTCTGAACATGGTCGCTTTCAGCTACCTGGTCGTTGAACAAGATGACGGTTAGATGCAAGTCAGATGCACAGTAACATGCATCAGCAACTGCGGAGGCTGTGCTGTGCCGCAAATATCCGTTCCTCCCAACATCAGCTATCTTAATCCCAAGTCATATACCATCCTATACATTTTACATTCTACAATGGCCAGAAGTAAGTCTAATAGTGGATTATGATCCAAGTTGATGTTATCTGACTTCCAACAGTTCCCCGCAACTTCCGCCTGCTAGAGGAGTTAGAGAAAGGAGAGAAGGGCATAGGCGATGGCAGTTGCTCGTATGGTCTTATGGACGGCGACGATATAATGATGAGCAACTGGAATGGAACAATTCTTGGCCCTGGACATGTAGGTATTCTCAATCAGTATCATATCGCCTGCTGATCGATAAACTTGATCTGCTTCTGTAATGATCACTCCCCTTTGTCTCGACCGCTTCTCTTCGGGACCGCTCTTCTGCCCTTACATGAAAACCTGCACGCCTCTTGCAGACTGTCCACGAGAACCGCATCTACAGTCTAAAGATCCATTGTGGCGACGACTACCCCGACAAGCCACCCAACATTCATTTCATCTCCCGTGTCAACCTCCCTTTCGTATCTCAGACCGATGGCAAGATTGATCCTATGAGGCTCAGTGTGCTCTCTCAGTGGGGGCGGGATAGTAGTATTGAGACGGTCCTTGTCGGTATCAGGAGGTATGTACATCCCTTCCTTATCTCGTATCTCGATTTCTTGCCATCAACAATGTGTGATCATGAGGTCGTTACTGATGTACTGCCTGTACAGGGAGATGGCAACAGCCAACAATCGGAAGCTTCTTCAGCCTCCAGAGGGGACCACCTTCTAGAGTCACTTTTATCCATACAAGACGGACTATCAGCCCATTTGCAATGTACAACATAAATTATACAAGATATACCTCGACGACGAGGCATTTTCCGATGGGTTATATATGTATTGGGGAGGGACTTTGACCTATTCAGTGAATCCAAACTCAGATCTAGGTATAATGATCATCGCAATCGTTCCAGATCTGCTCAACTATGCACATACATGAAGCCTATGCATGCACAATCAGTGAACCCTTTCACTGGTAGACGCAACAGGCGACAAGCGGTGAACTTCTGCACCCTGTTTCAGGTCCGCCCCACCAGCGTAAAAATCTGTCTTAGGGAAGTCAATTCTCTATTTTCTTTAGCAACTCGATAAGATGCTCCAAGTTCTATTCGAACGCGACTCGATTGAGACTCATATTCAGAGACGGTGTATAGATGACGGACAGTATGATGTATGCATTGACAAGGGCGCTGCAGTGATCTGACCGATGAGCCATAGATGGTCAAGAATCGAAGCGCGTCGTACAGCGATCATGCGGAGTTTACTACCAGTGTCATTTTTGCGGCGCTGAGAATCACCTCAGCGAAGTCGGGCCTCTGTACATGTCAGACTCCGGTTGCTCAATTGATTGGTTGGCATGTTTCCCTTCTCGGCCCTCAATGTGTCTAACAACCACAAGTCGAGTATGCAATCGACGTTTTCAGATCTCCTCATAGTGCGATTTAGAGCACTCGATTTTGTAACATTGACTTCAATCACACGACTGACGCAGTAATGCGTCTTCGCAAATTTCACGTCCAGCAACCTGACGGTATGTTATCATGTAATGTCGCTACCAATCTTGAGCTGGATACTCAATGACGTTCCGCTCTCAGTTGGAGCGTCACGGTCTGACCATTCATTCAACCCTAGTCTAAGCCGAGCACCAGGATCTGAAGACTGGAATGGAAGAGTACACCGAACTCGCGTCGGAGAGGCTAGCGGCAATGTCTCACTGTTAGCTGTTGCGTTATCCCGTCTTTTTAGCTGCTTTCCTGACGCTGATACGTTTGTTCGCGCTCGTGATTCATAAGTTACCTTTACGACTATTCATTCAACCTTAGTCCGAGCCGAGCACCAGGATCTGGAATGGAAAATTTCACCAAACTCGCTTCCGAGAGCTCCTTGAGGTGCTCCAGAAACTGTGCCGACGGTGTCCCACTCTAGTATGCGTTGCTTCAGAACGAAGCAGCTGCACTGTCAACAGTGCTTATACATATCACACCGGATACACTTGAAGGCAAGTGTAGTATTAATCACTAACCCAGCTGACCATGTAGTGCACTCTTCCCACTCCACTTCTCTTGCAGTACCAAAGGGATGGTCTCTCTCCTAGTAGATATACTAGGCATCATGTGGTGTGGCACGTGCAGCTTTTCTCTTGAAGATTAGCCTTGTTGCAACCTTTGTGTATAATCGCGAGGCCTTTGACCATTCAAGCGGTGAGCTTCCGACTCTCTGGAGCATGATTGCTTACTTGAACTTCCCATTAGTAACCGGAATTTCAACAACTATATCATCTCGGCTTCAGCCCTGTGAGCTTCAGTTTGAACGAATGCCGTAACTGAGATGTAATGACAAACTTCCATCAGTCGACTGCAGTGTAAAGGGCATGTAAAGTTGTGTTGGTTGAAGGGACATCCAGCGAATCCAAACTCAGATCTAAGCATAATCGCAATCGCAATCGTTCCAGAGCTTCACTTATACATACTTGCAATATGTAGATGTACAATACTAGCTAGGCACAATCGGGTTGTGTTGTCTGCAGTAGCCTCATATTACGTACCTCAATCGTCTTCCTTCGCTCTCCTACGTCTTCATTACCGTCTGATCAATCAGAATGCCCTTCCCGTTGCTCAGGGATTTTGGCAAGGTAATCCCAGTTCGTTTGAGGCGCCCTACAAAGAACGGAGTCACACAATGCAACCTGAACTCGACAGCTGCCAACCATGCGAGCGATTGCTCCATCCCCGCTAGCATCACTAGCAGTGCCTTGTCCTTTGCTTCATCCGTTCACACTTCTAATTCATTGCTAGTGCACCCTGTTTCTGCGAGCAGAGAGCCGGGTCTCGAAGTCCCCGCCAATGTTTCTTCCGCCACATACTCATGGGGTGTATCCCCTGCCCGCGATGCTTCCGACATGGCTCAACTAGCTTTGCCCTTAATACAGGCTGTTGCAGGTGCAATTCCACTTGTCGGTGCTCCGGTGCAATCGGCCATCGGTGGATTATTGACAAGCCTTCAAGCTATAGATGTGAGAGCCTGTGTGATTGCGAGGTCGATTCTTGTTTAAAAGCCATACAGAGACGTGGTCAGAATACGGCGGACCTAAATAGCCTGACATTGCGACTCGATCGACTAAGCCGCGATTTGTGCAACGCTGCACCTGCCCGGGATCCTCTTGAACAAACCCGGAGGGATTCCCTTGTTAGGTACACACCTTTCTGATGTGTGCTTGAATTCACCCGACATCAAGTCGCACTTAGGATGCTGCAAGACACCTCAGCCAAAGTGACAGTATTGAATAAATGTTGTCTCGCATACACATCCATCACACAAGCTATTGCCGGATGCTTTGTTGAAATCGATCGTTATCTGGCTGAGTATTTGGTTGTGTTCTACTCTATGGGGGTTGTTTTTATTCACTCATATTCTGCTTGTTAGTTGTCGTCCCAAATGCAAAATCAACATGACATGCATGAAGTGCTGGCAAGTCTGCAAAGGCAGCAGAAGGATTATCAGAGGCTCCACGAGGATCATCAAAAGTTACTGATGACAATGCAAAGCCTGGTGATCCGTGAACGATCCTCCATAGAACCGTCTGCAATGCATTTAACCGAAACTGTCGCGCCTGGCTGTGTCACACTCGTAGACGCAACAGGCCACGAGCACGCAATATCGGCGAACTTCTTCACCTCGTTTCAGGTCCGCCTTGCCAGCGTAAAAATCCGTCTAAGAGAAGCTTACCCATCCAATTTTCTATTCTCTTTAGCAACTCAATAAGATGCTCCAAGTTCTGTTTGAACGCGACTCGATTGAAGCTCAAATTCAAAGACGGTATATGGAAGCCGGTCATTACTATTTATGCGTTGACAAAGGTACTGAAGCAATCCAACTGACAAGCCATGGATGGCCAAAAATTGATGCGGGCACGAAGATTATCATGAGGGTTGTCATTAGAGAGCGGACGACATCATTTGGAGTCGACTACCAATGTAGTTTCTGCGGCGCCGAGAATCACATTGGCGAAGTTGGGTCTATTATGCGTTCGCTTCAGCAGCAGTCTAACTCTGTTTGCTCGATTGATTGGTTAGCGTGTTTCTCTTTTGGGTCCTGACTGCGTCTAACAACCGCAAGTCGAGTATGCAAACGGCGGTTTCAGATCTCCCGTCTATCTCGCGACGTGTTGCAGAGCACTCGATCCTGTAACATCGACACCAATCACACGGCGACTGGCGCAGAAATGCGCCTTATTCGCAACTTCCATGTCGAGCAAAATGTATGTTATCATGCAACTTCTTTAGCAATCTTAAACTGAATGCTCAACGACGTCCCGCTCTCAGTTGGTGCGTGATCTCGTATTTTAAGTGGATTACCCGATGCTCATCGTGCCACGGTGATGTCCCGTTCTCAGTGGGTGCGTGATCCCATCTATTGAGTTGCTTACCCGACAATGATGGTACTACGGCAATGTTTCACTGTTAGCCAGTGCGTCATCTCGTCTTTTGAGCTGCTTACCCGGTGCTGATGCAACGTCTCACTGTTAGCCGGTGCGTTTCTCGTCTTTTGAACTGCTTATCCGGTGCTAATGGTACCACAACGACGTCCTTCTCTCAGCAAGTGCGTCTTTTCGTCTTTTGGGCTGCTTACCCGACGCTGATGGTGCCACGGCGGTGTCCCGCTCTCCGTCATCATCTTTTAACTCGCATCACTGCACGTGCCACTGCCACCCACTCCCGTGTCGATGCGCATTTCATCTGACGACGATTCTTGCATGAACTTCAATGCACCCCAGTGCTGTCACTGTGGCTGGCGCGGATGCCACTCCCCTCGCTGCCCCTTCCGCTGAGCACACAATTATTACGTTTTTACTCCCTTTGCTCGTAAGTTGCATCTGCTATTGTTTTACATCATTTGGTGACTCAATGTCGAATCCTAGATAATTGCTCTCATCATCGCTCATCCACCCCGTGTTATCATTCGGCTGTTCGATCGCATCTGTTTTGTCGTCTTCTATGTACACCCATAATCGTTGAGGTCTCATCGCAGTTGTACGATCAAGTTGAGGCCTCAGAGGGTGTACAGGAAGTTGCTAAGCGGATTCTTCGGGGCAGCAGGATATTTAGGCTCACAATTTTTCCATCTGCCCTGTATGTATGATCATTGCCCCGAACTGTTGACCATGCTGAAACGTCAGTAATATAGATGTCACGACGCCTTGTGCATATTCATCATCGCAGCATGCTTATATGATCATTTAGCTGGTAACTTTGAGACTTCCTGGGATCCCACTGGTGCACAGCGATCATCTAGTCTCGTGAACCAGCTGCCTTGTCTGAGGGGGGATGTGTGACACTGAGACGGCTAGAAGAACTTCCCTCAGTGTAAAAGTAGTACTTGAAGAACCCTTCGAAACTCCACACTGACCAAAAATGGTACTGCGTCATGGTGTTATAGATCTGGTGCTTGGCAGAACGAGGGAATCACGGGGAACCAAAGCACGCACCGGGCCAATATTGATATTAATCCGAAGCCAATGCCCAAGTGAACGAGCTATCTGAAGGATGCCGAATCTCCAAGCTATTTGCTTGCTATTGATCCATACCACACTTAGCAGCGCAGATACTCGTAGTATGCGTTGTTTCAGAACGAACCAGCTGCCATCACTAGTACTGTGACACTACTAGCTAACTTAGTAGAAGCATTGCCAACAGTGTCAGGCCTATTAATATAAATAGCACCAACTTAGCTAAGTCATAGATAGCCAAGTGAAGGCTTCTTCCTACTCCGCCACTTCTTCTCCTGCAGTACCAAAGGGGAAGGGCAAAGACTTGATCCCAGTGCTGGAAATCCAGAGACTCAGTCAGTTACCTACTACCATTCGGTCGTCTCCGAAGGAGGTCGGGTCCTAGACCATCGATATGGCATACTGGCATCGGGTGGCATGTAGCTTCTATTCCATTTGGCGCCGGTTCTTGAAGATGAGCCTTTTTGTAAAGTTATTGTGAGGTGACCTTGGCCCATTCAAGCAGTGAGCTTCTAAATCATTGATCACGACTGCATGTTGATCTTCCAATCATTGACCAAAATTTTAACGACTAGTATGCATCATCAGCCGTGTGAGCTGCGATCCGAATGAATGCGATCACTGAAACGTAGTGACATAAATCCATACTTGTTTGGTCCTTCGAAACTGAGCCCAAATTGTTCAATGGGCGCGCTGAAGGCCGTACTAGTAGAGCAACCCTGCAGCTACGTCCAATTATATCCTCCCGAGCTTCTCTTGCGAAGCGAGTATTAGCACACGTACCCACTTACGCATTCCGCCATGATATAAAAGGGCTTTACTCAACCATGTCGTCTAGTCCCCATCCTTGCGATCAAGGCTCGACATGATGTGGGCTATTGCGACGATCTTACTTGCAGGTGTCGCCCGAGCGGCTATCCCCAATGCCATGCTCCGTGGCATGCCTACTCTCCCAAAGCTTTCAGTGCCAGAACGTTCTGTCACCTCGCCGAATGGTACAGCACTCCCACCCATTACGACCGTCTATTACTTCGACCAGCTCATCGACCACAATAACGCAAACCTCGGAACGTTCCAGCAACGGTACTGGATGAGCTGGGAGTTTTATGAGCCTGGTATGTCGAGAGGATGAAAGTGCGCTTGATGTTAACGTGATGAATTAAAGGTGGCCCCATCATCTTGATGACACCTGGAGAATCTGACGCTGATGGTTAGTTTAAAACACTTGATTTGCGATTTTCTCTCAATTACTGGTTTTCAGGCTTCGAAGGCTACCTTACCAACAGCACCATCAATGGTGTTATTGCTCAACAACAGAAGGGTGCAGCCATCCTTATAGAACACCGTTTCTTTGGCTATTCAAATCCATATGATGACCTCACGTCAGAATCTCTCGCTCTCCTCACCATCCAGCAGGCCATCGATGATCTCGTGTACTTCGCCACGACCGCCGATCTTCCCATGCCTGGGGGTGATGCCGTGAAGCCTGGTCAGGCGCCATGGATACTGGTTGGAGGAAGCTACTCGGGAGCCCTCACCAGTTGGACAATGGTGAAGTGAGTAACTTACTAAAATTTAATTCTGTCGTTTCGGATATTGATGAACGTAAAGTAAACCGGGAGTTTTTTGGGCTGGATATGCATCTTCTGGCGTCGTAGAGGCAATCACGTACGTCACTTTGATGCAATCACCGCACATTTCCCATTGATGCTTCCCCCCGCCGACCAAAACAGCGACTATTATAGCTACTTTACCCCAGTTCGCGAGTACATGCCACAGAACTGTTCTTCTGATGTAGAGGCAGTTATTGCCTACCTGGATGACATGTACGCGGCTAATGACACCGCTGGAATCCAGTCGCTTAAGGAGTCATTTGGCCTTGGCGATCTTGTACACGTAGATGATTTCGCCGCTGCACGTGAGTCGTCCTTGCCCTATTGTCCAGTCTTCAATCTTTGCCTGTAACGGACAACATGATCCGCACTTTATCCACTGCCTTTTTAACCCTAACTGATGCTACTCGAATCAACAGTTCAATTCAACTTGTTCGATTGGCAATCTCTGCAGCCTGATGTCGGCCCAGGAGCGATGTTCTTCCAGTTCTGTGATGCACTCGAGGTCAAGGACGGTGTCAGCGCCGGATCTGAGGGATGGGGCCTTGATCATGCTATCGACTCGTGGGGCAAGTTCTGGAATACTACATACTACAACAATGGTAATGTGATCTATTTGATTTTCGGTTGACGTGGCTAATTGGATGGTGAAGTCTGTGGAGATCAGGATGCTGAGTGCGTATCCTTTAAAACTAGATGCGTCCAGACTGGCTAACGGTGAAGCTAGAACCTGTCTTGGGACGTATGACACGAGCCAGTCCTACTGGACCGATGTTACTGTGAATAATGCCAACAGGTCGTGGTTCTGGATGGTGTATGGATTCTCATTGGCTCCAATATCCACTCTGACGACCATTGCAGGTGCAACCAAGTCGGCTGGTACCAGGTTGGCCCTCCTGAAGGCCAGCCTGCCATCATAAGCCGAATCCTCCAACCCATTTATAACGAGGTACGTATATTTGACTTGAAAGATGACCATTCGTCAACTTCTTCTTCAGCGCGAATGCGTCAACATGTTCCCTGAAGCCTTCGCTTCTCCACCTGAGCCTACCACTACTGAGACCAACACAATGTACGATGGCTGGAACGTGGATATCCCCCGTCTCTTCTTCGCCAACGGCCTGCGTGACCCTTGGCGCGAGGCAACTGTCTCTGCTGACGGGTTGAACAAACCTAGCACTCTCAGCACGCCGATCTATGAGGGCGATGGATTCCACTGCTCGGACTTGGTCATACAGAATGGCATTGTTGACGCGACAATCGCTGCCGTGCAGGAAGCAGGAATAACATACATGAAGGGATGGATTGCTGAGTGGCAACCTTCCGCTTGATGACTTGCTATAGATGTGACTTATGGACAGGCGAGTTCTTTAATAATCACCTATCAGGTTACAGTGAACGTATGGTGTTGGTCCCTTACTTAGTAATGAGCAAGTTGATACCCGTCACATTTAATAGAGGAAGGCTAGTTCATTTATTTTCCACATTGCACCTATATACCCCTGTGCCAGCCCTTCGAAAGTGAAACATGCGCTGGATTTCCTCCCATAGGCCCTTTAAGTACTTGGTTTGCTTTGGAAACAGAGTGATGGATGCGCTCGACAGGCATCCTCCAAGTTGATTGACATGATCTCAGAACGGGTGAATAGGACGATGTCTGTGCCGGGTCCCATACCGAGTTTCCCGTTGCAGATGTCATAGGCCAACATCTCCGCTGCAGCATTGACCCCAGTGGGAAGCTGACTTTGGAACAGAAAGGTCTTCCGGAAGGACCTTTGTGTTGGTCTCATGTTAAACCTTGTGGGGTAACTATATGGTTATTGGTTCCGTATACCAGCAACGGCGCCGCTTCAACACAGAATGGTTGAGCGTTGTATAGGCAGCATTTTACCGAAAATCACTGGTGGCAAAGGAGTGCTACCTTGCGAATGAGAATCCTACGGTTTTCGGTAAGTAATATAATTCGGCGAGCGTCACGGTTCACTGCAATATATGGATTTTTCAAGCGCCGCGATCTGGGGAAAAAAGTCCAACACCCTAAAGCTGGATCTCCCTGGGGTGGACATTGATGGATTGGGTGAGGGGCAGTCTCCTCTAGCCAGACCATATAGAAGGAAGACAGTCGTTCCTTCTTGATTATGGTGAGAGGTTTCCCGTTACATAGCGTTGCCACATCGGAATATTCCCGCTGCCGGCTCTTTCCGTAGCACATGAGGGGAAGATGCATGCAGTTTGTCCAAGTCTTAGGCCACCAGCTCCTGCCATGCGATGAGCTCTCAATACCAGTGCTTGCTATGGATTCACCACAGCCGAAGCTATGCGAGCCCTGCATCCCATTGTTGGCCGACTGAACGGGTGCTCTGGCTATCAACCTTGGAATGAATGGACCCAGTCACCAAGCCACCAAGTGAGTACCACACCCTTGATATTCCAACGAACATTGATCGCCGTTTATGACAGTTACAATCCTGCCAGTGCAACAACTTGGTTCGCGACACGTTGTGCTAAAGTTGCCTGCCTGTCACACCTGTGAACGGACGGATTCAATTAGTGCAAGGGTAAGATACTACACATTTAAACAGTGAAATTTAAACCTGAGAAAAGGAACCGCAACGGATTTATTTCATATTCGCCGTGCTACTCATAAAAGAAACGCGGGCCATCGTAATTCCAACTACCTGGCAAGAAAGAAGCGTAAAGAGACAGTGATACCAAGAGAAAGCAGCAGTTGAAGGAACGCCTCATCGCACCGATCAAGATTTCCTGCCGACCAATGTCAACGAAATTCCCTGATTCCATCGACAGGCATAAGGCAGGCATCATTATATTGCCAAAATTCACAATCAGATGATCCTTGCAGCCGCGCGCTGCAACTTTGAATTCGACCTCTAGGAAAATGCCAGCGGGAAATCCATACTACGTAATGATTCTTTCACCAACTTCAAGCCAGGCACATTACGCCGTTGAGCAACTCGCATCGTTACCCTGCAACTTCGTCCAATTAATGTATATCCTCATACCAAGCAAGTATCACACATATCAGCAGCTTCATATCGATGCTATGGTTACATATAAAGTCTTTCCTCCACCATGATCATGTTGTGTAAGTCCTATCCATGCGATCAAAACTCGACATGATGTGGGTCATTGCGACGCTCCTACTTGTAGGTGTCGCCCAAGCGGCTATCCCTAATGTCATGCACCATGGCAAGCCTTCTCTCCCCCAAATCCCGGTGCCAGAACGTCCTGTCACTTCACCGAATGGCACAGCACTCCCACCCATTACGACGATCTATTACTTTGAGCAGCTCATCGACCACAATGATCCAGGTCTTGGAACATTCCAGCAGCGGTACTGGATGGACTGGGAGTTTTATGAGCCCGGTATGTCCTGAGGATGGAGGTGCTCGTTAATTGATGTCAGTGTCATCAATTCAAGGTGGCCCTATTATCTTGATGACGCCTGGAGAAAGTAACGCAGTTGGTAAGTTTACTATACTTGACTTGCGACTTTATCTCAAGTACTTGGTTTTCAGGCTTCCAAGCCTACCTTACCAATGTCACCATTATTGGCCTCATTGCTCAACAACAAAAAGGTGCAGCCGTTGTCGTAGAACACCGTTTCTTTGGCGATTCCAATCCATACGACAATCTCACCTCACAATCCCTTGCTGTCCTCACAATCCAGCAGGCTGTCGATGATCTCGTGTATTTCGCCACCACAGCAGACCTTCCGATGCCTGGGGGTGATGCTGTGAAGCCAGGTCAGGCCCCATGGGTACTGGTGGGAGGAAGCTACTCGGGAGCCCTCACCAGTTGGACGATGGTCAAGTGAGTATCAATTATTGGACTCTGTTGTTTCAGCATGGTGATCGACTCAAAGCAAACCGGGAATTTTTTGGGCTGGATATGCATCTTCTGCCGTCGTGGAGGCAATCACGTATGTCAATTTTATTGCAGCCACCGCCCGTATCACATTGACACGATGAAACACTTCTCCTTCCTTAAAACACCATTGACACGAATGAATCCGCATACAACGTGGTCATTCGGTCTCTTCTTGACAAAAACAGTGACTATTACGGCTATTTTACCCCGGTTCAAAAGTACATGCCACAAAATTGTTCTTCCGATATAGAGGCAGTGATTACACACCTAGATCGGATGTACGCAGTGAATGACACTGCTGGAATCCAGGCGCTCAAGGAAACATTTGGTCTTGGCAGTCTTGTACACGTAGACGATTTCGCTGCTGCAAGTGAGTCGTCCTTGTCCCTTGTTCAGTCGTCATCTTGGCGTAGAACCGATAGCATGATCTACACGCCTTTTGATCTGCGAAAAATCTACTAGTTCAGTTTATGTTGTGATCAACGCGCAATGACGATACTCTTCATCCATGTTACGTTCCCCGTCTGGCTATCAGTTTTCATTTCCCAGACCTTTATTATTCTGACGATCGTCTTTTCTCAATTTGATCTTAACTGACTCCGCTCGAACCAACAGTTCAAATCAACTTATTTGCTTGGCAAAATCTAGCGCCTTATGCTGGCTCAGGGTTCTATGGGTTCTGTGATGCACTCGAGGTCAAGGATGGTGTCAATGCCGGACCTCAAGGATGGGGACTTGAAAACGCCATCTACTCTTGGGGTAAGTTCTGGACTACCGAGTGGTATGACTTTTGTAAGGCGGTTCGTTCGATTTTCGATTGACATGGCTAAACTGGATGGTGAAGACTGCAACGCCCAGGATGCTGAGTACGTATCCCCAAAACGTGGCGTTGTCTGGATTGGCTGACTGTGAAGCCAGGACCTGTCTTGGGACGTACAACACGAGCCAGTCCCACTGGACTAATGTCGCTGTGAGTAACGCCAACAGGTCGTGGTTTTGGATGGTGTATGTATTCTCTTTCGCAGCGACATCTCATCTAACAAACCTTTCCAGGTGCAACCAACTTGGATTCTACCAAGTTGGCCCTCCTGAAGACCAGCCTTCCATTGTAAGCCGCATCCTGCAACCGATTTACCACGAGGTATGTACATTGCATTCAAAACACGAATATTCATCGACAAAATCTTCAGCGCCAATGCGTCAACATGTTCCCTCAAGCTTTCGCCTCTCCACCTGAGCCTACTACAGCAGAGACCAACAAAATGTACGCTGGCTGGGATGTGGATATCCCACGTCTGTTCTTCGCCAACGGCCTGCGCGACCCTTGGCGCGAGGCAACTGTCTCTGCTGATGGGCTGAAAAAGCCTAACACTACCAGCATGCCTATCTATGAGAGCGATGCATTCCACTGCACAGACATGATCACGCAGAGTGACATTGACCCGTCAGTCGTCGTTGTACAAAAAGCAGCGTTAATGTACATGAAGGAGTGGCTTGCTGAGTGGAAGCCTTCCGCTTGATGCATATGAATTAACATGGATCGATTTTTTGGACTTGGCAGCTCAATGTTGGCAAGGAAGGTGGCGCCGTGTCCTCGCGATTTCCGTTGTCCCTCCCTGCATAACTTACAACTTGGTCAGTTTTCATTTAACTCTCGATGGGCACTTTGTTTTAAACCGAAGTGGTTCGATTTTGAGCTATGTTGGTTTTGAACAGCACTGGAGAATCGCCGGCTCTGAATGACTAACTTGAACTGGCGGGAGATCAAGTTGTGTTCCTCGATGTCTCCTCCTCGATACCAAACTCAGGTGAAGTTGTGGCTGCAAACAGACGGTTATCTATTTAGTTACTGTTCGTAATTATTTATCTCGGTCGAGTGAGCTGTAAGTGCTATCCATAAATTGCGAACGCAGTGGACGATTGTACCCTAACTAATTGCATTTACTTCTAACTTCCACGTCGATGTGTTCCATGGCGTCGTCGTGGAGTCTGACGATCCGCTAGCCAGCACTCTGCCATGTTGAGAAAGTCGGGCGATAATATCTAACCGGTGTGGGATTCGATAGCTTGGGTGAGAAGTTTGCCAGTTTTTCCATCACATGCAACGAGTTCGCCGTTTTGATCAGCACTCGTTATCAACCGCCCATTCTGCGATATCGCCAACACCTGCACCCGATTATGACGAGCCCCACAAACGAAGTAGCCTGTCGCTCGAGCATGTGACCACATGTTATTTGTCGGGGAAAACTGCAACTGCGAATAAACGAGCTTCACGATCTTCAAACACTCTAGCGGGCATGGTGCTTGGAATGAGTTGCGCCGTTTTCTGAAGGTCGAAGGTACTGAGGACAGTCAAGGTGGGCTTGGTGGGGGATTGTGGGTATCTAGCTCAATCTCGCAGAGGTGCATATACTGGGGCGCTTTGATCGAACGGTGGGTGTAAGCGTTGAACATGTCCTGTTCAAGTGAGCTGACAGTATACATTACGAGTAAAACGGGCTATTTGTGTAATACAAACACTCTTGAGTACAAATGAAAACTCTGTGATTCAAACTGCATGAGTAACTGCTTGCCGCGATCGCAACATCTCCATTGGAAGCATAGAGCACGCTTAATTCACTCGAGAGCCGTGCGAAGTGCGCTAGATCATCTTAGACGGGGTGACATCACTGAATATTTTGAGCGAACCAAGCATGTAACCTGACCTTCGTGGTTGCATCACTCTTGTACATGATGGATCGGTACGTTTCGACAGTTGATCCAATTCTACCTGCCCGGAAAAGTGCATGGCACTGTCGCTGGTTCGTGGTTTGCCACAAGGACTTGAGGTCCCAGCCAAACAGCTACAAAAAACGCAGTTGAGCACGAAAGGGATTTTCGGCTGCATCACATCAACGTACCACAATAAATCCCTCGTACATTGATTGCATTGTCGATTTATGAAAGAACGCGCTAGCGTAAACGGTGGCGTCGAAGTGATCGACAGCTTCGTTGTAGCGCACAGGGCAATTTTTGACAGTTGCAGGCCTGATGGGCAGAGAAATCAGTGCCAGACCACTGTCACTGCCAGTACTCGGATCGAGTGCATGATACTCACTTCCATAATATGGCAAGCAAGAGGATCGAAATTGGGACACACAGCTAGCTCTTCGATGCGCTGCATTGCCTCTTCATGCCATTCATTTGCGTGATGGTCTCAAAGTCGTCGTAATGATTTTGAAGCAGTATGTACGAAACTGTAAGAAAAGTGTCAAGAAAAGGAAATGACTGGTCTTTGAATCTCCGCCGTGAACATGTTCAGCAGACATCAGTAAACTACAATCAGCTGTACAGAGCTGTACAGCATCCCAGCTGTGTAGCTTAGTCCCTACTACCTAGCTTACTACAGTAGCCGACCTTTTGTCAATCTCTGTACAGATGCTCACAGACACACCCAGCGAGCACCAAATAGCTCGCAACAAGCTCTCAAATAGCGCTGGTTTCCTCTGTATCTCTGTACAGACACCCACAGACCGCTCAAAGAATGGGAGTTGTGCAGACATTGCTCCTTGTACACCTCACTCAAGCTTATTCACTCTGTACAGCATACTAGTAGCCACAAATGATATAATATTTGAATCTCGGACAGGGAAGATATGAAGGCACATGATAGTAGCAGTGGATGAGAAATCAGGCACGGAATACAAATATCTAGTCCAGAATGACTTGGAGGTGGTCATGTTTCATCTCCGCAGCGCCGCCGTCGACCTTGAGATTTTCGGCCCTATATGAATGAAATTTTACAGTTTTTCATGCGTGATATACAATAGGGACTTACCATCCAGCTTCAGCCCATTCTCGAAGTTGCGCCAACAATCTAGGGCCGTGATATTCATCCTGTAGGGTTTCTTTGATCATTCCGAGCATTTTCCGGTAGACGGGCGAGTATTCCTTGGAGGAAAAGTTCGGATAGCATTTACCGCTACCGTTCTTCTTAAGACCATCGAAAACACAGTGGAACTGTAGAAAGAAAAGTCAACACACAGGCATGACATTGCAGGGAGAAAAACACATCACCACTGTGGCAACTAAGGCTAAACACGATACGGGCAATTGAGTACGGAACTGATCTGGCCGCCTCCATGCGATCCGGTAAGGTCCTGTGTAAAAAAAGGCAATGGTGGCATTGTGGAGGGCAGGATTGGCAAAATTCCTTGTTCTCCCCTGTTGATCTTCCATGAGTATGGTTGCGATCAGCACAAAATCACTTACATTATGGTCTTTTCCAAACCGTAAAAACAAACCACCCTCGAGTAAATCTTTAGCAGTGTTTTCAATCCAAGTTGCATGTTGTTGAGGAGGAATGGAAGGTGGGGGCAAAAGCGAGTATGATAGTGGCATGATACTTATTGCAGTCTTCTTCAGATCAGACCGCCAAGTCGACAGGTTGTCGTACAACTTTTATAGAAACCCATGACATGCGTCAATGAGGCAGTATGAATGTAAGGAATCTACTCACCAACCGCGTCATGTTATATTGCTGCTCCAGCCAAACCCCTGTGTGACAACATGAAACAGATTAGCCCGGGAACAAACAAAGCATGTACCAGCTTCAAATTGTTTACCGTTCTTGTCCCACGCGACCAAGACTGAAAGCAGAACTTTGGAGATGGTTCCTGGCATCCCCTTGACTAAAGGTGGGAATGGGTTTTCCAGGGCATGCTGCCCGTGACACTCTCCTTTGACCTCCTCAAGGAAACTTTTCCAGTGTGGTCTGTACCAAGCCAGTTGGTCAGGCTTCAGCCCACTGTCAGATCCCTTGGATTTTTTGGTTCTTGGCCGGGCCTGAGCAGACTCCGCCACTTCGTTAAGCAGCTGGAGCACTTCAGGGTTGGGAAGGCAAGGCTGACCATTTTTATCATGATAGCGCTTCAATACGTTGTCGGGCTTTGAGGTGGTAGTCTTAAAAAATCATGAGCCTCGCCTAAAACAAAACACCTCCCTCACCTGAGTGTCTGGCCATTCTTGTTGTACTCCCAGCAAGGTGTCCAGAGGCTTGAAAAAAGTGAGAAATTGTGAGCGTGATCCAAATGGGTAACGAAAATTGTACCTGGTTGCTGTTGTTGAGACACATCCGGGCAGAGTCATCATCTTCATCGCATGAGTATTGAAATTCGAAATCTGGGGTCAGAGGGCGAGCAACTTGAGCCTGAGTAGGGAGCGCTTCAGCTGGAAATCCTGTAAATGTACAGTTGAGTCAGTGAAGGTACTTTTGACGTGAAATTCTTACCTGGATGTTCTTTCTGTCATTGTTGAGCTCCCCCCCAACCAAACTGTGATTCATTATTCTCTCCTTTGTCTCCTTTGTCTCCTTCTTTGTCTCCTTTGTCTCCTTTGTCTCCTTTGTCTCCTTTGTCTCCTTCATCTCTGTTGTCTCCTTTGTCTCCTTCATCTGCTTTGTCAACGTCAATGTCGGTACCGCTACTGCTAGATTCATCGTCCTCTGGATCGAATCCTATCGGCCATCTATGAAGTACTTGCCTAACGATGCCATCCTCCTTGCACAGGGCCAGGTCCAGGTTGCACTCTGAAAAGGTAGCGTGCAGTGGAGGTTGGGAACTGCGAGTAACGAGAGCATTCAGTGGAGGTTGGGAACTGCGAGTAATGAGAGCGTTCGGTGGAGGTTGGGAACTGCGAGTAACAAGAGCATTCTGATTGCACCTCTCGGTAACCTTCATTCCCTCAGTGAGATATGGGTCAATCAAGACTTGAGAGTTGGGCTCCATGGCAGGGGGGACAATACATGTGGTGGTCGAAGCTGCAAAACCGAACCCCTGACCCTTTTGCTGTGATGAAAAGTTGGGCACTAGGGTACTGGGACTGAGGTCCGAATCAGGACTATATGGCGGAGGGAGCTCCTTAATGCGCAATCAACACCATTGACGATAAAAATTGTAAGTTATACCTTTGGACGGTTCTTTCGGCCTTTACGAGGCGGTTCTGGAGCCTGGGGGTTCACAGGATGATTGAGTGTACCAAGAGATGTGGTGCCCTTAGGTTTCCGGCTCTGGGACTTAGCCTCTAATGCTACCCCAATCTTCTCCAACTGCGCATTCCTCCCTCCTGTTCCCGCATTGGAGTGGTCAGAACATTGAGGAGCAGCACCTGCATCAGCTTCAGTACTAAGACCAAGGGATACGAGCAGCATGCTGGGAATTTCGGCGACGTTTGCAGCACGAGGCTTCTTCGGTAAACCAGCCTTTGAAGCGTCAGAAACTTTGCACTTTGACCTTTTCTTCTTGGGACTGGCTGCTACACAAGGGGGCATGTTGCGATATAGAAAGCAGCAAGACAAAGAATTAACTGAATCAAACTCACCATTATATACATATCTTGGCGGAAGGATCTGTGGAGTCTTGACAGCGATTGTGAAGGGCCTCTTGGAATACTACTATGGTATTCGCCTCGACTGTATGGTGCATTGCGGACTCGTGAAGGTATGAATCAAAGTTTCAGATGTCATAAACGTTTAAATGCTAAACAATTTTCAACATATTATGTAAGCAAAACCGTAAACTGCATGGATATCAGTAGAAGAGACCTAGGAGTCAGTACGGATGGCAAATACTACAAAAACATGTCGGGAAATACGTGACACATCCGAGTTAGTGTAAGATACCACAAAAAATATTGCACACTGGCATACATATTACATCTGTTTGGAGATCTCATCTGATTTCTTCCGCTTTGGCATGGGTAAAGATAGTGAAGCAAGACATTTCAAGGTCTTGGATGTATTAAGAATCGTGGCAGATTTCTTGAGCATGGTCATAGTGGATTGGAGCTCCTCATCATCAGAAAGCTGATTGAGATGAGAGTTGAGTATGCGAAGAATGGCGTCAAATGTAACAGGGTGAACCATATTGTCCTTCAATGCTGCGCACCAATCTTTTGCAAGGGGGATGAGAGGTTTGGAGTACGGGTGAAATGCATTCATGAGACGCTCTTCATCCAACAGGTTCGCGAAAAAGGTGATCTTGAAGGCAGCGCATGATGCCAGGTCAAGGCTGGTCCAGCGATCGAGTAATGAATTGGACATGTGCTCCTCACGGACCGTGCTGTTGGGACTGCTGAATTTGATGCAAACCCAAGCGAATATGAAGAAAAGAGATTCGAGGTCATCAGAGTAATCTTGGACAACATGAGAAATGGGCAGTGCCAAAGAATCCAAGGATGTTTTTGGTGTTTTTGGGGCTGGAGCTTTCTTCAGTTTCAATTTGTGTGCTTTTGTCACCCGTTTCATCTCGGCTTCCACCTTCTCCTGTTGCTGCATGAGCGAAACCTGGCCAAGAAGCCTGCGTGACATGAAGGGGACCGTGCCCTGGAAAATAAATCAATGTTTGAACTTGATATAAAAGGAATGAACTTACTGTCCCACCGATGGGATATTTATTATTGGCAGCAATGCATACTGCAAATTCCCAGTCAATAAGGAACCCCTTGCTCAAGTCTATATCATCCAGGATCATCACATTATTTAGACTGCAATCACGATGCAGAATCTTGCGCTCCTCCACCGCTGTTTTCTGGACTAAAAGAAGAGACATTAGTTTAACACTCTTGCACAACTCAAGTCGACACTTACTCATCACAATATCCCTTAATGCTCACACCAACTCTTTGAGTGTTCAAAACATGTGGAGGGGGTGAGCACACGGCTTTAAGACAAGGTGGACATGAGTGCAACCGGTGCCCTGGGTACTCCGACGTTCCCTTTGACGATAACTTCAAGTATTGTTGACCTCGCCTTCTGATGTTGTGACGAGCCAATGATCTACTAGCTCGGGAACACCAGGGACTCCTTGCATTAGGTTTAACATCTTTATCTCGTTCAAGATAATATCATCCTGCTTGCCGAGGACCCAATGGTCCTTGACAATATAGTCTTCCCCATCCAGGCTGGCCAGATAGCAGATCGTTCCATGACCAATGAGGCCCTGGCTCGTGAAAAGAATTCTCTTGATAATGTACATCGTGTCCCCTACGCGGATCTTGCCACAAGGTTCAGGTGAGTGCTCAGAGTGGGGAAATTGGGATGGATGAGGTGTGACGGAACATATGCTCTCCATCAAGTCCTGGGGAATTTGGGATGCGAGGCTGAGAAGGGGGGCACTGGACATCATAGTGGGTTGCACTGGAGAGGAGGGGAGGAGGAATTCTTCTTCTGGTGTAAACGCCTGAGTAGATTCATCTGAGTTCTCTTCAAGTGAGTCCTCAGTTAACCGTTCCTCATAGTCAGAGCCATCAGAGACTACAGACTCGAGATCCTCGTCAGATGATAGGCTCTTGGAATCCGACAGCAGTTCAATGAGGGATTTGGAGGTGGATGCAGGAAGGTCTGCTGGGCTGCTACATCGCACGGGCATGTTCTTGATTGGGCGATAGTCGCGAATAGGTTTGGAAAGGGGTGGCGAAACATGTTTTGTGAATGAGACTGTTGAATCATACCCGACACATTCTAGATTGCTGAAATTGAGAACAGCGATAATATGAGAAAATAAGTCTGGTTGGTCATATATATCAAAGTGGGTAGAAACAGCGCCACCAGAGTGATCATACATGAGGACTCTGAGATGATGATATTGATTCGTAAATGATAGTATGAGCGTGAAGCGCCTCCAGGGCTGTTTGCTCATCATAAGGTAGGCATGGGTGTCTGCAGCCTTCCCAAGCTGCATTGCAGGCTTGTAAGAACTGTGTGTCAGCTCACCAGATACCCTGATATTTCCCCATTTTGCGGTGACATCGTCAGATAGAACAAGGTCGGGTTTGCACTGTATCTTGCTGCTGGGCAATGCCTTGTGAGCATTGGCTGCGCTCCATGTGTGAGTTGCATAACACTCCTTTTCTAGCAGGGGTTGTGATACCGATAAGCAACCAGCAAGAGTGTTGATAAAGGATGCGACAATTTCTTCATAAGTTGCAGCCTCTGGGTCCTGAGTTGTGGAAGGACTACCATGGCTACTAGTACCACTGGGGTCTGAGTCCGAGTCATTTCCAGGGGGGTCAACTGGAAGATCCCAGTTCCAAGTACTTGTTTCAGTATTGTACAGTGGCACCAGAGTATCTGGCGATAAGCCATGGTATCGCGATCTAACATGTTGGTTGGGATGGAGGATTTTTTTGAGAGGAATTTGAAGTGCAGATACTTGGGGGAGGGGGATTTTGAAAGGCTTGAAAATGTGAGACAGCAAGTGTCCTAGCGGTTGTGATGCCTCTGGTGTGCCCTCATGCATGACAAAACGATTGAGTTCGTCAGATGTGATTTTGTTCATTGTGCAGACATTGCTGACGTCGGGAATGGACATCAAGGAGGAAAGTTTGATTCCGTTGTCAACCGTCCTGAAAAAGAATGCCATTTTCTTTGGCGTACACTACGACAACAGTGGGATCGTCTCAGACAGTGCTTATTGTGTGCCACCTGGCGCCTAACATTGAACTAATAATAAATGGCCTCTAGCCAATAGCATTATCATGCTCCGAATAGTGCGTGAAGTACAAAAAAAGATATACAATCTGCGAAAGCTACATAGAAAGAGGGAAGAATGTATTTTTGTCCCAGTATTTATTTAGCCAAAACTCTGAAGCATGTTCTATACTGTTATATGGGGTGAGACGATTGTCTGCACTTGCACCAAAGCGAGGGACAAGGTTGACAGGTGCCCTAAACTGCGAAACTGGTATGATATCACCCACCTGAGTACCATTTGAACGGTTCGCTCATTTGAGTACATGCAGTTGCGTACTCGGCTCACGATCACTTCCACCTTGCGAAACGATGTCAAAGCGATACATGTAGGCGAGGAAGCGGTCCTTCCATGACCAATTTATGCTAGCTTTTCCAACAGGACACAGAATCAGCCTGATTTCACCGACGGTGTGCCCTGAGAGTTTATAATGAGAATAATTAGTATGGCAGGAGAGGAGAACGTACCATGAAGCCCATCGGTAGGCCATGAGCATCTCGCATCATTGTTAACAATGACTGGATCATACCGGCTGCAGGTCCAGACACCAGAGGGTGGTGAACAATTCAAGGTTTGGGCAGGCCGTATGATACTAATGTCGTGAAAATCAGTATCCTGCAATCGAAGCTTAAACCAGACTTGAAGCTTTTCGAATGGAAGTGAAGCGGCGGGTCCAGCTCTCCTAGCCCCCCCAATGATATGAACAAAATCCTGCCCATGAGCAGCTTCACAACTAAGAAAGTCGGCAATGGCTGATCACAGATCAGGAAGGCCAAACTTGAGAGCGGCAGCGTCAACAGAAATGGTTCTGATGGATGGTTCATAAGTAAGATGAAATGATGTGCATCCAACAGAGAACGAGTGCAATGGCACAGGGACCGTCCCCACCTCCCTGGCCTGGAGGAGCTTCGCAATTGCAAAGTAATTGATAATGGGGCGTGAATGGCTGGGACACTTGATGGTCACAAGAAGCTCTGCTGGGATGTCATGATCATCGTCGACATTGAAATCAACATCATCATCAACAGCATCACCGTGACCTGTATGAATCTGCTACTTCGAGCCTGACATATTGTCCAGCAGACTCGTGGCGAGTTTGAAGCGACAGCATTTATCAGTGTGGTCTAGATGACGACAGATTTGTGAATCGTAATCATTGTTGTTGCTTGAGCGTGCGGGATCCTTGATTTTGGTGATGTGTGTGTGTTCTGTAGTGTCAGCGGTCCATTGCATGATAACTCCACTGTTTCAGATACTTGGAACTATGCTCTGCATAAGCTCGATCTTTGGGATATACCAGTTATCGATGACTCCACCACACTGACCGCGATGAAATCCGCCGGCTATGATAGCATCTTTGTTGGCGTGAAATTCGTCCAGTGCCGCAGAAATGTGCTCGAGATCGCGGTCATCAATCTGAAGTGACTGCACGAGATAGTGAAAGTCCATCAGAGCTCAGATGGCAGTGATCACAGCACTAGGTACTGCATCTGCACTAACCACAATGATCGAGCGCTGGATGTCACACTGAGCATGCCCTGTAACCTGTTTGAGCTTCGAAATGCCGCTGTGAAAATGACGAAACCCCGTGATGGGCTGTAACACAGAAAAGCGAAAATCGAGCTCAGTGTCCCCGACTGCACAAATGAGCCACTTCACATCATGGTCATAGAACTCCCGGTGAATGTGGTGAAGAGTCTCAGGAGTGAAAAAATGGGATGGTTCAGAAAGGACCCAATTCTCAAAGAATGGTTGAGATATGCCATTTAGGTGAAACTTCTGAGCTTCATGAAAGAATGTTTCAATATCGTCAGGATCAGCCCTTGTCCAAATGACATGCAGCTGAGCAAGTGTAGTTGATTTGGTGCGAGGCTCATGGTGGAAAGGGTCTCCAAACTGCTTGTACATCACCATAGTGACTGGGGAGGTTTTCCCACCAACGGTAGCCAGCATCATGGCCTCCGGAGTGTCAATAATATAGCTTGCGAGTGGCGTGAAACAGTATTGACTGTGCCTGACAGGATCGGATAACATGACTCCTTCGCAAGCAGCCTGCATGAGGGGACATAGCACAATGTTCAAGCATTCATGGATTAGGCGATCCTCGAGTATGCCTCGCATATGTTTTTTTTTATAAATAAATTTCGGCACAGGGAGGAGGGTGGTAAGAACAAAGGCGTTAGATGATGATTTAAGTTGTGTGGACATGTGTATGTTGGCGAGGCTGATGAGGAGGGGATGTGCGACTCTGTCACCTGTCATCATGGAGATATTGGTCTTGTCAGATGACAAGATTGTCCCAAGGAGCATTGCACCTCTTGGCAGGGCTGACTGTTTGAAAATGAATGAGTACCGCAACTCACAGAAAGAAAGAAAAATGTACCTGCATGTTCCATGCGTTGTCAGCAGTCATCCATTCAGAGTACACGTGGCACAGTCGCTGCGCAGTAGCATACACCCTGCGAGGCATAAAATCTATCCGATCATGAAAGAAAGGGTGATTTAAAATGCCCGCGATACAGTTCAGGGGATCACGCCAATACAGGATGACAGGTAGTTTTGTCGGATGTGCAGTAGGGATTACTTGGGACAACCAGGGTGGACCACTAGGCAGCATTTCCGCTCGACCACGTAGTTCCTTGGCTGAACAAAAAGACAAGGGAAGACTTTTAATCTTAATAAGACACTTGTCAGAACTGTGAACGGAATCAAAAAATTTAAAACTGACCATCTTGAGTGAAAGAAAAGTGTCGATCTTTGCCATGCTCAACCCTGAATGTAGTAGCCATGATGCGACCTCCCAGTCTTTCCGGCCACTAAACGGGTAATAGTGGTTTGCTGTCCGATACACACTGTTCGCGTCAGAATGAAACAGGTCGAGGAAAGTGTACCCCCTGCCATATGTTAGAGAGGGTTTGGGATGCCAGTCAATGAAGTCTGAGTGAGTCGGTGTTCCCTCCCCATGGACTTGACCATCACCCTCACCACTACTATCTTGAAATACCTCATCCCAGTCTCTGAATCCAGGCCTGTCGACTTGAAGCTCCATATCAATATTAGGAATATTTGGTGTGTGGTCGATATCCATGGAGTTGGCGGTACGAATAGACGCTGAACGCAAGCGTATGAGATCCTGTAACCAAGTGTTACAGCCAGAGCGGGGCTGGCTCATGTGTCGAGCAACAGCACCATGGTCTTTGAAGCTGTCTTTGCTGCACGAAGGACACTGGTATGACATACTGACTGTCAGTACATAGAATCGTGAGAACATCAATTTAGTTACATTCTCGGATTCAATAGTTGTTTTTCTAACATGCCATGTCTACCAGCACACCAGTCTATCTCAACATTAGTGACATCCCATCAACTTCACATCACTTACATGCAAGCATTAATACTCTGTGTCACTCTGGTGGTATTTCCGACTTGTACGAAGTAGTCGACGCTATCTGGTCAATAGTAAGTCACTCATACCTTCCATGGTAAACAATGCTCGTTAACATTTTTACAGATTATCAACGATGCTGACGATCTTGAAGCGAACCTCGTCATGGACCTTGCAAGGGCCAGATGGGATGTTTTCAACGCGGAGAAAGCACTTGCTGACTGTATGGTCCGTGAACACGAAGTCATGGCAAATCTCATGCGGATCACGTTTAAAAAATATGGGTTTTCTCATCATGAACCTGCGCCGAGTTTGCAAGGTAAGTTCTTCCAATTACATACTATACCTCACAGTGCCGCTAATGTTACATGTTTAGAATCATTGGGATGCCATCACATCATGGTCCAGCTAGATTGACACTGAGACTACCTCAAATCACATCTATTTATGGTTATACCACCTATATGTACATAGATACAACTTTGAATGTAATGTGGGATAGATGTTGTTTTATTGTTATGATGATCATGCATGCATGCTTGGTGCGCATTTGAATTTGCTCTGACTCGAGTCGTTTGGACTTAACGAAAATTTTGAGCATTGAAATTGAATTATATTGAAGTACTACTACTGGGATATACAGTATATAATTTGAAATGTGCAAAGTGCTGCAGGCCATATAGAACTGTGAGTGATGGGATACCTTGTGGTCCGAGTGAGCTGGGACATTGGGAGAACTGTGGAGTCTGTGGCTGGCTGCACAAGAGCACAGATTTTGCGCTCACTGTGGGAAAAGTTGTAGTTTACTGATGGAGGGCAATACCCTTGGGGATATGACCCGCCAACGAGGGCTGAACGCAGTTGCTAGTCAGTGACTGAACCCAATCACTGCTATTTCCTTGCATCTGCCATGTTTTCGTGCTCCACAGCTTCATCATTTTGTCGTGTCCACCACCAGCCAGCACTATTCCATCGGGAGAATCAGAGTGGGCTTTGATGGTTTGGGTGAGAGAATTTTCCCCATTTCTCCGTGCCTTCACATACCTGTGATACTCCTCCATCGTCTTCAGTATAACACCTGTCCTTACTAAGTCCCACAGATGAAATGACAATATCTCGAATGAGCCCGTGGCCATATGTCTTCCCTCGGGGAAAATTACTGCAGCAAGTACGGAGCCTATGTATATCTTTAAAAAGCCCAATCGGGTATGGTGTGTAGAATGAGCTGCAACATTTTAGTGGAAGTTGATGGTATTGAATATGGTCAAGGTGGGCTTGAGTGAAGGGATTGTTGGGGTGCTCAAAGCTGCAGCGGTGTGTATATTGTGCGTTTTATGCTGTTTCACTGCATTAACCTGTCTCATGTTTCCATAGATGCCCAGGACATGAGGTTGTTTATGTCCATCAAGCTTGTGGTCCTCACAGTATAACCCTCCCTATGCCTATGCACATGGGTCCAACTTGTATCTCCCCAGCTTGCAAAAATGTGTCAAATTGGATGTGACAGCATGCTGGTTCCCCTTGAATTTGGCTGATAGTGCTCAAAGTGTTACGCTCGGCATCGTCAGACGTCTTAGTAAACAAAAGTGGTCGAAAGTTCTAGTAGCACCCTAGTGCTAAGTCATGCAAGTAAAGCAGTAGATTGCAGGCCCTGGTCTGCGTAGGTCAAGTTAAGGAATACAGAGGGTAAGATGATGGTTTAAATAAGAGAGTTAAAGTGGAGTCTGAATATAATAAAGAGAAAAGGAAGTTGTACGATGATACAATGACGAATAGGAAAAGAGAAGAGAGAATCATACAATAGAATGAGATGGAAGGTCATAGAAGGATTAGTAAGTGAAGGAAAAGGAGAACTGTAACATTACCCCTGTTGTAAGGGTAGTAATCCATGAATACTACAAAATAAAATGGAATCAAAGACGATGCGCGCGTTTATAAGAAGAGAGAATGTCAGAAGCATTACCCATTTGTCTCTCCGTCATCCACTTGTTCTCGGAACTTGGGAACCCTTTCCAACTGATGTTGTAATATCTTTGTGAGGTGGAACCTTGATGGCTGACGACGGCTTCTATCTCTTGTTCTTCTTCACCATTAATGATGTCTGGTGGTGGTGCAATGAAGTTTGGACTGTGAGTGTCATTTTCTTTAAAAGGTGACAAGAGTGCAGCATGGAATACAGGATGAATGCACCATTGCATGGGTAGGGAAAGGCAATAAGTGACAGGGGATAGTACATCAGAGATGATGAATGGTCCTTTGCGTTTAGGAGTGAGTTTGTGATTAGGATATCCAAGATGAAGGTTTTTGGAGTCGAGCCAAACTTTATCGCTTTTAGAGAATGGGATGAACTTGGATGTGATGCATTGTCTCATGGTGTTACACACTAATTCATGAGTGGCTAAGGCTTCATCTCATGCTTTGTTGAGAATGATGAGTTGTTGTTTGATGTTAGGGATATCCCTCTTGGGATGGAGATTAGGAAGGTGTTTGGGATGTGTTAGGTACCATGCCGGCTCAGGAGGCAGAGGGGTTGGGGCTTGGCTTCAGCTCTTGCACTGCACCCTTAGCCAAGTACATGCCCCGAATTTGGAGCGGGTCTGACGTTGTCTGACAATAGGACGAGTGGACTGCTTAGGTCCGCTTTGAGGGTCGGGAAGTAAGAGCTACTAGCAGCGGGCCGACTAGGAGCGGAGTGGAGAAGGTGGGAAGTGATGCGGAGGGTGGATAGGAGCAGGGGGAGTGTTTGGTAGGAGCGGGGAAGGCGGAGGATGGGAAAAGGGACAAGGGGAATATTGATAGGGGCGGAGGAATAAGGGGAATACTTAGAGCACAGCTCTAAGTTGGAGCAGAGGGTCGGAGGGTCAGAGGTGACAACAAGTTGAGACTTGTGTCCAGAGAAGGCAAGGTCCTACTGAGAATTCTCACAAGAGGTAACTGCGAGAAGACAAGTAATATTAAGACTGAGGAAAATATCTAAGTACATGATATGTTATATACTTCTATGTATGAGGCAGTGACCAGGATAACTATGTTGTAAAGCTATGTACCAAGGATATAGTTTGTAAGTACTTTACACAGGTGAAGACATAAGTCGGAGTGGATATCAATATGTACGCATTGGATCAGTGATCGGGTGGTAATAGAAATTACTGGTGATCCGGAAGTAAGGGTCTATGTACCAAAGGGGAAAGTATATATCTAAAAGGGGAAAGAGGTCCAGTTGAATGGAGATGTTATGGAAGGGGACCAGTTGAGTGGTTGAGCGGAAACATAGGAGTGGATGCGGATGATGATTGGACGGAGCAGAGGATGGGTGGAGCGGAGGTGATCGGAAAGCAGAGCAGATATTGATATTAGAGTGGTCGGATCAGGTATATGACAGGATGATATCCCATCATGAGGTAGAACAGTGATGTACCGTGAGTGGAATGGTGATGGGAGTTATGGACGAATTTGGTGAGAGGGAGCATGGATGCCCAGCCAGTCGTGTCGTTAGCGCAGAAGATCCAGAGGTAGACTTCAAGTTCTTGGTTAACTCACTTGGTCTCTCCATCACTCTGAGGATGGAACACAGTGGAAAGGGAGTTCTTGTATCCAAGGAGTTTTCTGAGTTCGATCTGGAATCTAGAGGCAAATTGGGGTCTGCGGTCAGAGATAATTTTATCGTAAAGTCTGTATCTAGAGAATACTTTGGAAAAGAAAATGTTTGCTACGCCTTCAGCATTTATCATTTTGTTACATGGAGTGAGAATTACACCCTTCAAAAGGCCATGGTCTACCATGACCATGATGCTATCGTAGCCATTGGAAGGTGGGGGTCGCAGATGAGGTCGGTAGAGCAGTGAGCAAAGGGTCTGTTAGATATAGGAGCAGGAATAGGGCAGAGAGGGGGTGATGACGGGTGAGTGTTTACTTTGTTCTGTTGGCAGATGCTACAACTGTCGACAAAGTTCTTGATGAACGTAGAGAGGCCCGGCCACCAGTAGTCTCATGAGAGAAGTTCCTGGGTTTTATAGCATCCTGAATGGCCGGTGGTAGGGGAAGTGTGATGGAGGGAGGTTATCTTGCAGCGAAGGTCTCCCAGGGGTATGTAAGTAAGTCCTTTGTAAGTAAGAATGCCGTCGGAGAGAGTCCAGTCAGATAAAGCAGAACGGAGAGGAGGGGGAATAGAAGGGTTCTGAAGTGTGTCTAGTGCAATTTGTACTACAGGGTCAATGGATGATGAGATATGAAGACGATCAGAGAGGGAAATGGAGTTTAGAAACATATAATCAGGGAGGATTTGGATACTAGTATTGTCCTTTTCGACGGTACCATCAGGAAGGTGATCCGGTCTATGAGATAGAGTGTCTGGAATAGTTAAGTCTTTACCGGGTACGTATTTGAAATGGAGATCGAACTGAGAAAGAAAGGTTTGCCAGCGTGCTTGGCGTCTATTGATATCTTGCACATCACAGAAGTAGGTGAGGTTCTTGTGGTTGGTTTGTACCTCAACAGGGAAAGGGGATCCTAAAAGATAATGGTGTCAAGTTTTGAGTGTGCGAATGACTGCAGGTAGTTCCCAGTCATAGATCTGGTAGTTTCATTCTGCAGGAGCAAAGGATTGGGAGAGGTATGAGCAGGGGAGCCATTCACCGTTAGGATCTTTCTGAAGAAGGACTGCGCCAGTAGCATATAAGGAGGTGTCAGTGGCGATAGCAAAGGGGGAAAGGCAGTCAGGGATTTGGAGAATGGGGGCTGAAGTAAAGATGGCTTTCAGTCTCCAAAATGCGGAGTCCCATTCTTCATTCCATTTGAACGGCATATCTTTCTTCGTGAGATCTATCAAGGGTCGTGCAATAGTGGAATGATCAGCGATAAAGTGGCGATAGAAATTAGCAAATCTGAGGAAAGAGCAGACTTCTTTGACTTTCTTCAGGGTTTCCCACTCGGAGATTCCCTTTAGTTTAGCTGGGTTCATAGCTACTGATCCTGGCCCGATGATCATGCCGAGATATTCGATTTCTTCTACGTTGAAGGTACATTTTTCCAGTTTGAGGAAGAGGTGGTGTTCGCAGTGTGGGGAATTCCCCCACTGTAGGCATAAAACCCCGTCCTTTCCGCATCGTCTCACATCAGTTCCACATATTCCGCACATTCCGCATTTTCCGTGCATCGTCTGATGGGTTCTGCATTCCCACACATCCTTCGGAACGTGCCCTCACTATCCGATGGGTTCCACATTCCCGTGCATCATTGGACAACCTTCGCATGTCCTGTCCCCATCCTTCCAGGTCCATTGGTACGCTGTATCCCTCTTCCCATTGCTTCTAACATTATCCGGATCACACTGACACATGCCCTTATGGCACAGACCCCTATTGTGGAGTATTGCACCCATGTGCACTGCCTCCCTTCACTTCCGCTTCCTGAGAAACTTACTACCTGTACCTTGGTGTTCCTTGAAAATAATGTTCCCTATAAGTAGTGGTACTCAGGGCTTGTGTGTTGATCATTGAATCCCATCTTTTACCTTCCCACTTTTCCTTCACCTTACTAGAGGACTGCTTTGACTTATGCCCACTATCAATCTAACCTTGTGATATACTTCCTTTGACTTGGCCTGCGAGTTCTGATGAATCAGTATGTTCCGCGCTTTATCCATTCAAGTTCCGTTCCATTCCACTTGTGTTCCACTTGTTCCGCTTGAGTTCCGCTTGAGTTCCACTTGTTCTGCTTGTTCTGCTTGTTCTGCATTTTTGCAGATCCTCATCCTACCTGCAGTAGAGTTGATTAGGGTCATTTAGACAGAGACTAGTACTCCCCAGTAGCAATCCCCTTTAGGGTCGAACATGCTTGTTCCCACGCGAGGCAGCAGGCAGCAAAGACCCAACTTTGTAGTAGATTGATTTCCCGCTGCTGCACTTGTTGTACCCACAGTGGAGTCGTTCTAGAACACAGTGAGTTCGTTTTTGGTGGGTTTCAAAGTCATCTGAGAAGATTAGTATATCGTCCCTATAGATGATAAGCCACCCTTCTTGTATCATGTCTCTGAACATATTATTCATCATGGACTGGAAGGTGGCGGGCGAATTACACATGCCGAAAAACATTACTGTGGGTTCAAAGAGTCCTCTGGCCGTTGCAAAGGCAGCTTTCCATTAATCGGTCTTCTTTAGTCGGACATTACTGTATCCCCATCTGATGTCCATCTTGGTGAAGATCTTTGCGTTCTTGAGCTTATCTATTAGGTCAGAGATTAGCGGAAGTGGATAGTTATTCTTGACTGTATGTTCGTTTAGGTAGCGATAATCTTGGCAGGGTCAAAGGGAGCCGTCTTTCTTTCCGACAAAGAAGAATGGAGATGATTGCGGAGATTCGGAGGGAATGATGGTACCTTTAGCTAAGTTCTCGTCGATAAAGTCGTTCATGGCTTTTCTTCTGCGGGGTTAAGAGGGTAAATTTTACATTTATGCGGTTCAAAGGTATCTTTGAGATCAATCTTGTGATCAAACTTGCGTTCTGGTGGGAGAGTTCCATTAGCGACTTCTCTGAATACGTCCTTGTACTTTTGGAAGGTCTTGGGTACGAGTTCTTCAAATGTTTTCTTCAGTTTGGTGGTGTCTTGGGTTAGGGTTTGGGAAATATTGTTGGCTTTCCTGACTAAGGTTCCATGGACAGAGAAGTATCTGTGGTTAGCGGGGATATGTTCATTAGTAAGAGGGGTATCAAAACTTTCTGTTTTGTAAGTCCCTATGATGTGATTGCCTTTGCAATAAGCGATCAAGAATTCGTCATGGTCTAATTCTTCTTCGGTTTTGTCAGCAGGTTCAGGGTCAAGGAGTTTAGGAATTTCGGAGGAATATGGAATACTTTCCATGGCCGGATCCCATTCATCATCTAAGGAATCTGGTGCATCAAAGAATTCTTCTTCTTCTTCGACGTCTTCTATATATGCCTTGAGGCTTCTTTCTCGTAAAGTTACTTCTTCATTCGTCCAATCTATCTGTGGGTTTTCTTTCTTTAGCCAGGAGATTCCCAGAATGACGTCTTCTCCTCCTAGAGAGGTGATAAGGAAGTGTTGTTTCATGGGAATTCCTTTGATCGAAAAGGATAAATTACAAGCATGTGTGATCTGACCTTGTTTATTTAGAGTCCTGTCTACATTTTGGACTTGATTGGTTTTGGGAGTCGTTCGGTGGGGATGGAATTTCGACAGACAAACATCCAGTTGATAAATTCCCCTTCTGCTCTGCAGTCTATAAGGGCTGTGGCTTCGGTGATGTTGAGGCTAGAGTCAAAGGTTAATGGCAAACACATAGAATTTGAGTCACCAATCGATTGTACTACTAGTCCGATTCTAGGAGATACTGATGCCGGTTCAGTCTCCTCTAAACAAAATTCTTATCCTCAGTCTTCTTGGCCTGGCGTGCTTTAAACACCTTCCATTCTAGAAACTCCTTATACTCATCTTCATTGTCTTTGCTGGTCTTCTTGGTGGCGGTCTGCGGTGGCCTTGGCATAAAGGCGGGATGGTTTGGGTAGTCTTCAATAAGACCTTTCTTGCTGCACTTGAAGCAGAGGCTTTTCTTGTGCCTGTGTTCCTGCTCTTGAGGGGATAGGTGAGTCTTCTTCACCTGCCTTTCTTCATCTACTTCTACTTCTACTTCAGTACAGTCAATGTCCATTGTGTTAGAGTCGTGGGATCTATGGTTGGAAGAGGGGTTCACCATGAGTTGGTGAGACTCTACCTCTAGTGACTTCGTCAACCAGTCTTCTAGCATCGTAGGGAGGTTCTCGAATGCCATGATGGTGGAGATAATCTCCCATTTGAGGCCATTCTTAAGGAACATGATCTTGATGGATTCTTGGTTGATGTCTGTATCAGTGATGATGGTGCAGAAGATGGAGGTGTAGGCTGAGATGCTGCCAGTCTGTTTGAGGGTGGCAAGGTGTCGGAGTGCAGATTCATGAACATTCTTTGGGAGGAAGGTTTTCTTTAGGGAAGTGAGGAATTCAGCGTACGTCCCATAATTGTTGTTCTTAGCTGTTGCGTTCTTAAAAACACCTTCCACCCATTTAGCGGCTTCGCCTTTCATCATCAGTGAGAGTATGAATACTATCTTATGTTTGTTGGAGACGTATACTCCATCATTGATATCTAAGTAGGCCTCAACCTGGAGGAGCCATCCTTGGGCAGTGTCATATACCTGATCTGACCGCTCCAATATTGATATCCGCTCTGCTTTCCAACCCCCTCCACTCTATCCATCCTCTGCTCCGTCCAATCACAAGTCCGCATTCCACCCCTATGCTTCCGCTCAACTGCTCAACCAGTCCCCTTCCATAACATCTCCATTCAACTGGACCTCTTTCCCCTTTTAGATATATACTTTCCCCTTTGGTACATAGACCCTTACTTCCGGATCACCAGTAATTTCTATTACCACCCGATCACTGATCCAATGCGTACATATTGATATCCACTCCGACTTATGTCTTCACCTGTGTAAAGTACTTACAAACTATATCCTTGGTACATAGCTTTACAACATAGTTATCCTGATCACTGCCTCATACATAGAAGTATATAACATATCATGTACTTAGATATTTTCCTCAGTCTTAATATTACTTGTCTTCTCACAGTTACCTCTTGTGAGAATTCTCAGTAGGACCTTGCCTCCTCTGGACACAAGTCTCAACTTGTTGTCACCTCTGACCCTCCAACCCTCCGCTCTGACTTAGAGCCATGCTCTAAGGCCCAGCTCGGAAACTGAGTCCGGTTCAATTTTCGCTGGTCACCCGCCAAAATCACATCGGATCGAACCAACACATTTTTTCCATCAAAACATCTAATTTAACTCAACCAGCGTGTGTGCTCGACAAAAAAGTTTGATTTTGATGGGTTAGATCAATCTATGGGTATCTACTTGTAGCACTAATACGGGTTTTTGTCTCTGGCAATCCAATTCTTCCATCTTGTCCCTCCCTTTCTGACTGATTCAGGTGTCACCCGAAAACAAACAATCTCAGGCTGGCCCTATTGCTGAGTCCACTGCTGTGACTGACAAAGGCACAAAGACCAAACTGAAAGCACCGAGCGCGAGCACAAAGACAGTTTGGAAGACCAGTGACGATGCTGTGTTGATAGCAACACTTCTGAAGGAACGGGAGGAGGGTCATCAATCTGACTCAGGATTCAAACCGAAGTCATTCATTGCTTGCGCAGAAGCACTCAAAGGGAGTGAGAAGATGAGTGGAGGTGTTGCGAAGACATCTGGCTCATGTCATGATCATTGGGGAAAGGTATGTCTTGTATTCTATTTGTGATACATTCTAACTGTGCTCTCAGCTCAAAAAAGACTTCGCCATTATTAAAAAACTCTGGGAACAATCTGGATTTGGCTGGGACAACACTTTGAAGATTGTAACTGCCCCACCAGACGTCTGGGAGAAATATCTCGCGGTAAGTGGATCTCATCAGATCTGCGTGACTCGGAGGTGCTGACCATAATGCCTCGACAGACACACACAAAAGCAAAAGTCTGGAGGAAGAAATCTTTTCCGCTCTACGACAGCATCCAGATTCTCGTCGAGGGGATTATTGCAACTGGCAAAAATGTCTTTCGTGTGGGCATGACTACCACGACTGAAATTGTTGACACCACCCTCCCATTCAACTATCCTGCTGATTCAGGTGAAGAACATGAATTGTTGGATGACGAAAATGATGAGATATGTTTTTTTAATTTAAATACATGATCTATTGGCTCACGGCTATCTACCAGCATGTCAATGACTCACAGACATCCATCAAACCCAACAATCGGAAATGTTTGGCTGAAATGACACCATTTGGTAGTAGCCGCAAGTGCCAGTCAACAGGCCATGCCATCCATTGTTCTTCAAGTGGTCGTGGCTCAGGTACTGATGCCATGTTTTTGGTTGCCGGAGCTATTGAGACACTCGCTGATAAATTTGATGAGTCTGGTGCACATATTGCAGTAACATATCTCCATATTATACGAGTGAACAGACGTGCATAATATCCCGTATGATACGGGCCAGCGAACCATGGGCCGAAGGTAGATATATCCTCGACTATGACAGATGGGCCAGGAGTGTTATTATTCCTGATGGAGACGGGTGGGCCCATGTAGGGAATATGTAGAGTAGATGAGTGGGCTGATGGACATGAATATTCAATAGATGGATGGGCCGAGGTAGTTGGATATTATGTAGATGGGTTTACCAAGGTAGATGTGTATCAAATAGCCGGGTATGTCAAGGGTGCTTGTTATCACATAGACGGGTGGGCCCAGATATATATCATGTTAGACGGGTGGGCCGACGAATTAAGATTATTTTGTAGGCAGGTGGGCCGACATATTGGTATTATTTTGTAGACGGGTGGGCCGAGGGAGTGGTGAAATATTTATTATATATACAGGTGGGCCGAGGGAGCGGTAAAATATTTATTATATACGGGTGGGCCGAAGGTAGTCGTATATTGCATAGACGGGTAGGCTGACATGGGGGTATATAATATAGACGGGTGGGCCCAGGAGAATGATAATTGTAGACATGATGGAGCTCAGGTAGTTGTATATCATCCAAATCAAAGGAGGTAATAATTCAAAGTCATCTAATGATGTCGTATGGCACGGAGATTTGCAAAGGGGTGAAGTGGAAACTCGTGTTCCAGGCCCTGTTCATCAAAGCTTTTAGATAGAAGAGGAAGGTCTTGCAGTATGGCATGGAGCTTTGCAAAGGGGTGAAGTGGAAACTCGAGCGAAGTGTACCGAGTTCCGAGACCTGGGTCTCGACAAATGAATATGTGATATCCATCACACTTCCAATCATCTGGTATTTCATTGAGCAATGGATGATAATAGATCTTTGAAAGCCAACATCATCCAAGCCTACCAAATGCCAAATGCCAAGTTCCGACTACCGAAAATCGAGTGTTGTACCTGAGATCCTGAGCCCCGACTATTGAATCCCGATTATTGAGTATTGAGTCCTGACTATTGAGTCCCGAACATCAAGACTCGAAACAAAACAAAACTCAAAACTTGGAACTCATATATTTTTGTGAGTTTCGGGTCCCAAACATCGAGTCCCAACTATGGAGTCCCAAAACACGAGTCCCGAACATCAAGTCCCGACCATCGAGACCCGAAACCTGAAGCCCGAGATTCGAGACTCGAGTTCCGACCATGGACTCCCGGGTATTGAAAATCGAGTGAAGTGTACCGAGATCCGAGGCCCGGGTCTCGACAAACCAATATCAGATATCCAACAGACTTCCAATCATCTGGTATTTCATTGAGCAATTGATAATAGATAATAGAACTTTGAAAGCTAAGATCATCCAAGGCTCTCTTATCTGATCCTCTCTATCTCCACCCCTTTAACACCAAAGTGCGGACATCCAGGATTCAGCTTCTGATCTCACAAGATCAATTCAATCATGGATGTTTCTTCCACTTCCGATGATGAAATAACCCTCTTGTGCACTTGGGCCCTGACTGTCACTCATGTGGCATGTGAATATACCGAACAGAAATTCAATGCAGAGAAGACAGGAGGAGACCCAGTTATACCTTCTCCGAACCTAGACACTGATCTGGTGATGGCTTGTGATTGATTGGTTGATCGGCTCATAAAGGCATATAAAAATCCCAGTGAGTCTTCCTGCAGATTCGGAAAATTCGTTTGATCAGTCAAATTGCTTCATCACAGTTCAGATGCTGATCGATATTGCAAGATATAGCAAATTGATCTCCCCGAAGGACACAGGGCATAATGAAGAGAGAGAGGCAAGGTTGCTCGAGAGGTGTCCTCCTGGCCATGAGGGCACAAAGTTGATTGACATACCCGCGACAATTCTTGATGCATCTGGTGCCATCATCGCATGGTACCTCCCGGACACCCTGACCGATGCCACCCAGGTGTGTTATATATATTGTTACTGGATGGATATTGAACATCAAATGGTTCCTACAGAAGGAAATTTGGGCAGCCTCGGATTTGCTCACTCCGATACTCGAAAAAAGCGTAAAGCTCGATGGGAATTGGCGTACTAATCAAAAGTGGTTCACACCAAGGTCGCAAAATGATGTCCTAACTCCCGGATGCATTAATTTATCTCCGGCGTGGTTTCAGCAGGGGCACGAGGTAGGATCTGATGAGATGGCAATCTAGGTAGTTAAGCTCACGAATCCCCCAGAATCAGGTAGACCCGGCAGTTTCTGCATCATTGAATGGAGCATCCTTGGAGGATATCCTGAAGGCCATTGCAAGGCCAGCAGCCATTGCAACAGCAGCACTCAGGGTTATGCATCCTGAGCAGTACTGGGCAGGGTTGCGAGCCTTTGCGAGCCTCGAAGAAAAAGCATGAAGCAAGCAACTGCCGAAGATGTCAGAGACTCTCCAGTACTGGGCAACTGTGTTTAACAGCCTCTCCGTGATTTGCAATCGGGAAACCCCAAATCATCGAGACCATTCATCAATTCCCGAATGCTTCGATATTCTCACTAGCATGGGGAATTATTCTAATGCTCGGATGAGTATGCCAAGCCTTCAGCTGGAGTTCAGGTACGATCTGGGGTGTATGATGGCTTTTTTGGGAAGGATTGTCAGACACGGGGTTCATGCAGTGGAAGGGGATCGGATTGCCTGGGCATGGTATATGAGGGATGCTGTTCATATTTATGCCGGGATTCTGTTGTGTGGATGGGCAAGGTTGGATTGGAAGAAGTAGAAAAGGTAGTTACACGTGTTAGTACCCACCTTCAAATACATGATATTAGATATCAGGCACTCCATACTCGTAATTCGGGTTTCAGGTCTCGATAGTTGGGACTCGATATTGCAGGATACTCAAAAGTGTTATTGTACACATTTCACCGACTACCGAGTACCGGGTTTCGGGTTGCGGTACTATATCGAGACCCGAGACCCGAAGCCTGACCATTGAGTCCCGAATATCAAAACCCGAACATCGAGTCCTGAAGCCGGAATCCCGACCATTGAGTCCCAAATTTCGAGACCTGAAACCTGAAGGACAACATTCGAGACTCAAAACAACTCAATACTCCAAATTCAAAACAATGACACTCATGCATTTTAACGAGTTTCGAGTTTCGATTTTTGAGTGAAGAAAATACACATTTAATGAAATACAATTTTGGGAGTTGTCTTCTTGAATCACCGAGTACCGACTACTGAGTACTGGGTTTCGGGTTGCGGTACTCGGCACTCGGTACTCGGTGATTCAAGAAGACAACTCCCAAAATTGTATTTCATTAAATGTGTATTTTCTTCACTCAAAAATCAAAACTCGAAACTCATTAAAATGCATGAGTGTCATTGTTTTGAATTTGGAGTATTGAGTTGTTTTGAGTCTTGAATGTCATCCTTCGGGTTTCAGGTCTCGATATTCGGGACTCAATGGTCGGGATTTGGGCTTCGGGACTCGATGTTCGGGTTTTGATATTCGGGACTCGATGGTTGGGACTCGATATTTGGGACTCGATATTCAATGGTCGGGACTCCATACACAGGCGTTGGGTTTCGGGTTTCGGAACTCGATAGTCAGGCGTCGGGTTTCAGGACTCGATGTTCGGGTTTTGATATTTGGGACTCGATGGTCGGGACTCGATAGTCAGGCTTCGGGCGTCGGGCCTCAATTGTCGGAACTCGATGTTCAGCACTCGATACTCAATGGTCGGGACTCCATACATGGGTGTCAGGTTTCGGGCTTCGGGACTCGATGGTCGGGCTTCGGGTTTTGGGACTTGATATTCGGGACTCGATATTCAATGGTCAGGACTCCATACATGGGCGTTGGTTTTCGGGTTTCAGAACTTGATAGTCAGGCGTCAGGTTTCAGGACTTGATGTTTGGCACTCGATACTCAATGGTCAGGACTCCATACACGGGCGTTGGGTTTCGGGCTTCGGGACTTGATAGTCGGGACTCGGGTTTCAAGACTCGGTAGTCAGCACTCGATACTCGATAGTGGGGACTCAAAACTCAAAACTCGTAAAAATGTTTGCATCAAGTTTTGAGCATTGAGTATTGAGATTTGTGTCGAGTCTCGAATCTTGGCCTTCGGGCTTCGGGTCTCGATATTCCGGTCTTGATATTCGGGACTCGATGTTTGGGACTCGACATTCGGGACTCAAGATATCTGGCTCTTGATACTTGACATTGGGTATGCGGGACTCAGCATATAGCAATAGGTCATATATTTGGAAGTCAGTGTTTAATTTTCAGTACTTATTACATCATGTACAGAATTTAGACTTCAACATTCTGAACTGAAGGACTAGAACTACTCCAGGCCCCTTGGCTTCAATTTGGTTAGGACGGCTGTGTACATCTGAATCTCAGCCATCTTTTCACGGATGCCATCTTGTTGATCCTCAATCACTGTCAGGAGGCGTTCTCTCATCCACCTCAGTGCCTTCAGTGATGCAACCGAGCTTTCAGCCACCTGCTCGGGAACAACAAGATGTTTGTCCTCAACGCCAGACTAGAAAGGATCAGTAACCATTCAAGGAAATTCGGTAAAAGTCTTACTAGCCAATGCTGGTAGTGACCGACACAATTGGCGAATACCTGATCCCATGCCCATAATTCCTTTGGGATTGCAGTTGGTCTGGTCCACCATTGAGTTCCATAGGTTGATACAATCCGGGAGGGATCCCCCAGATCTGCAACATCATGGAACTCGCACAGTTGGGATGACAAGACGTTGTCCGGAACCATGTTCCAGGTGAGCTCGGGAATCAACTGAAGAATATGAGTGACCAGGCTTGGAACAACCAAAATGATGTTCCTTGCAGCTGAGTACTGCAGGAGGGGAGTCACAAAAGTCTGTTGGAAATGTCAGCATTGACCACCACAGTCATCAGTCTCTTACAGCTATCTCCCATTGCAGCCCGGCTTTAAAGTGCATGATCCGAGCAGCAGAAGGCTCCTCGGTGTGGGTAGCCTCCATCTGATATTGGGAGATGGATGCTCGGATGCGAGATGCAGCCATTGACATTGTAGCTGCAAGATCTGCCGGAGTGAGTGTGAGGGGTCGGAACCCATCGCCGGAATTCTGAGAATCAGAAGGGGATGTAGGAGGAGTATGCGATACAGACATGGTTAATGCAGTATTATGAACCTGGAAATGACAATCACAATGGCAGTTGGTTCGGAGGTGAAGATATGAGCCACAGGTTGATAGATAAAAATTTTCAAACTCCGACATTTTTGGATCCAGGCAAACTCCGTCATCGGTCGACCTGGCCAATTCCCTGGGACTAAAATGTTTGGGTCGATGTAGCTGTTTCATATCTTTGGAAAAAAAAATTCATTCATCGTGAGCCTCTATAAACCCGCTCTTCTGGTCTTGAAATGCTGCCTGGGCATCCTGTGCCAGCAATGAATACATTTGGGATTGCCTTCCCGAGTAGCATGCATGACCCGGAAGGTTTTTCTCCAATGATTCGCGCATCCTGTCACCCCATTGGGTTGCTTTCCACAAGAAAAAGTTACATGTCCAATCCATCTCCAATTGGACCAATATCATTTCTTCCTTCCATCAATCCTGTAGGGCCTTTGCCTGAAGCCAATGCACTCGGTAAACTTCGGATGGGTCCGTCAGCTGAGCACAGGATATGTCAAGCATGCCCGAACTCACATTCCTCATTCCACGAGTGATCAGGACCCTCCAGGTCGACTTTGACTGACCAGAACCAAGCGAGGGACTCGTTTCGCTGACCTCGGGCATTTGGATCGCCGACGGCAGTGCTGATTTTGAGCTGCTCCCGAAGCAGGGGTTTGTATTTCTGAAGCTGGTCTTCCCCCGGCTCAAGTTGCATCATTTGCTTCCTCAGTCTTCATATATATACTGGCATGGAGGGACACTGCCTGCTGCATGGACGTCACCTGGGACCAAGCTCGAGTTTTCAGGGCCTGCGATTTGGCTTGCCTAACTGTTGTTCGGAACAGAATTGCCTTGTTGCACAAGTGAATTCGGAGGTTGTGAAGGGAGTCATTGGCCTGCCCTTCACGAAGAGACATCTCCAGCGTAATGAGATCCTCTGCCATGCAGCGTCTGCATCGATCTACTCCGAGGTTTGATGGCAATGGGATGACAGTGAGCTCGGGGGAGTTCACCCATGTGTCAGATGTCTCGGTGAAGTCTGCCAAGTCATCATCGAGATCATCGAGAATGTCTACGTTCAAGTCATCAGGATCGTCATCTGCATCAAATCCCTCTCTGAGATGAGTAATAGCAGACCGAGTGAATCCATCTATCTGGCCTTGGAGACGATCGCGTTGCCGGGCTATGTCTAACCTCTGTGTCTCAGGTAGTTCTTCTACCAATTCTTCGGACCTCAATGAGCAATGCGATTTGAGCCTCTTCAATCGCCAACCCAATTGATATCCATGTCACCACAGATCTGCGAGCAGGTGCTGCATTTCGGGCATTACCCTCCTCTAGTAGTCTAAGCTCGATCTCCTTTTTGCTCGGTGCTGGGTGCAAAATTAATTCGGACTTTGGATGGAGACAAAGTCAACTTACCCTTCTTGATATTAATCTCATATACATCCATAGCCGCAGGATCATTTATTCTGCTGGACTGAGCGATCCTCTCGCTGGCTAACCATTCCGTCTTTGAATCGCCGGGTGCTGCTTCATCGAGTCTGTCGAAAGCCTTTTCACTTTCGGCGATGCCATTCTTCGCCTGCTTGTATTTACAGCAAAGGGTCCTTTTCATGCGGATCATCTTGCAGAAATTGGAATCGTTCATCTGATAATCGAGACATTCCTTTTGATGTGGGGATGACATTCCCCGAGCAGCAGGGGAAATCAGGTTGAGACATGACCATAGGGTCTCCATGATCTCTCCATCGATCCGACCGATGCCTTCAATAAAATTCGACGCATATCGGACATAGCAGCTGTCCTGATGTCCAGTGGATGTGCCACAACCCGATTCCAGGGAATGATGGTCAATTCCGGAACCATTTCGAGAAATCGGCTTCGATCCACCCGAACCCGAAAGTGCTTGTTGTATTGACAGTTGATATCATAGAAGGTGACCGCCCTCGTGATGCCTTCCATGTTGTGCTGGGCAGCCTCACAAAGGGCATAGTCCATGTTCATTTGTCTGGGAATGATGCATGGTTAACTCATGAATGTCGAATGGCAGGGTGGGCTTGCCTTTCGCCTTTTTGAAAATCTACCATTGAGTGAGGAACAAAGCAACCATGTCGAGCACAGGCTACTCCCCCGATGCCCGTGGATTCCAGCTTGTGCCGAGCCGCATTTGCTTGATTTACTGCCCGGTGATTGCTGCAGCTCGATTTTTCTAAAGTGTCGGCAGCCTCTGCAAGATGCTTTTTATACCTGTCCTTTCCCACCATGAATCCCAACCCATCTGACAGCCAAACTTCATCAAATGGCTTCATGGGATGCAGGTGTTCGGCTTTGAAATTTCCGTCCATAACAAATGACCAGGGTGTATTTCCACCTTGGAGCTGTTAACATCGCTGAGGTGACTTCAGTATCGAACGAGACTCACTCATCAAGTGATTCATCCCCTGACAAGGATACATTGATCCCTGGCTGAGGACAAGCGGGGCAAAATAATGCGAGATCACCTGCATTCGGGTTGTCAGGAACGATGGCCAAATCCATGCCATTTCATGGCCTTCAACTGCCTCCACTGTCGGGCGACTCTCATGAGCTCTCGGTATCGGTCCTTGCCACATGCTTTGTCAATATAATGTCCTTTAGATGAGATGATATAGCATTACCGGTACAAGGTGTGGAAACATGTTGGAGGTCATTCGCCGGAGCTTGCTGTAATAGTTCATCGCCGAGGTCCCACATTCAAGGTTGTCCAATAGAAAATCATCGAGCACCCTGAAGGTGAACAAAGTCTTCGGCTTGTTAAATGAAGCGGGGAAAAATCCATGTCGAAACATTTGAAGGTCTGGAGTCATGGCATTTGGACAATCGCAGCATCAAACCTGGAGGCGATGAACTCCGGACTTGTCGACTGATAACCATGGTGTTTTCCTTTGGCTGGAACTCGGGTCCCGACACAGACGGTAGATCTTCAGGCTCAAGCTGGTCTTCAGGTTCATCTTCTTCGAACAAATCCCACCTATCTGTAAGTACCGGACATTGTTTGCCCTCATGACCGAGGTGTATGACGAGTCCGACGTGAGCGAGACAACTTTGCTCGAAGAATTGACCATTCCATTGACTGATCCAGTGGAAGGGATTGCAAGAATGTTGACTTCTGCAACAGCCAGTGCAATATAGTGGCTCCCCAAGACAATCTTGACATTTGTAGACCCCATCCTGGTCGCAGACGATGCATCTCCTATCTTCTGGTGGAGCTTCTCGATCCAGGAGGTGATGTAGATATGATTCCTGCCTTGGCAGCCATTGCCTGAGGTAGTCATTCTGACTCTGCATTTGTTATACTTAGCTATCATTTGAATTGCAATGCAACATTTTACATGAACTTGCCATGGTTTTTGGGAGTTGCAAAGGCTCAAATGAGCCTTGGTCGTGCTCGTAAGTATTGTCAGGAATGTCTTCCCAAAGAGGTGGTGCCTCAACAGGCTGAAGTGTTGGTGATTCTGGGGGAGAGTTAGGCATGGACCTGTAGGCATGTCTTTTTGTGCTTGCAAGTGGGACCTTGACCCAAGTCTTCCTACCTTTGCTGCCCCTTGCTTCTACCCTGTGGGATTTTTGCAGTGGGGTGCATCTACCTATCTTCATCTTATTTTCTAAGGCTGCAAGCAAAGCATTAGCTCAGGAATGTGAATAAATTGTTATTGCAATGTGATGTTATGCAGTCTTGATGCGTCATTACAAATTCATTTCCATTAATGGAATTCCGTCCAATATGGGTAGATTAACCAACTGTTAGGCTTTGCTCAATGTTCAACTTGTCACCATTATTACTTCCACCTTGCTCATCCTCAGCCCTTTCTGCAATCTCATTCACAATGGCAAGATCAGGTCATTCCACTCAGTTGACTTCCACTTCTGGAAGACTTAGGGCGCGTCAACCACAGACACAGAAGCTCACGGACAACGAAATTTCGGAGTTGAAAAACTACCTTCCTGAGTGGACTTCGGCGAAAAGGAATGAGAAGCGGGCAGTTTTCACTGCCATAGCCAGGGCTGCCAGGCTATTTGCTCCCAAGGTCGACCAAGCACAATGGAAGAAGAGGAAGCGGGTGATTCATCCTTGCTTCGTTCAAAACTAAAATTTTAACATCTTATTCTTCCATGAACTCTCAGATGTACAAGACATGGTTGTTCAACAACAAGAAAAAGAAGGAGAGGAAGGACATGATAAAGTATGGGAGGAAATGGACTCCTAGGCAGGTGATCTACCAGCAGAAGCGGGAGGAGGTGCTGAAGAGGATCGAGGACGAGTCCGGGGCAAAGCCAGGAGGTCCCGGTATGTTCAAGTATTATCAGGCGGCTGTAAAGAGAGTCATGACTGAATTGTCCGACGACGAGTTGGAGAAGGCGAAGGACACAGCCGAAGAATGGTCGAACAACTTTCCGCCTCCCGAGATACAAGCACAAGTGGCTCGTAAGAAGGGACCTGGCGTATATGGAGCACTTTTCGAAGGAGATGTGGAGGCAATGCGGGATGAGAGTGTTTGTGATGTCGGCATGGAAGAATGAACAGGGCGAGGTGCTGTTCGGGATGTAAGTCAATTTTGTCATCTCAGATCCTCAATCTCAATACATTTCATGCAGGCACGATGATAACGAGGCATTAGGAGATGGGGACAGTTTCATGAAGACGAAGGAGTGGGAGGACATCGAGCCAGTTTGGCAGGAGTACGCACAGGAACAATTTGGTGAGTGTTTGAACTCTGGCTACTGGAATGAATTGGTTGATCTTCTTCATGATAGGTGCCGGGGCATGGGATGGAGGGCGACAGGTGATGCGAGGTCGAAAGAGAATCAGGAAGCCTGCTTTTGAACTCGAGACCGACGGGGATGGGATGCCGGTGCTTCCAGACATCACCGAAAACGAAACTCGAGGAGAAGAAAGCCATAGTCAGAGCATTTCTTACATCGCACTATCGTGAGTCCATCAGTTGCGACACCCGAACATTTGTTGAATGCATGTATACAGGTATCTGTTCCGGGATTGACAAGGCAGTTGTGCCATGGAGCGCCATCGTACAAAGTCAGGATGACTTTGTGGCAAGAAAGTATGTTCTGGCGGATGTAGACTTGAAGGAGCCATCGAAGTTGCAACATTGGGACACGACCGCCTTACTGACTTTCTGGTATGCTCGGCAGGAGAAAGGCAAAGGTCCAACATTCCTGTTCAAAGCATGGAAGAACAGAGATGGGGACATGGTAGCCTTGGTTGTATCCGGGAATTCACCGTCTCATCAGGACTCATAAAGTCAGAAGAGATATGATCCGAAGGCCTCGGAATTCGGAGACCGAAACTGACAGTGATCCCGAGACCAATCACGAGGGTGATCCCGAGAGTGAGCCTGAGGGTGACACTCATGATATGGAGGATGATGCTGGTGATGACGCAGCGGAAGGTAGATCCCCGCAAAAGAGACCCAGAACAGAGCCTGGTCCTTCGACAGCACATGAAGGAACCGCTGTCCCATGTGCAATTCCAAAGCCTCGCCCGGTCAATGCAGGGAAAACTGGGCACTGCTTACATCACTGAATGGGTGACCTCCCAGGCTGGACTGACTGAGAGAGTCACCGGCAATGTTCAGGAGGATGGTGCAACCGAAGGAGTCAATAGGTCACCGGCACTGAAAACATGTGGGAAGAAAGGGGTGATTGAGCCATCTGGCGAGGACAACCCAGAGTAAGTCAACACAACAGCCATTGGACACTAGCCCTCGAGTGACCAGAGCAAGGGGAAAGAAGTAATGGACTTATACTACACTGCCTGCCTTTACCTGCTATTATGTACATGTCAATGTGATTCAATCATATCGAATAGAGTCCCAAGTATGAGTATCGAGTCCCTGACCATCAAATCCTGAACATATAACATCGGTCCCGAAACCCGAAGCCCGAGATTGAGGAATGAATCCCAACTACCGAGTCCCGAACATGGAATCCCGGACTATTGAAACATGAGTCCTGACTATCGAGTATCGAGTATAGAGTCCCGAGGATCAAACATCGAGTCCCGAAATCTAAAAATCCCAAACATCGAACATTGAGTCCCAAGTATCGAGTCCTGAAACCTGAAGCCCGAGATTCAAGGAATGAATCCCGATACCGAGTCCGAACATTGAGTCCCCGAACATCGAGTCCCGAATATTGAATCCCTACCATTTGAACACCGAGTCCCAAAACATTGACCCATCAAATCCAGACTATCGAACATCGAGTCCTGACTATCGAACACCAAGTCCCGTACGACGCCCGGTGACATGCATTGAAAGATCCGGTAGTGTACATGATGTGGGGATATCAATGAAAATTCAGAGGTTGTAATAAGGTAATTTACATAGTCATTTGTTCTTCAAAGTGTTGAATCATGGAATCTACTACCTTGAGCATTTCAATGCTCATCTGTTCAACTCTTTGCAACCTCTGCAGGTCTGCATCAGCTTTTCTCAGTTTGTCGGAAGTTTCCACCCAAGCAGTTCGGAATGGTCGCTCAGCCTCCATTAGTTGTTGGATGGAAGGGTCAGGAAGACCTCCAGTACGGCGTTTGTAATCACCGAGTCGATCTCGGATGGATTGGTCTTCCCAAAAGATTAGCAAAAAGATAAATGCTCTGCTTTCAGATACTCACATTCTGGGTGTTTGTATTTTCCGAAAGGATGGAGCTCCCGGACCATCAAACATAAATCTTTGACATCGAGCTCCGGCTCGTCTGCACGAAGTTCGGTAGATGATTTGGCGGCTTGGGAGATATGATAAGTATCAATAATCATCTGGAATGAATAGACCCACATGAAATAGACACCTCTGATGTAGCCGGTGCAAAAGTGGGAGGATCAGCAGAATCCGGCAACTCATCAACATCAATGACATCATCCTCAGGCCCGAGGTACAAGTCTGGATCAATGAGACAGCCGGCATCATCAGGCTCACCCGGATGTGATTGATCTTCAAGGGTGAAGTTAGCATGGATGGTGAACACTGATCATAAGGAATGTATAAACATACCTGGCATTGCAGCCGACGCATCCGGTGGTCTGGATGACATAGAATCATATTCTATGTCATCATCCGGCCCAAGGTATAAGTCATCTAAGTCATCTGAGGGACACCCGGTAAATTGATAAGGAATGATAAGAATACAACATACCTAGTGATACCCGGCCCATAGATGAGTCATCCACATCCATAGAATTATAGTCGGTCACCGGGGGGTCATTAAATCTAACGGCTGGATGGGAACTCATGTGGTGTGGAGAATTGGTGGACTGGTTGACTGATGATTGAAAAAACTTCGAAGTTCAACACACAACTGGCAATTGCCGAAAGTTCAACGACGACCAAACAAACACAATCAATCAACAATTTTATTGATCAGTCCATCAAACTGTCTTGTTTGATTTGAAACTTCAGTCCTTCTGATAACTGATCTCAATCTGATTTCAAGATCTTTAAATCTCTCAACTCACTCATCATGTCCACTCCAGTTGCCGACTCTTTGACTGATCTCAAGAATTCCACTGCCCAGATCATGGCCATCATCAGCGCTGCCTGGCAGATTCCCCCTGGGTCCCAGCCACTCAGCTCTGGGAAAACAGGTTGGTACACTTGTGGTATGTATTTTTTGTGTTTTCGTCTCTAACATCCAGGTAGTCTAATGTAGCAAAGGAGTATGGGTCCGGGGATGGTCCTATTCCCGGACTCGTCATTTCGTGCCTCAAAGAGCTACACCGCATCCGGAGCATGGTTCCCAAGGTCTGGCCCGACTGGCACACCATCGGGTATGATGATCCCCGCGTTTTGAGGCACCCCTGGCACCCCAAGGTCCTTGCCTGGGAGGCCATAGGTGACCGGACCTTTGATCTCCCAACTGCTGCCCCCCCATCCACAGGTCCGATTCCAGTCAACCTTCCCTCCCCAGCCATCCCTACCAGCAATGTCGCCGGCCCTTCCACCAACCCCACCACCGAGTTCCGGGACAAGGGAAAAGGTAAGGCCGTCTTCGCTGACCTGGAGCCTGAGGCAGAAGGCAGTAATAAGAGGAAGTCCCCCTTGATTTCGGAACCACCCTCCCAACCCCAAAATCCGCAATGAAGAGTCACAAGCATCTGAGGTTGGCTTGCGTGGTGAAGTCCAAGCCCATGGTGGAGTCGGAAGATGAGGAAGACATGATTGTCAAGGTATGTCATCTGGTTCTTCTTTTACTTGTCTCACATTTTCTTGTAGCTGTTTTCGGGTGGAGTGCTGGAGGTCGTTGTTCCCCTGCTCTCCACAGTTATCGCAAGGATGCCCAATTCGCCTCGATCACCCAGGGTTCCGACGAAGAAACCCTTTGGCCCTGCCACGGTAAGTCACGCTTACGTGTCTGGGCCTCAGGTGTATGCTTACCGTTTACCAGGTGATTGCCGGCAGTCGCCCAGCAGTCATCGAGCCCTCCCGGCCAACTCCTGAACCCCCGGTGCAGGCACCCCCGGTCATCCCTGCAGTTGACATTCTCATTCCCGGACCAGTGAGTACTTTTATATATCTCAAGTGTATCCATACACTAATACAACTCACAGAAAAACCCATGCTACACTTGCAACAAGCTACAATGGCCTTGCGCAACTCGGATGGACAAGAGGACCGGGGCTCCGTGTATGTCGTGCATCTACTGCACGACAAAGAAGATCAAGTGCACCCCTGCGTCTATGGGATCCCCGCCTCCTTGCAGTGGTGCCTCCTCTACCACCCGGAAGACGAGGTCCAGGATGCCATCCAGGGCTCCCTCTAGGGCTCCCTCCAAGGCTCCCTCCAAGGCTCCCCCCACGTCCCAAACCCCCGCCCCCTCCCAAGCTCCCCCTGCCTCCCAATCCAAGGCCCGAACTCGAAGTCAGTCTCGTGGCATGGCCAGAACTCCTGGTGTCACTGCAGTGACAACCCCCAAGACCCAGACGCGTGGTCGCAGCAAGACCATCACTGCCATCAAGGCACCTGCACCTGAACCAGCTTGTAAGTCACCCAAGGTTTATTTTTATCATCGTCTGACCTTAGGTTTGCATTCTAGCTCTTCCGGCCTCAAGTTCGGCAGTCCCGGCTGCAGCACATGGCCCGGCAGTCCCTGCTGCAGCACTTGACGTGCCCATGCCAGATCTCCATTTGAATCGCTCTTCTGGAGGATCGTGTGGCAGAGCAGGATGGTAAGATTGATACCCTGCAACGCCTTCATGAAGGCCTTAGGCGCGAAATCATGCTCCGGCACCCCTCATTCCCACTGCCCGATCCTCCTGCCAATGCATCATCCTTGTTGCTTGATCAATCCGGCCCCCCCACCATGTCACCCGCCGAATCTGCACTCCCACCTCTCATTGATCTCACAATGGAAGGCATTGCTCCCACAACCACAACCGCAACAGTCCCGGATGCCTCTGCCATTGATGGCCTCCTGTTTGATTACAACCAAGTTGCTCATCCAGAGGATCCAGATGCATCCGGCGAAATTGTGGACCCAGGTGATCCGAGCAACCTGGTCCCAGAATATAACTCCTCTGATGACATGGATGTTGAGGTGGAGGTGAAGGTTGAAGAGTCTTCTGAGGAGGTTGACATGGCTACATAATTGCATAGTGATAGATGTATATACAAGTTTTCAATGAATGTAACCTCTGCCAGTCCATTGATCGAGTGACTGAGTTCCCAGTACCGACACCCGAAACCCGAGATTCGGTACTCGGTACTCGGTGATTCATGTGTTCGAGTGTTGAGTTTCGAGTTTCGAGTCAAGTACTGACACCCGACACCCGACACCTGAGTACCGAGTACCGACACCCGAGATTCGGTTGATTCGTGTGGACATTCGAAATTTGAAACCTGAAATGAAGTGCTGACTACCGAGTACCGAGTACTGACACCTGAGATTCGGTACTTGGTACTTGGTACTTGGTACTCGGTACTCGGCACTCGGTGATTTGAGTCTCGGGATTCGAAACTCAGATTTATGCGAGTTTCAAGTTTCAAGATTCGAGTTGCGACTTTCGAGTTTCGAGTCGAGTACCGACACCCGACACCCAAGTACTGACACCCGAGTACCAACACCTGAGATTTGGTACTCGGTACTCGGTACTCGGTACTCGGGTGTCGGGTGTTGGGTGTCGGTACTCAGATTTATGTGAGTTTCGAGTTTCAAGATTCGAGTTTCAAGATTCGAGTTTCGAGTTTCGAATCGAGTACCGACACCCAACACCCAACACCCGACACCCGAGTACCAATGATACACACGAATCACCGAGTACCGAGTACCGAATCTCGGGTGTCGGGTGTCGGTACTCGGGTGTCGGTACTCAACTTGAAACTCGAAACTCGCATAAATCTGAGTTTCGAATCCCGAGACTCGAATCACCAAGTACCGAGTACCGAATCTCGGGTGTTGGGTGTCGGGTGTCAGTACTCGACTCAAATCTCGAATCTTGAATCTCGAAACCCGAAACTCACATAAATCTGAGTACCAACACCCAACACCTGACACCTGAGTACCAAGTACCGACACCCGAGATTTGGTACTTGGTACTCGGTGATTTATGTGTATCATCGGTACTCGGGTGTCGGGTGTCGGGTGTTGGGTGTTGGTACTTGATTCAAAACTCGTATAAATCTGAGTTTTCACGATATTATGTCTGTACATCATCAGTAAGTATACAAACAACGACTGACAAAAAACTGCTATATGACATAGAGCTATCTTCCAAAAATATATATGGCTGTGTGTGAGGATGGAAAGGGAAGAGAAAACACAGGTGATTTGGGGGGATTTGGAAGAGGGGAATGAAATGGTGGTAAGATTTGAGATGGAGAACACAGGTGAAGAGAGGAATACAAGGGTGAATGAGAGTAGTACAATGGAACAGATTTGGGGTAAACCCTTAGCTAAGAGTTGCAGATGAGACTCATGTCAGCCAGTAACAAGACTCACATAGTAGAGTCGATTACAGATGAAGCAGGGGAGTTGAATGGGATGATGTATCAAGACTCTAAGAGTCGAAGCCGTGTGAGTGCCTTAAGCGAGCATGACTCGGTACTCGGGTGTCGGGTGTTGGTACTCAACTCGAAACTCGAAACTCCTATATGATACGTATCTGGGCCCACCCATCTGTCTAATATTACCCGACGTCGGCCCACCCGTCTAGGTAAAATTCCACACTTCGGCCCACCTGTCTATCTAATATTTCCCTATGTCGGCCCACCCATCTATGTTATAAATATTTCACCTCACCCTTGGCCCACCCGTCTATCTAATATTAACCCACGTCGGCCCACCTGTCTATATAATAAATATTTCACCTCACCCTCGGCCCACCCGTCTATCTAATATACCCCTACATCAGCCCACCCGTCTATGTAATAAATAATTTGCCTCACCCTCGGCCCACCCGTCTACCTAATAATACCCCACGTCAGCCCACCTGTCTAAGTAAAATACCCCATGTCGGCCCACCCATCTATCTAATATTTCCCTACATCAGCCCACCTGTCTATGTAATAAATATTCCACCGCTCCCTCGACCCATCCGTCTATATAATAATATTTGCTATACATCTCTCCTCAGGTCTATAATATATGTCAATCCTACTCTACATATTACCCATATGGGCCCACCCATCTCCATAATAATATTTCTCCCGGCCCATCCGCCATCGTCAATGATATATATAACATCAGCATAGATGGGCCCACCTGTCAACATCGGAAATAATATTTCTCCTGGCCCACCCGTCAACATCAGGAATATACATGACATCGGCCCATAATCCGCTGGCCCGTATTACATGGGATATTATGTAGGTCGGGTGACCCGTATAGTACGGGATTTGTCACTGAAGGGGCTCTCTGGTGGGCTCACTTCTCCAGAATGTCATAGTGCTGCCATCCACTGTCTTGAAGATGATGCTGAGTTGTCCGAAACTGAGCAGGTGGCAGCTGTTCGGTTGTTCTCTCGTCAGACTGCAATTGCAGATTCATACCTCACAATAAAGAAAAAGTCAACTCACACTCGTTACATTCAGTCAGAGTTAGCTGAATTTAGTCTAGGATAGTACACTCCGTGTATTTAAAATGTACTGATAACTATCCCACATAGCTTTGGCAATAGCATCCCTAAGCTCGGAAGCCTGAACTCGTTCTGCAGATGAGATATCACCTCCAAGACCCTCAAACCCATTTATCACTGCCCCGATAATATCACCATGGGGAGTTTCACGTGCCTCTGGGAGGTCATTGTTGTCATAAATACGGATGAAATTGTGTAGTCCACAGATAGCAGGGACCATTTTTGCCTGTGTTGTGAGATCATACTCGGGAGAAACCACAAGAAGCTGAAAACGCCTTTTGACCACTCCAAAAATCCGTTCAATGACATTACAGGCTTGTGCATGACGCAAATTGAAAAGTTCATGATAGTTTTTGGGCCTAGATGAGTCATGAGAAAATAATAGCATGATAGCGGAAATGAAATACCGTAAACCAATCCTACCCCACTCGTTTAGATGGTATCGTTCTCCATGGTATGGGATCATGAGCCCATTGCAAATTGGAAAGCCTGCATCAGCAAGGAAATATTTACCAGGAGGGATAGTCAGGTTACTTCGTCAAGCATCCTCATAGATGTGAGCATGCAGCAAGCACATTCTGCGAGAGACAACCTTTTTGGTTGCAGTAACGTGCCATGGCATCATCAGGAACAAAAGCATCCAAATGAGTCCCGTCAATTGATCCTTGGCAGTCTTGGAAGAATGGATAAAATTTTGGGTTGTCCTCGATCTTGGGTGCGAGTTGGGTGGTCACGTCAGGAAGTCGTACATAGGCATTATAGAAAGCATCAGACATGAGGAGGTTGAGAATGCAATGGATGGCTCTGATAAGCAGAAGTCAAATTCTAAACTCGTCAATAATTAATATGGTGGCACACTTTGTGAGAGTACTCGGACTGCGCTGAAATTGTTCTTCAAGATGACGCTGGGGTAGGCCAGTTACAGCAAGATACAGGAATATTCTGAGCTGCTCTTCAGCTGAAACATGTCTTGTGTTATGAAGGCCATGTTTGATTAGCTCATGGAGAAGGGCCTGGAATACATGTTTATTCATTCCCATTGCATCATAAAAATGCTGAGGATGGCCAGCCAGAAGCTCGTTCAACCATTGTTGGCCAGTGAGCTTGGAAGTATTTTTGGGAGTTTTGTTGTAGTGGGCAGCATAATGATGTTGAGTAATGGAAGCAGCAGCAAGTGTGATAGCGATGACAGCTGCCCATTTTTTTCTTCATTTTCGAGCGTGCAAAGTGCTTTCGAGTAGTGTTAATTACCATCAGCAAGTACAGTAGGGTACACTAGAAACAAACTCGCTGCCCAGTTTGGGCCATTTCACTGGTCTAATTTAGCCAACCATCAATTGAACCTGACCAGCAAAAATTGAACTGGACTCAGTTGCCGAGCTGGGCCTAAGTGTTCCCCTTATTCCTCTGCCCCTATCAATATTCCCCTTGTCCCTTTTCCTATCCTCCGCCTTCCCCGCTCCTACCAACCCTTCCCCCTGCTCCTATCCACCCTCCACATCACTCCCTGCCTTCTCTGCTCCGCTCCTAGTCAGCTCGCTGCTAGTAGCTCTTACTTCCCAACCCTCAAAGCGGACTGAAGCGGACCACTTGTCCTATCATCGGACAACATCAGACCCGCTCCAAATTCAGGGCACATACTCGGCTAAGGGTGCAGCACAAGAGCTGAAGCCAAGCCCCGACCCCTCTGCCTCCTGAGCCGGCATGGTACCTAACAGGCGGTGCGGGTGTTGCTGGTGAAGGCAGGTGGGGTGTTTCCAATGACTTTAGGCATGTCGTCGTCTTCGTCTTCTGATAGCTCTGATTCAGAGTCTATGTCAATGTCTTCTTGTTCTGGGGGAGTTGGTTTGACAGGGGGAAGTGGTGCGTCTGGGAGTACTGGGGTGTTCAAGGAAGATGCAGGGAAATTGTTGTGGACCCAGGATTCAGTGGAAAAGTCCCAGTGATGGTTGACAGGTGCTTTGGTCTTTAGAAATCCTCTCCACTCGTAGATGGTATGGAGTGTGCCTTTTTTGTTGGGCTTTACAAGCGCATGATGTTCTTCATTCCAGGTAAACCCTGGATATGTTCTGGTGGGTTCCGTGATGTCTGATGGGGGCACCGACTTGAGGAGCAGTGGTTCTGTAAGTAACTTGACCTTTTGTCACACTCGGCATTGTCAGATGTCTTAGTAAACAAAAGTGGTTGAAATTTCTAGTAGCACCCTAGTGCTAAGTCATGCAATTAAAGCAGTAGATTGCAGGCCCTGGTCTGCATAGGTCAAGTTAAGGAATACAGAGGGTAAGACGATGGTTTAAATAAGAGAGTTAAAGCAGAGTCTGAATATAATAAAGAGAAAAGGAAGTCGTACAATGATACAATGACAAATAGGAACAGAGAAGAGAGAATCGTACAATAGAATGAGATGGAAGGTCATAGAAGGATTAGTAAGCGAAGGAAAAGGAGAACTGTAACACAAAGCTTGTCAAATGTCACAATCACTTTCTATTCTGCAGGGATACATGATTCATGTCCTCTTCCTCTTGTTGAGCTGCTACCACAACTCATTACCTTGTAACCTGTCCGAGGGTCACATCTCACGTACACCATTGCCATGGTTTTTTTACAAATGGATTCCAAGTGGGAGCAGGGAACATCATTGATGTTAGTGCACCCATGAAGGAACTTGTTCTCCTCAGAACTGGAGTGTGTGCACAAGACAGCCACAATACACAGGTTGTTAAGGTCTGTCATATCCCATATCTCCAGATCCGGAATTCCGGATCTCCCCCACTAAAGTCCGGTTCTCCATCCTGTTATTCCACCCAGCACTCCACCTTCATCTCCGCACTCACCCCTAGCTCCTTTTAGAATAGCTATTGCTCTGGCTACTGGTTATATCCTTTCCACTATGCTTACTGATCCGTCTGTTTGTACTTCATTTCCGACCTCACTGCTTTGATCCGTATACACTTACTAATAGCCTTTCGACATGCTTCGTACACAGCCCTTACTTTGCTGACTGATTTACTTACATGATACCTGCAGTATATAAACTCCTGTGATACTCCAGAACTCCTTAGTTCAAATATCATCTTAGTTCTGCTCATTTCTGCTTCTCCAGACTTGAGTCTCATCTCTTGTCTACCTCCGAGTCTCAGGGGTTAAACCTTAGGACTAAATCTCTGGCTCTACCTTAGGGTAGTCTAAACTCTGTTCTGTTTCTACTCCGGACTTGTCCATAGTAGCCTTACTCCATTCTCTCATAATCTTCCAGAGTTCTGCCGAACTCCCCTGACGTCTGACCTCCAGACTTCCCCTCTGCCCCTTGGAAATTAAGGGCACGTACTCGGGTAAGGGGTGCAGCACACGAGCTGAAGCCGAAGCCCTTTGAGTAACCTCCTTGAGAACAACCTTAACAAGGTCCCAGTGACTTGCACTGGAGGGGTCCAGGGACGGATCAGGGCAAGTAACGAGGCCCAAAATATAACCACCTCCATGCTTGAGGAGGAGGTAGTTCTGCATGTGGTTGGACCAGACACACCAGTTGTTCTTACTGCGGTCGAGGACTTCAATTTTATCTAAGTCAGTTTGACTAAGTGTGATGGCTGTAATGGATGCCCTGAGGACATGGTAGCCATAGGCACGACGGTGTTTGGTGGGCTGAGTGTCGCACTTTTAGTGCCTGAGCTCCAAGAGCAGGTATGTGCAGTGGGTGGCATGAGGAAAAGAGGTGGGAGATGAATAGATAGCAACTTGCAGGTATATATACCTGTGGATGACTGTGATTGATTCTCCTCAACCGAAGAAGGAAAGATTAAATGTTACAATGACATTGATAGAAGTTGATAAGATCCCCAAGGGTTTAATAACCCGGCGAGGTTGTTCCTAAGACCTGCTGGTGTATCTAGTTGGTAATTCCACTCCTTGTTTTACGAGAGAGCAGGGCTCATAACCTGTTAAGACTAGACACAATGTTAGCCCTCAGTCATGATGGAACAGACTATATTAAGTACCTAGACACAATGTTAGCCTAAGTGATCATCAGTATCTAGTAGTGGTTAGAGTAATCGAAAAGGCTTACCCTCAGTCGTGATGGAACAGACTGAGGGAAGGTGAGAACGTGAAATGGTATATGTAGGGTGGTTCGAATTCCAAACTTCAACTCCACTTATTGTGTCGGCATGCTTAGCATCAACATGTACTCTGATAATGAATTCAAGAACACATACTTATGGTTGCCCACACACTTACATCCGCTGTCCGTCCATTCTGCAAATTATTCATTGGTCGGTTCATCCTTATGAATGTGTCAATTGTCATTCATAATGAATTATATATGTGGTACTTCGCGAATAACTGTGAATTTATTTATGAGGTCGTCGGCCATCCATTGGATGGTGTCTTCCAGTTCATGGTAATGTAATTGTGTCAGAGAATTTGTGGGGGAATGTCAGGTTAACATACAGTGGGGTGCTGTTGCACTGGACCAATTGTAGCTGGTATGACTCATCTGTGATACATGTCACAAATCTACAAGGAGCAACAGCCTGAGCTTAAGTCCTATCATTCAAGTCTGTAAGTCACTCAGTGCTAATCACTTGTGCTTTCTTACATTTAAATACAACACTGTTGTGCACCTGTTCATATTTGACTGTGAGGCTACCTCTAACCATGACCACTCCCATCAAACCAACCAAGTGAACACCCTCTAATGCTACACCATCTCCAGCTTGAGTGGTGAGCTGTGGTTACTTTAATCTGGCTAGCATTGCTGCTCTTCACTCATCAACATTCACAGAAGGCTTCAGCAACAATGAATGCCAAGCAGCTGCTAGGGCACTGCTTAGGCATGACATTGTGGGGAATTCCCCCACTGTAGGTGTAAAACCCCATCCTTTCCACATCATCTCACATCAGTTCCGCATATTCCACACGTTCTGCGTTTCCCGCGCATCATCCGATGGGTTCCGCATTCCCGCGCATCCTTCAGAACCCGCCCGCACTATCCGATATTCCCGCACATCGTCGGACAACCTTCGCATGTCCTGTCCCCATCCTTCCAGGTCCATTGGTATGCTGTATCCCTCTTCCCACTGTTCCTAACGTTATCCAGATCAAACTGACACATGCCCTTATGGCATGGACCCCTATTCCGGAGTATTGCGCCCATGTGCACTGCCTGCCTTCACTTCTGCTTCCTGAGAAGTTTACTACCTGTACCTCAGTGTTCCTGGAAAATAATCTTCCCTTTAAGTAGTGCTACTCAGGGCTTGGGTGTTTTTTATTGAATCCCATCTTTTACCTTCCCACTTTCCCTTCACCTTACTAGAGGACCGCTTTGACTTATGCCCACTATCAATCTAACCTCATGATATACTTCCTTCAACTTCGCCTGCGAGTTCCGACGAATCAGTATGTTCCGTGCTTTATCCATTTGAGTTCTGTTTCATTCCTTTCCATTCCGCTTGAGTTCCACTTGAGTTCCGCTCAGGTTCCGCTTGTTCTGTGCGAGTTCCGCTTGTTCCGCTTGTTCTGCATTTTTGCGGATCCTCATCCTACTTGCAGTAGGGTTGATTAGGGTCGTTTAGACAGAGACTAGTACTCCCCAGTAGCAATCCCCTTAAGGGTCGAACATGCTTGCTCTCAAGTGAGGCAGTAGGCAGCAAAGACCCAACTGTGTAGTAGATCGATTTCTCTCCGCTGCACTTGTTGTACCCACAACGTGCATATTTGTGACGACTCTTTGACAATAATAGTCTCAAAGTGATCAGACCAGGACTCAAATAATGACAAACAAGGAATAGGGGTAAGAGTCAAACAGAAGGTGAGCGATGGACATCAAGTAGATTCCTATGGAAGGTACAAGAGGTTTAGACTAGAGAACTACTGACTACCCACTAGGGTTCATATACCATGAGAACAGTGCACGGACCAAGATGAGAAAGGTAATTATCTAAATAAGAAGGTGAGAGAAGTATCAGGTGTAAGGGTCCAAGGGTAGAGGGTTTTGAAGAAGGAACATATAGATAGCAGTGGCTAGGAGATCTGAATCATAATGGAAGAGAAGAGATGGCAATTAAATAGAAGATCTATCTCAGATAGAGATCGAAGATCCAATGGGAGGAAGATCAATCAATGACTTGATTGGAGATGTAATTGGCAATGTGAAGGGAGAGATGTGGGCATAGGGTATGGGTGCTTCTGTGACTGGTTGACGGGATGAAGGGTGATATATGTGATGAGTGTGAAGAGGTGAAGGGGTCATGTGACTCAGGTGCTTAGACTTAGACACCACATTGAGGTAGGAAAAATGGTTTGTTTGAGGGACTTGTGATAATATTGATGGTACTCATTATCAGACAAGGACACCTAAGGGTCTTCACCCATCTTACATCGCATTAAATCCTCCTGTGGAACAGATGGACAAGAGGACCCTCACACAAGATGACCTACTAGAAGTGGGGCTGCAGGACATATTCAATGCAGTAAGTTCAAGTATCAAGTTCAATTATCTTGTCTGATTCTTTTCATAGGTCAACTTGCAAGATCACCTCAACAGCAGCATCTCACTTATTATCTGCTGTGCTGGTGTGGTGGCAGGTCCAAAATTCTTATCTGAGAAAATTCCCTTGGACATCTATATTACTCCCTGCAAGTTGCAAGCGACACCTGAGTGCATTGGTGGAGATGTTGCTGTTTGGGCCCAAGTGTTTGCTCAGGAGTTTCCCATCCCTCATCTCCAGTGTTTTTTGCAAAGTTGTGCTATCGAGAAGGTCACTCCACTCAGGTGCTGTAAGTTATTATCATACTTATATATTGTACACCACTAACTCAATTGTAAAGTTCCTGCTACTCATATCAGTCTCAATGGATTGCAATATCTACCTGCACCTACAGTTCCTACCGGTGCTCGCATACAATGCTCAGTGCAGCCTTCCGAGGTCTTTGGGAGCAACCTACAAGCTTGTGCAAATGACTTGGAAGCAGCCAATATCCCATCTGCTGCTATTCGTGAAGGGGTGATGCTCACCAAAAGCATATCAACACAGCCTGCAGCATTTGTGGAGGTGCCACATCAGCTTTGCCAATGCAGACTTGCAGATGTATTCTGTCCTAGTAGGAACCCTGGTGAGAAGTTAGTGGGTCCGATATTGTCACATCAGGGTCAAGATGGTTTTGATGCCAGCATGATTGCCCCCGCTGCTGTTAAGGTCGTGCTCAAGGGAGAGGTTACTCAAAGGGCTTCGGCTTCAGCTTGTGCGCTGCGCCCCTTACCCAAGTACGTGCCCTTTAATTTCCAGGGGACAGAGGGAAAGTCCGATGGAAGTCCGAGGAGTTCTGGAGGACTTAGTGTCGGTGGAGTTCGGCGGAACTCCAGGAAGGCTTATGCGGGGATGGAGTAAGGCTACTATGGAAGTCCAGAGTAGAAACTGAACAGAGGTTAGACTACCCTAAGGTAGAGCCGGAGAATTAGTCCTCAGGTTTAACCCCTAAGACTCGGAGGTAGACAAGAGATGAGACTCAAGTCCGGAGATTGCAGGAATGAGCAGAACTAAGATGATATTTGAACTGAGGAGTTCCGGAGTATTACAGGGGTTTATATACTGTAGGTATCATGTAAGTAATTCAGTCAGCAAAGGTAAGGGCTATGTACGAAGCATGTGGAAAGTCTATTACTAAGTATAACAGATCAAAGCAGTGAAGTCGGAAATGAAGTAAGAATGGACAGATCAGTAAGCATAGCGGAATAGGACATAACCAGTAACCAGAGCAATAGCTAATCTAAAAGGAGTTAGGGGTGAGTGTGGAGATAAAGGCGGAGCGCTGGGCAGAATAGTAAGATGGAGGACCGGACTTCAATGAAGTAGATCCGGAATTCCGGATCTGGAGGTACGGGATATGACAGCTGCGCTCATAAGTATTGGTCCAAACACCAATGCTGCCCTGGATCAGCTGAAACTTGGGGATGAGATTCTGCCAAAATTGCAAATTCTAGCCAGTACCATCCATAGCAGCTGATGGGAGGCAGTTTTTAGATCTCTGAAGTGGGACCTTAACTATGAACATGCTTCCCTGCTGGCAAAGGCTCTCCTCACTGACTTACAGGGATTCATGCTAAACCCTGATGCTGTAAAGGTCAGTAATTTGTTCATGCACCAGTCTCCATATTAATAGTCCCTTTTCACATTTAGCCTCATTCATTATTGGCGCTTACCATACTGACTGTCATTCTGAAGATTCTTGGCATTTTGGTTTTCTTGTGTGCGCTTTACTTGTTTGGGTTATTGTTTGTGTACTACTAGATCTTGAAGTTGTTCCATAGGCTCAATATATGCATCAAATGTAGTTTGCTTCCTGGAATACCAACGCACAGAAATAATTTTATTCCTGGTGTGTTAAAAGTCTTAGCTTGATACTGACAATATTCTGATGTCTAGATCTCCCCCCCCTTCGTAGAAGATGGTCTCTGAATCATTCCACACAAAGAAGTGCAGTACTACATCTTGTTGTAACCAGGCACCTCAAAGATGTCCAAAGGTTATGCTGAGAAAAGAAGCACAAGCAGCACTCAAGGTTGCACAGTGTAACAAGTCTCACAAATTCAAGGATGCCCTTGATGATGCCTAGTACCAGATCAACGAGGCTATGAAGACTATCGCTGGATCTCACCAGAAGAGCATCCAACATGTCCAAAATCAGTTGTACTTTGGTTGTGGTACACTACACTTGAAGCATTTGCAGCCAAATCTCTGGAACATGTTTTGCTGGAAGAAAAGCCAGGATAAAGAAAACCATAAGTTTTTCTTTTTTTTTTGACTGCTATATACTTATTCTAACATATACATCCAGACAGTGAAGGTAGAGCTGCACTTCAGTCGCTAGTCTGTGATCATAAGGAAGCATAGCATGCACTGTCAAAGCAAGAACAGGAGGACCTCTTGAAGGAGTTCACAGAGCAGAGGGAGACTAAGACTCTTGGTTTGCATATCTTGATGAAGTCGAAGGTAAACAATATCACTCAGACTTTGAATGCTGTCGAGAATGAGGTTTGAAGGTTTATGAAATTTTACATTGTAATCTTTCTAACTTGGTTTTATTCATTCTAGCTTCACAGTCTTAAATGTCATACTAGCGCCAAGAGCATTTTATTCACAACACATGGCTCAATGGATCTCCCTTTATAGGGAATTACCTTCACCACTGAGGGTGTTCAAAATTTCATGGGTTCGGTGATGGGGATCAACAATCAGGACTTCATGAGCAAGATGGAAGGATTCGCCATCCAAGGGATGAAAGGTCAGAATTTTTTTATTGTTAACACTATCACCTGTGATCCAACACTATTTTATTTACAGGCACCAGGAAAAGTCATTGACAGCTCGTCTCTGACACATGCACCTCAATGCACCTGCTCATTAATGTTGGACTCCATCAGTTCATTTACTTCCACGATGACAGCATCACTTACCTCCATCAATAGAAGAGATCACAGGCTAGCCAGACAGCATTAAGTTCGCAAACCTCAGCAATGTGTCTAGCACACTCCCTGATCTCAAAATGCTTGAGCAGCAGTGGGAGTTGAGTGCTACAAAATGGATAACCATAGATGACAATGAGCTCAAGAAACTTCACCTGGAACATTGTAGGGAGTATCCCTATGCTAGGCTCATATCCACCACTTTTCCGATGCATCAGGCGTCCATCCGACGTCCATCCGACACCTATCCATTCCATCCCATACCCATCCGTTTTTTGGATGATATGTGGATACCTTCGGATTTCCCCCTATAGCTCGCGCATCCACCGCATCCATCCTGTCCACATCCATTCTACCTCATTTGTACGTACTCACACACATTTTCTTGTTACTGACTGAACACAGACATATCCTCTCACACTCCAGTATTTTTCAGATAGCTTATGGCACGGTCTAGACTTGCTACCTATATCTCTATGTTCTTTGAAAATACTTACTTCATGTAACTTCCTCCCACTTTTCCTGCACCTTACCAGAAGGTTGCTTTGACTTATACCCACTATCCATCCAACCTTTAATGAACTTCCTTTGACTTTGATTCACATCCTGTCCGATCTGCAAGTGCCATCCGCTCCATCTGACGAATCCATACATTTCACATCCTATCCATTTCATCCACTTTTGCGGATCTTTCATCCTATAGGGTCGCTTTAGACAGAGACTAGTATTCCCCAGTAGCAATCCCCTTAAGGGTCGAACGCACTTGTTCCCAAGCAAGGCAGCAGGCAGCAGGCAGCAAAGACCCAACTGTGTAGTAGATCGATTTCTCTCCACTGCACTTGTTGTACCCACAATGTGACAAGCAGCTTAATAAGGGCAAGATCATTGACCATTGTTAACACACTCGCTCTGACAAGGGAAGGAAGCGCAAACAATCTGCAGTGTCAAAGGGAAATGCTAATCAGCACAAGATCCATAAGAGTGCTGAATTCATCGAGAGCAGTGATGAGGAAGGCGAGGAAGGCAAGCCTGACCAGCCCCCAACTATCACTACTAGTCCTGCAGCACAGTCTGCCACTGCACCCTCAGCAGATGAGTCAGGACCGAGTACTCACCCTACAGAGCAGTTCAATACTCTGGAGTTCCCTCAGTTCAACGCCCATGAGTTTGCTCAACTCAATGCTCATGAGTTCACTGCAGGGTCCAGCCTTCCACCTTTCAACCCTGATGCTACCTTGGCTCACCTCAACACATTGTTCAGCCCAGATAACTTCCTTGATTTTGGTGACACCATCTGATACATTATCTCAACTATGTTTATCTCCAAATGTCACACAGTATTACAATGCAACCAAGTTGGCGTCTATTCCAGATTGATTCATTCAATGAGAGATATGGTTATGTAGGACAAGGAGAGGTACTGTGATCTATTGAATGGGTGTATGTCATAGCAAGAGCATGTTGTATGAGATAATGAATGGGGAAGTGCAGTGTACACAAACTATTACTATAGACAGGGCAGTATAGGAACATCTAAGGCAGCACTAGGCAGAGAAAGTGGACAGCTCAACCATTTTGAGACAGACGGAAAGTAAAATGATATCAACATACCTCAAAGAGGTGTTGATATTATGGGGGAAGCTGCAATAGGCCATATTGATGGCAGTGGAGTGGGCTGGCAGTTGGATGGCACTCAAGGAGTGTATCCGATAAGGTGTGGATGGTATGGGGGAGGCCACACATTGACGATAGAAGGATGGGCTAGCAGTCAAGGTGGCGGTACTTGGTCTGGACAGGAGAAAAAGCGCAGGGACTGCAACTGGGCTCCAAAATGATGGCGGCAGTGATGAGCTAGCCTGGGGAGAGGGCAATGCTGTGGTAGGCATAGACACTGTGAAGGACAGTGAGGGCAAAGGGCAAGGTGCGTGGGAACACCAATGCACCATAGATGGATATAATAGGTACATGGCAGGGGCAGGTGGATTACATATGCTTAGGATTACCTCTAAATACCCACCCCACCAGCCCCCATTGTGGATAGGTGAAGCCATGAAGGTCATAGATGATTTGGGGCAGTATTTAATGCCAGTGTTGAGCTTTAACACAAGTAAGCCTAATTATAGTTGACCAGGCACATAATTCCCACTACCTTTAGGTAGCTGGGTATTTGTGGATGTGGAAAAGAGAAAAAAAGTGAGGATTTGCAGTGGTGGTGCAATGTGGATATATTCAGTGGTTTTTTCTCACATTTTGATTTTGTTGTCTTTTGTTGTTAGCCTCATGCATAGATTCTTTATTCACTCTCCCATTATGTTGTTTATGGTTGAGGGTATAAATGTATCTGTTGCATGAGACGACTCTTCTGAAATTTCTCTACTCTCTGTGTCTTTCTTGAATTCTCATGCACTTGCTCATTCTCGAGAGGGTGTTAAGGTTGTGCTCAAGGGAAAGGTAACTCAAAGGGCTTGGCTTCAGCTTGTGCACTGCGCCCCTTACCCGAGTATGTGCCCTTAATTTCCGAGAGGCAGAGGGGAAGTCTGATGGAAGTCTGGGTAAGTCTGGAGGTTAGACACAAGGGGAGTTCAGTGGAACTCTGGAAGGCTAGGAGCAAATAGAGTAAGACTACTTCGGACAAGTCCGGCGTAGAAATGGAACAGAGGTAGACTACCCTAAGGTAGAGCTAGAGATATAGTCTTAAGGATTATGTTACGCTGATGGTAATCAGAGGAGGTTTCAAGTCAATCAATCTACTAGAGATGGCACTCTAGAGAAGTCAAAGGAATCAAGGTGGATTCACTAGTGTCTAACTAGTAGTCTGAGGATGTATCTGGGTAATTCCAGCATAGGTCAAGATGTGAAAGGTGAAGAGGAAAATGAAAGGTGTCACAGACAACCGTAACAATACCTCCTTTCTAAGGGTTAAGTTCCCAGAACTTCAACTGAAACCAAAAGAAACAAAGAAAAGAATGAAGATCCTAAATCTTCAAAGTTGTAAAATGTCTGAAAATCAAAAGAAATCAAGAGAAAGAGTCAAAAATAAAAGCAAATCGGAAATTTGAACTTTTCCAGAATCCAATCCTTCATAGTTCCAGAACTATCTTGTCTTGTTTTCTTCTGATGGATACACATTTATCACTTGTAATCTATTTTGTCGTCACAGACGTCGTTCATAGTTCCTAGTCTGTTCCTCCTCTATGTTAGGTACTGTGCCAGCTCAAGAGGCAGAGGGGTCGGGGCTTGGCTTCAGCTCTTGTGCTGCGCCCTTAGCCGAGTATGTGCCCTGAATTTGGAGCAGGTCCGACGTTGTCCGACGGTAGGATGAGTGGACCGCTAGGGTCCGCTTTGAGGGTTGGAGAGTAAGAGCTGCTAGCGGCAGACCGACTAGGAGCGGAGCGGAGAAGGCGGGGAATGATGCAGAGGATAGGAGAAGGGGTGATAGGAGGATATTGATAGGGGCGGGGTAATAAGGGAAAGGCTTAGAGCACAGCTCTAAGTCAGAGCAGAGGGTCGGAGGGTCAGAGGTGACAACAAGTTGAGACTTGTGTCCAGAGGAGGCAAGGTCCTACTGAGAATCCTCACAGGATATAACTGCGAGAAGACAAGTAATATTAAGACTAAGGAAAAATATCTAAGTACATGATATGTTATATACTACTATGTATGAGGCAGTGATCAGGATAACTATGCAGTAAGGCTATGTACCAAGGATATAGTTTGTAAGTATTTTACATAGGTGAAGACATAAGTCAGGGCAGATATCAATATGTACGCATCAGATCAGTGATTGAGCGGTAATAGGAATTACCGGTCATCCGGAAGTAAGGGTCTATGTACCAATAGGGAAGGCATATATCTAAAAGGGGAAAGAGGTCCAGTTGAATGGAGAGGTTTATGGAAGGGGACCGGTTGAGCGGTTGAGCGGAAGCATAGGGCGGAATGTGGACTTGTGATAGGACGGAGCGGGGGATGAATGGGGCGGAGCGGGTCGGAAAGCGGAGCAGATATTGATATGGGAGCGGTCGGATCAGGTATATGACAGGCCGACTAGGAGCAGAGCAGAGAAGGTGGGGAGTGATGCGGAGGGTGGATAGGAGCAGGGGGAATGTTTGGTAGGAGCGGGGAAGGCAGAGGATAATGTGGAGGATGGAAAAGGGTCAGAGGGGAATATTGAAAGGGGCAGAGAAATAAGGGGAAGACTTAGAGCACAGCTCTAAGTCGGAGCGGAGGGTCGGAGGGTCGGAGGGTCGGAGGGTCGGAGGGTCGGAGGGTCGGAGGTGACAACAAGTTGAAACTTGTGTCCAGAGGAGGCAAGGTCCTACTGAGAATTCTCACAAGTAGTAACTGCAAGAAGACAAGTAATATTAAGACTGAGGAAAATATCTAAGTACAGGATATGTTATATACTTCTATGTATGAGGCAGTGATCAGGGTAACTATGTTGTAAAGCTATGTACCAAGGATATAGTTTGTAAGTACTTTACACAGGTGAAGACATAAGTCGGAGTGGATATCAATATGTATGCGTCGGATCAGTGATCGGGCAGTAATAGGAATTACTGGTGATCCGGAAGTAAGGGTCTATGTACCGAAGGGGAAAGTGGTATCTAAAAGGGGAAAGAGGTCCAGTTGAATGGAGACGTTATGGACGGGAACCAGTTGAGCAGTCGAGTGGAATGCAGACTGTGATTGGATGGAACAGAGGATAGATGGAGTGGAGGGGGTTGGAAAGTGGAGCAGATATTGATATCAGAGTGGTCGGTCGGATCAGGTATATGACAGCATCTTTCCTGTCAACGTCATTGGATCCAAATTGAATCAGAAAAAGGTTGATTCTGTCCTTCACTTTGCCATGTTCTTCCAGGACAGATTGTCCTTTCAGCTTTGGGTCAGTGGTGTTGTCATTGAATTCTGTCACATGAGTGGGAATCATCAAAGGAGTCGTTGGAGGGGGAGTCGAGGGAATAACCAAGACAGTCACCGGTGGTTCTTCATAGACTTCTACAATTTGGGTTCTTCTAAGGACAACAATTCATATTGGTTGCCTTGTATCTCCTTTCTAGGAGAGTGTCATCAATGGAGGAGGTCGAAAGGGAAATGCACCTCCTTTCTAGGCGTCTTGCCATATCCTGTGCTCTGGGGTTGCACTATTTGTGTGGTCGTGTGTCTTGCGTTCTTTGCCTCTAAGCAAGCTTTCAAATGCTCAGGGCAGTCTTTTGCTAAGCCTTTCTGTCCACAGAGGAAACAGAGTCCTAGTTTCATCATTTTCTGCTTTTCATCAGCCATAATGGTCTGAGCAGACTTCTTCGTCATTGTGGAAGGAGATATACTCGACTTCCTAGATCTGGTTCATGTTTTCCTAGGTTCCAGAGGAACAATTGGCATCATCGCCATTTCATCGGCCCAGTCAATGCGGGCTTCATTCTTCTCACTTATAGAAGCAGGAGTCGGGAGAATCGTCAGGGTAGGAGTCAAAGGGACAATGTTCCCGAAGATGGGAAACACTGAGGTGTCAGGGAAGAGAGTCGTGATCATTCCAAAATGAATTGCTTTTGGGGTCTTGGCAGCTACTGCCAGAGGAATTATGGTCGTGGCTGTAACAGCCGGGGTGGATATCTTCATGGCAATAGCCAGAGGAGTCAGGGTATCATCAGGAATAATCCTGGGAATGGTCAAGGGAGTTGTCATCTTCCTAGCATTGAGTGTAGGGAATACTACTTCATCTTTCAGGTTGGGAATAGCCTGAACAGGCCCCTGAGGGTAGCTTCTGCCATTCTCATAGAGCTCTACTTGAGAATCTCTGGATCTGATCTTGTATCTGAAGATCGTTCTTTTGCAACAGCAGTTGCAATAGTCGCAGACCTCGAAAGGGATAAGGTCACCATCATCATCTACTGCTAAGAGTCGGGTTGTTGCTTCAGGATAAGCTCTGTCAGCGTTCTTTCCACAAGCCTGGTTTTTGCAAGGTCCAGCTTTCAGCATAGTGATGTCTATCAAAGAGTCGTCAACCTATGTTCATCACCAAGATAGAACAAGTGGAGGATCAATGGTAGTTTAATGACATCTCATTCATTTGTCATCTACATCGCAGAGGATGGGTTGGGGATGTGCACAATGATCAAAGGATCGGTGCCGTAAAATATTATCTTGACCTTTTATTACGCTGATGGTAATCAGAGGAGGTTTCAAGTCAATCAATCTACTAGAGATGGCACTCTAGAGAAGTCAAAGGAATCAAGGTGGATTCACTAGTGTCTAACTAGTAGTCTGAGGATGTATCTGGGTAATTCCAGCATAGGTCAAGATGTGAAAGGTGAAGAGGAAAATGAAAGGTGTCACAGACAACCGTAACAGATTAACCCTAAGACTTGGAGGTGGACAGGAGATCAGACTCAAGTCCAGCGAAGCAGGAATGAGCAGAACTAAGATGATATTTGAACTGAGGAGTACCGGAGTTTTACAGGAGTTTATATACTGTAGGTATCATGTAAGTAATCAGTCAGCAAAGTAAAAGCTATGCCCAAAGCATATGAAAAGTCTATTAGTAAGAGTATAACAGATCAAAGCAATGAAGTTGGAAATGAAGTACACATGGACAGATCAGTAAGCAAAGCAGAAAGGCATACAACTGGTAGCTGGAGAACAGTTATTCTAAAAGGAGATAGGAGTGAGTCCAGAGATGAAAGTGGAGTGCCAGATGGAGAATAGGATGGAGAACTGGACTTTCACAGGGGAGGATCTGGAGTTCCGGGTCCAGAGGTATGGGATATGACAGAGGGTGTGTTTCGGGCTCTTGTGACTTTGCTCAAAGGAGATGTTCAGTTCTCTACTGATTTTCTGTTTGCACTTCGCAATACCTTGCTAGTCACAGTCATCCTAGGTCATGATTGGTATGCTTTCAACCACTGAAAAACACGGAGCAGGATCATCAACAGCACTGACAACTTTAAAATGACAGCTGCTTGCAATCTTTGTACTATCAGCTCTTTCTCGCTCCTATGTCCATAATCACTGTTATCAAATGTTTCTTGAAATAGCACATTCAACTGTACATCAGCAAATCACTTTGCCTCTGTGGGCTCTGTACAGCTCTGTACAGAAGGGACCAAGCTGCAGCCAGCCATTTTTCGGTGGTGGGAAAAAAAAAGTGTTTTGCTGATGTATCTCTAATATTCTTGTAACACCAATAATCTTGATCGGCATTAGAATGACAGACTCAATTGGAAACAACAACCCCAACATTAATTACAACGACTCAAAATCAAAATCAGAAAGAACACACCCCCCCAAAAAAAAAGAAAAGGGTAGCGGGCACTGCCACGGATGTGGCCTTTCGCGACTTATCACCAAGTATAATAAGGCTTACTAATTGGGCAACCTAGGTGGCGTAGGGCGCTTAAGTCTTTAACGAACGTCACACTATCTTACCTTAACTAAATAGCCTTTCAATGACCTGGAAGTTGCCGGTGCTCGCCTCGTGCTGGCCTGGCCTCTGGATGGATGGGCATAAGACCTATAAACCCCGCCTGCTGCTTTGTCTCTTATCTTCCCTGCGGAATCCTGAGAGTCACCCGGACGCTGCATTCAGGTTACTGCGATCGATACAGAGGTGAGCGAAGCTGGAAGCTCCGGAGTCCACAATCGGTTAACGTTAGTCCAGGTCGTACCGGACACACAGAGAAGTGGTCGCGATACAGCCTTTCTCACCGTCAAATTTTCGCTCGTTTGTTTGCGCTTCAAGGACCTAGCCGCTTTAGCAAGGCTCCCAGTTGCTCCGGCAATGCTCGCGGCTGTTCCAGTGGTGCTTGCAGCTGTTCCAGCTGTTCCAGTGGTGCTCGCAGCTGTTTCAGCGGTGGTTGCAGCTGTTGTTCCAGCGGTGCTCGCAGCTATTCCAGTGGTGCTCGCAGTTGTTGTTCTAGTGGTGCTCGCAGTTGTTGTTCTAGTGGTGCTCGCAGCTGTTCCAGGAATGTTCATATGTGCTGCGATACTCGCAGTTGTTTCAGCAATAATCCTAGGCGCTTCAGTAATCATTCTCCCATCGCTAGCGGTAATCTGGTTGGTAAAAAGATCCGTATGTTTTTTTTTTCATCTTTTGTGGGCTGGTTCATTATTTATTTTCTTGTCAGATGTGACATCCCTTCGAGACCGCCCCCTTCCCCTGTAGTTGCACATGGTATTGCATTAAAAATGTCGATTCGATTCGTTACTTAAAACTCCTAGTTGCATCATTTTGACAATGAAGTCTGGGAACAACCATCAGGAAGTATAGGGTCGTAGGGCGTCAATCCAAGGGCCAGCCATAATCGTGGGCTCTGACACGAGCGGACATTGATGAAGGACGGTCAGATCCTGTCAATGCTGAGTGAGATTGCATAGCAAGACGACGCAAAAGGTTTGACTTACGCCAGAAGCCCTACTAGGCTGCCCATACGAACGGGATGAATTTGATCAGTATGGGCATGCTGCGGGCCCCGAGACGCACGTGGACATGTAATGAACTTTGCAAATTTTTTTTTGAATCTTGCACAATTATCATCTCGATTTAATTTGTTAGATTTTTATCTACCTCTTTTTCTACTAGTACTTCGACCTATTTCGCCACATGTCTACCTCTAACTGTTGTTCACTGGGACTAAGTGTTCACAGGTTGGTGCATTGGGAATTCCGACTTGCCTGCCTGGCGACCATCGTAGATCTCTGATGTATGGCTTCCTGTCGGCCGGTTCTATTCCCCCTTCACGTGTGCTAGTAGCTTTCCAATAACCTGGAAGCTGCCGGTGTCAGGTTGGATCATACTGGCCTCGTGTTCGCCTGACCTCTGTCTGGATGAGTATAAGACTCATAGTACATCCTACTTACCTTGTGTCTGAATCATTGTTTCTTTTCTTCACTGCAGAGTTTCCATCACCTGGACGCTGCATTACTGCAACACATACAGAGGTGAGTGAAGCTAGAAGTTCTGCAGTCCACGATCTCTTATAGTCTATGTCACGTTGCGAAACAGCCCTTCTCACCATCAAGTTCCCCTCCGTTCGTTTGCGCTGCATAGATCTAGCTGCTTCAGCAATGCTCCCGGCTTCAGAAATCATCCTAGCTACATTCGCTCTCACACTCCTAGGAGTCTTGTGGAGGACACAAGAAGACGATGTAAATGGAACAACAGAAAGAGCGGGAAGGGAGGAAGTCGATGCGGCGAGGCGCGGGACGAACGAGGCGGAGGACATAGCTAGAAAGACCCAGAATCGGGTCGATCTATCATAGGCACAAGTCAAAGAAACGGAAAGAGCCGGGTGTGTTGCGGAGGGAGCGGCAGAAAATGCGCAGAGGTGTCAGGAAGAACACGAACGGGGAACAGGCACGGCTGCAGCAGCTCTTCGCAGAGCAGAGGAAGAGAAGCTCGCGATCGAGCGTGACTGGTTTGAAGGAGTTCGCCCCGAGTGCCGCCCTTCGGAGGACATCGTTCGGATGAAGGCCAAGTATGGTTATAACCCAAACTTCCTCCACCTCGCAGTTGTCGGCTCTTCTGGAGGTGGGAAGTCATCCTTCATCAATGCCGTCCGCGGCCTATCCAACGATGACCCCACTGCCGCTCGTACGGGCATTGTCGAAACTACTAATGCCGTCACGGGATACCCTGGTCCATGCCCAAACTCCCGAATCATTTGGTATGACGTTCCTGGAGCAGGCACTCTAAACGTTCCTGAATGGCAATACTTCAATGACCTGGGCCTCTATATTTTTGACTGCATCATCGTGCTCATGGACAATCGTTTCCTGGACTCTGACCTCGCCATCCTTCGCACCTGCGAGCAGTTCAGCGACGTTGACACAACACCCTGGGGTGATGATGCATTAAAGCTTACAACCGCAAGATACTTGTAATGCATGAACAGTTATAATTGTAACCCTGAATTATGCGGCCAGGAAGTTTTCGTGTGGTGCTGGCTGAAGTGAGCGGCAGACAGTTGAACTTATCAACATATCGACAACGCTCTTTGCACTTTACCGCCTCACTTCTGCAGTACCGAAGTGACCAGACGAGCAACTATACCGTCTCCTTTGGCTTATATTGAGGAGACTGTGGTACAATCCTGGTCATCCACGAAGTATGTGCCATGCTGGCGCGTGCATTCTCCACAGTGGTCACGACTTAACCACTGCAAGATAAGGGCACGCTGGCATTTCCCCATTCAAGGTGAGCTTCCAAATCTCCATCGGCAGGCATGATTATATTACCAAAGTTTACAACAATTATCGCAGCCGTGCGAGCTGTTATTTGGAATGTCGCCGCTGAGCAAATGCCAGCGGTAAATTCATACTCCGTAACGATCCTTTCACCAAATTCAAGCCGGGCACATTACGCCGTTGAGCAACCCGTATCATTAGTCTGCAGCTTCGTCCAATTAATGTATATCCTCATGCCAAGCGTGTAGCACGGGTATCAGCGACGTGTACAACTCGATCCTATGGCGACATATAAAGTCTTTCCTCCTGTTGTGTAGTCCCATCCTTGCGATTAAAGCTCGACATGATGTGGGCCATTGCAACGCTCCTACTTGCAGGTGTCGCCCAAGCAGCTATCCCTAATGCCATGCTCCGTGGCAGGCCTTCTCTCCCAAAAATCCCAGCGCCGGAACATCCCGTCACTTCGCCGAATGGCACGGCGCTCCCATCCATTGCGACTGTCTATTACTTCGACCAGCTCATCGACCACAATGATCCAGAACTCGGAATCTTCCAGCAGCGGTACTGGATGGACTGGGAGTTTTATGAGCCTGGTATGTCCTAAGGATTGAAGTGCAACTTCAAGTGTCGTTTACATGATGCATTGAAGGTGGTCCCATTATCTTGATGACGCCTGGAGAAGATGCCGCAGATAGTTAGTTTTGCTATACTTGACTCGCGATTTTTCTCAAGTACTTGGTTTTCAGACTACATAGGCTACGTTACCAATGGCAGTATCAATGGTCTCATTGCTCAACAACAGAAAGGTGCAGCCATTGTCGTCGAACACCGTTTCTTTGGCGATTCCAATCCATATGACGACCTCACCTCACAATCTCTCGCTTTCCTCACCATTCAACAGGCCATTGATGATCTGGTTTATTTCGCTACGACCGTAGACCTTCCGATGCCTGGGGGTGATTGCGTGAAGCCAGGTCAGGCGCCATGGGTGCTGATTGGAGGAAGCTATTCGGGAGCCCTCACCAGTTGGACGATGGTCAAGTGAGTATCGATAATGAATCCTGTTGTTTCAGTATGGTGATCGACTTGAAGCAAACCGGGAATTTTTTGGGCTGGATACGCGTCCTCCGCCGTTGTGGAGACAATCACGTATGTCAATTTTATTGCAGTCACCACTCATCTCCCATTGACGTGATACAACGCTTCTCCTTCCTTAAAACACAATTGATATGAATGAATCCGCACACAACATGGTCATTCGGCCCCTTCTCAACAAAAACAGTGACTATTATGCCTATTTCACTCCGATTCGCGATTACATGCCACAAAATTGTTCTTCCGATGTAGAGGCAGTGATTGCCCACCTAGATTCGATGTACGCAGTGAATGACACCTCTGGAATTCAGGCGCTCAAGGAAGCATTTGGTCTTGGTGACATTGTACACGTAGACGATTTCGCCTATGCACGTGAGTCATCCTTGTCCCTTGTTCAGTCTTCATCTTTGGGCACCACGCCTTCTGATCCGTAGTTTAGTTTATCATGCGATCAACGCGCGATGATTTCATTCAAGTTACGTTCCCCGTTTGGTTACGAGTTTCTCCTTTCCCACGTCCTTACCTCGAATTTCTCTTCTGACGATATTTTTGATCTGTTGCTCTTGATCTTGACTGACTCTGCTCGGACCAACAGTTCAATACAACCTGTTTGATTGGCAAAATCTAGAGCCTTATGTTGGCCCAGGAGCACTGTTCTTCCAGTTCTGTGATGCACTCGAGGTCAAGGACGGTGTCAATGCCGGATCTCAAGGATGGGGACTTGAAAACGCCATCTACTCTTGGGGTAAATTCTGGAATACCACATACTACAATCATGGTAAGACAGTTAGTTTGATCCTCGATTGAGATGGCTAAACTGGATGGTGAAGTGTGTAACACCCAGGATGCCGAGTGCGTATCCCTAAAATTTAGTGCCGTACGAATTGGCTGACGGCGACGCTAGGACCTGTATTGGGACGTATAACACGAGCCAGTCCTACTGGACTAATGTTACCGTGAATAACGCCAACAGGTCGTGGACCTGGATGGTGTATGCATTCTCTTTCAAATCAATATCTGATCTGACAAACCTTTCCAGGTGCAACCAAGTCGGATTCTACCAAGTTGGCCCTCCCGAAGGCCAGCCTGCGATCGTGAGCCGCATCCTCCAACCCATTTACGACGAGGTACGTATATTGCATTCAAAAATGACTGCTCATCAACATAATCATCAGCGCCAATGCGTCAACATGTTCCCTCGAGCCTTCGCCTCTCCACCTGAGCCTACTACGGCGGAGACCAACAAAATGTACGCTGGCTGGGACGTGGATATCCCACGTCTCTTCTTCGCCAATGGCTTGCGCGACCCTTGGCGCGAGGCAACTGTGTCTGCTGACGGACTGAACAAGCCTAACACTACCAGCATGCCGATCTACGAGTCCGATGGATTCCACGCGTCAGACTTGATCGTGGAGAATGGCATTGACGACCCGTCGGTCGCCGCCGTGCAGGAAGCAGCATTAATGTACATGAAGGAGTGGCTTGCTGAGTGGAAGCCTTCCGCCTCGTAAATTATCCCATTTTTCGGGATTTGTGGACATGCGAGTTGTTTATCGATAACTTATCGTGTTATATGTCTCAGACTGCAATGGAAGGATGGTGCTGGTTCTTTCCGACCGCTCGGGAACCGCACCCGTGGCACCCAGAGGCTTGGATTTATTGATTTTCCGTGCTACATCCTGTAGAGCTAGCGCCAGCACTTTGGAAGGGCGAAGCAGAACGTGAGTATTCTGCACTACTCTTTTTCTGGCAGGCCCTTCACTGTCGCACTCAATTGAGAAACAGAGTGCCGGAGGCGCTCTACTGAAAGGCAATGTCGAAAGTCGACTCAAGTTGAATTCCAGTGATGTGAAGCAATGGATGGCAGTACGAAAATGCAAGTGACATGGTACAGGCTGGGCAGCTCAACGTTGACTCCAATTGTTACGTTTCCGAGTCGATGTCTCCTCGATTTCGAATTCAATACAAAGTTGTGACCTCAAACAAGCATTGAACTAAATTCATACTCTTTCTGTGTCCGAGTCGAAGTCAGTATCGTATATTGACGGATCCAACCGCGCATTCCTCACTATATGGCTCCAGCTCTATAGCAATTTTGTGCCTTCCACGTTCATGTTGGTCCTTCGAATAGAAGCTGAATGAGAGAAAGAACGAGAGACAGCACGACGCACTATGAGTCTTGGATCCCTGTATTGAAACCAGTCACACGTTTCAATTGCGCGCACGATCAACCTCAAGCGTGTCCTAGGAACGTCAACAAGGAAATTGAATACAAAACGCGTACAGGCTGTTGATATGTAAGACCCGTCAATGGTCATTGTACATGCACGAACATTGTCAATGAAATAAACTGTGACATACTAGATGGCAGAAATGAGTTCACGAGTAATACTGTAAAATAAATAGGCAGTCCACTGTCTTCCAAGTGCCGATAAAGCGAATTGAACGTACCAAAGGAAACCCGAAGGGACTTGGACTAGATGTATGTGCGGGTCCGCAGGTGGTAGCCTTCAACCGCTTGCCGGAACTCCAGGTCGTATGGAACGGTGAAGGAGGCCATTATCTTGTTTGGTGCGTCGTTGGTATTCGGACGTAAAGAACCTCTGACATCGAAGAATTTTGGGAAACTGAATGTATGGAAATATGCATGGCCTTCAATATCTCCGGTAGTGTACCTCCAGGTCGAACTAGGAGTTGGCAGACTAAGTCGAAGTCCTGCGGAGAGAGAACGCTGTTGACCCCCGGAGTATCTATGAAGAGGTTCCAGATGACTCGTCCCGGTATTTATCAATAGACAACCGAAGCTTCGGACGCCGAGAGGGACCATGCGAGTGGTTCAACTATTGAGGGTGGGAGTTTTCGCTCTTGAGTGTAATAGGTCGTTAGAACAGTACTAGTCGTCCTATAGAGATTCAAACATTAGATGATGAAATTGAGTGGGCTTGCTACCACAGACAAAGTACTTTCGTCATCAAGCCACTGAAATCTTTGATGTCCGAGGCACTTAGGAGTCGAACGAAGCCGTCATCACGGGCTACGGAGGTGGTGTCCAGATCGACTGAGGAGCGTTTGGGTTTTAGGAGTCTAGTAATATAATGGTGATGCGGGCGCGCCGTTGAACTTAAAGGCAGTGGAGATTATCAGAACACGACGGTGCCGATCATCTCCACGGCCTTCGACAAGGTCCACGGATGGAAATCCAATATTCAATTTCATATGTAAGGGTGTGTTGACAAAGTTGGCAAGAGGATACTGCCAGCGATGTTTCTGTCGTAACTGCGCTTACGCACCAGCTGGTCCCTGACTCCGCTTCAGTTGGACGCATTGTAACATATTGAAGTGGATAAGTGCACGCGGAGACCATCTCTCTTGTGACTGACAAATCTCCGTTTTCCACTTGACTATTACTGGTATGCAGCATGTGAAATACTCAGCTAGTAGCTTGCAATCACTGGGAATACATTCAAACACTCTCGCCCGGTTCCCAGTATTTTACATTTCGTTGTACAACGCTAATAAAAATTGATGCACTTAGCCCTTCACTAGTAGACATCGCTAGATCCGCCACAGAACCGTTGGGCAGAAAATCCGTGCGCAGTTGCCATAGTGGTATGAGACACCTAGTATAGTAAAATTAACATTATCACTACGGTCCTTGAAAAGCTCGTGACAGATGAACGCACGTAGTGCGCGCCGAGAGTGGGCAGGCTAACATGTTCAAACAGCCCATCGCAAAAACAACCGCGTCACATGACAGGCACGCTCTTAAGTTACAGTTCAGCCACAAGGGAATTGCCGGATAAACGCTTGCAGAGAAAAATGGAGAGAAGACTACTTAGTACTGCCTGTCCGTGTCCGACAAAGACCCTCCCCCACTAAAGTGCCGGGAGTCGGGGATTATGTGTGTTTGCTCGACACTACATAATACACAGGCGGCCACACACGCTTAAAGTCAACAAAATTTCAGTGCAATGGAGCGGAATTGGCTCGAAAGCCGTAACACGAAGGAGCGACTATCTTTCTTCGATTGGTCTGGCTAGGGGAGACTCTCGGAAGCGGTACTTAAGATACCCCAGGACTCAGCGCCTCGCCAGCATCTGACCCATCTTGTAGTCTTCGCTCGTAGTCCCCGGACACTGGCGGAGAGATGGCACTAGACATCACCTCAGATGCCAAGAGGTGTGTCATTTCGTACCCCGTCTCGTCGCGTAGTGAAAGAAGTAATAACTCCCAGCGTCAAGTGCCTTGGGGGGCCTTCAAGTTCCTTCAATATGGGACCTATACCTGCGATCTATGCATCCACCCCCGTTGTATGCCATGACAATTTCAATTTCTCAGTCGTTCCTGCAGCTGCCATCCTCGTGAAACACCTGAAAGAACGGAGGGAAATCAAGATGAGGCCTAACACCTATGTACTCAGAGTTAGTTGCTGCATACACGCGCAGACGCCAGCGATAAGCCCATCGGAGCTCTTCAACGATGCCGCGCCATTCCTTCAGGCGTCCCGTCCGATGATCGAATGGGACGCGAAAATGAATGGTGCGCATTAGCATTTGAGATACGCATGCCAACGCGGAGTGGCATGTTAGCGCGACATTCGCGGATTGTATGTGTTGCTTCCAAATCGCGCATGAAGAGATCGGGGTGTGCGGGTACGCTTCAATCAGCCTCTAGTCCTGGCAGCGTTCGCTAATACTGAAAGGGAGTAAGTAGTTCCGGGCTGATATCCGTTCACTATCTAATAGCGTAGAAGTGCAGCACGGCATAATTTATTCTAAAAGATTCAATTCACTCGTGGCTCATGGCCGTAACCCTCCCAAGTGCTGTGCCCGTTGTCTCTGCTCTCGGCTTCCGCCCTGGGGGCTTGGTCGTCACTGTTCAGGCGGTTATATTCCCATAAATGTAAGAAAGAGGCTTGGCTCATTGCCACTGTCTTCCTCCTTAGCCACGTCAATACAAGAGATCAGTCTGCCGTACGGATGAGTCAGTATCTTAACAGTGCTTGTCACTGGCAAGTTCATACGAAAGTTTCAGATCAGTGGTGGGGCGTTATCTCATGGTCTCCAGGGCTAGATAAGGTCCTTACTACGTGAAAAAGAGGGTTGGATGGGCAGAAATGTAACGGGGCAACAGTACGTACTTACTGTAAACTCGGCACTGTCGTACAATTGTCATTCACTACCAGAACCCTTACAAGATGACGAAATTCTGTGCTTTATAAGTACTGTACGTCAGTGATCAGCGACCCACCACTTACCCTTTGAATTCCCCATTTGATCTGCATGTCGGAACAAGCAGATGTCTCTGCTCTCCGCTGGAATAACAATACATGTGGTTCGTCAGCTCCGTTTAACCTGGCTGTGAACGGACCACCGTGCTGAACTTCATCGTTTTCCAGTAGTAATCATTACCCTGGTATCCTATGACTACAGTCAGTAGCTTTCATGAACCTTGTACTACAGCTGAGCATCGGATTATCTAGTCCTGCAGTTCGAGAAGGAGGTAACGAAAAGCTCGTTTTCTCTTGGTCGAGTCCTCATGATTATATCTATCACAGGTCAAGTATATTTGGGTTAGTGTTGAAGTTGAAGTTGTCAACCCCCCAAGCCGCGGAGACTGATTGAATACCCAGAAAAGACAGCGGTTACTGATGACATATCTTTACCTCGCTGTGAGTTCCGCCCTACCAACATGCTTCATGGTTTTTCACTTCATTGCTCTGCCAGGTCCGATATTTTGGTATTTTCCTTGCAATGTACGTTGCTGTGGTTGTGTCATTCAGATAATACATTGTATACTGACACTGAACCTAGGCTTTGCGCCTTGTGTATGTGATGGGGTGCCAACTGAGCCATCATTAGCTGACTAGTATCAGGGGGAGGACTGATGAGTATTCCTGAGTCAGTGAGTTTTTCGACGCTTGCTATCTTTAGAGCGTTCTCGGCTGACATATCGTAGTCGTACGTTACGAGTTCCATTTACTTTCAAGTCTGGACGGTCGTTGACATCTTATTTAGCTGCGAGTATATCGTCTTCAACTGAAACTGTTAGCTCATCATATGTGCGATTAACATAGGCTACCCTCTTATGGTTTTCATCGAATGGGGTTTTTCTGCATATTTATGCTTGGCGGAAGGTAAGTAGTACATTCTCGTCCTCCCATTATGCAAATAAATTTTGAATCACCAGTTATTCTCATCTGGCGTCTTTACATCCTATACAACCAATCCAAGCTGCTACTTTATGTTTTACTGGGGTTGTTCCTACCTATCATCGCGCTCTATATAGGGATGGATATTTTTTTATACAGTCGACCTTCAGCGTTGTCGGGTAAATTTCAATTTCTTCTTGCACCGATTTTTTCGAGCTCACGTCTCATGGCATAGTGCAAGAAATAGTAACTGAGAACTTCAGGTACTGCTCAATGTCCTTCAACATAGGGCCTATGCCTGCAATATATGCTTCCATCCCCATCATATGCTTCGATATCTTCCTAGTTGTTCTCGCAGTTGCCGTCCTCGTGAAACACATGAAAGAACGGAGGGCAATGAGAATGAGGCCTAACACTTACGTGTTGATGATCGTGCGATATCATATCCTATACTTTGTCCTGTAAGTTCCCGTTCGTCTATCGAGTTCTCTGAAAGTATTCATCAAATCCCGTTAGAAATTTGATAACCCAGATATTCATGGCGATATTATGGGCCAACCTTCCGGTATGATCTCCCATGCTTCTAGAGAGATCAGCTCTAAAGCGGACACGCACAGATAGCGGTGTCGGATCTGATATTTCTCTTCACTGATACCGCGCCATATATCATCGTGCCCCGTCTGATGATCAGCATTTGGGATACGCATGCCAATGACAGCTGCGTATATGTCAGTACGACGTTGGCAGATTGTGTATGTTTGACCTCGTCACCGGGATTCGATGAGCACGAGATGGACGGTGCATGATGGTACCAAAAGGCTTCTTAGAGCATTCATTGTCATGATTGACGCGGGTCAATTTTGTCCCCTGATATTTACATACCATGTACATAGGGACCAGCGATGAATCTAATATCATAGTACATACCAATCAAAGAGACTGGCGATGAAAGGACTCACAACAATGCTGATGTGTGATTGTACCTAGTACAGTGACCGTGATATGTCAGTACAAAACGCAATCGCAGATCGAAGCCTTTGGAAACCAAGGGACTCAGAAAACTGCTGTATACATACGAGACGCGAGAACGTACGGACGAGAGCGTAGCTAAAACATAGCGAAAAGTTAAAACATACATGCTGACCTTCTTGTGCCAATGTATGACGTGCAGTTTTTCTCCTACTGATGGATATGTTTGAAGGATCAGAAGAAAATGTTTTTGTAAGATAAGTAATCCCGAGGTCAAGCCAGCCTTTGCTCTAACCTTTCCTTAGCCTTTTCGCCCACCTTTTTTTCGTCCCGCCTGTTTTCCTTGGCACACATCCCACTGTTTGGTCGTTCTTTCATTCTGAACTCCAGCTTCTACCCAAAGGATCAACGGCGCTGGAGCTACAGATGTAGCACGGAAAACCAATAAAACCAATTAAATGCCCTTGGATGAGACGGGTGCGGTTCTGACTGATCGTAAAAAACAAGCACCATCCTTCCATTGCAGCCTGAGACATATAACATGATCAGTTATTGATGAACAACTTGCCTGTTCACAAGTCCCAAAATCCAATCTATAATAATTCACCATTGGCAGGTGGAAGGCTTCCACTCAGAAAGCCACTCCGTCATGTACATTAATGCTGCTTTTGTATGACGGCGATGGACGGGTCAATGCCACTCTTCGGGATCATGTCTGTGCAGCGGAATCCATCGCTCTCATAGATCGGCATGCTGGTAGCGTTAGCCTTGTTCAGCCCGTAAGCAGAGACAGTTGCCTCGCGCCAAGTATCACGCAGGCCATCGGCGAAGAAGAGACGTGGGATATCCACGTCCCAGCCAGCGTAAATTTTGTTGGTCTCTACCGTGGTAGGCTCACGTGGAGAAGCGAAGACTTGAGGGAACCTGTTGACGCATTGGCGCTAAAGATTATGTTGGTGGGTGGTCATGTCTTGAATTCAATATACGTACCTCTTTGTAAACGGGTTAGAGGATGCGGCTCACGATTGCAGGCTGGCCTCCAGGAGGGCCAACCTTGTAGAATCCGAGTTGGGTGCACCTGCAAAGGTTTGTCAGAACAGATATTGATGCGAAAGAGCATACATACATCATCCAGGACCACGACATGCCGGGATCATTCACGGTAACATTAGTTCAGGAGGACTGGTTCGTGTCATACTCCCCAAGACAGGTCCTTGGTTCACTGTCAGCCAGTCCGGATGACACTACGTTTTAAGGATACGTACTCGGCACCCTGATCGTCACAGGCTTCACCATCCAGTTTAGCCATGTCAGTCGAAAATCAAACAAACTGCCTTACCATAGCTGTAGTTGTATGTGGCATTCTAGAATTTACCCCAAGAGAAGATAGCGTTTTCAAGTCTCCATCCTTCAGGTCCGGCATTGACACCGTTCTTGACCTCAAGTGCATCACAGAACTGGAAGAACAGTACTTGCTCCTGTGCCAGCACAAGGTACTGGATTTTTCCAATCAAACAGGTTGGATTGAACTGTTGGTCCGAGCAGAGTCAGTAAGATCAATTTGTGAAAGGAAGATCGTGAGAAGAGAAATCCAGGTAATGATCTGGGAAAGGAGGATTTGTAACCAAACGGGGAACGTAAGTTGAATGAAGAGCATAATTGTTGAAGGCAGGATAAACTGAACTAGACGTTACACGAATAAGGCGTGTGGGCCAAGGTATCGGTTTCACGCAAAGATGAAGACCGAACAAGGGGCAAAGACGACTCGCGTGCACTAGCGAAATGGTCTACGTGTGCAACACCGCCAAGACCAAATGCTTCCTTGAGGCTCTGGATTCCAGCAGTGTCATTCACTGCGTACATCCAAACCAGGTAGGCAATCACTGCCTCTACATCGGAAGAACAATTTCGTGGCATGTACTTTCGAATCGGGGAAAAATAGCCATAATAGTCACTGTGTTTGTCGAGAAGAGACCGAATGATCATGTTCAAGTTGTGTGCGGATTCATTCGCGTCAATGGTGTGTTAAGGACGGGGAAGCGTTTTATCACATCAATGAGAGATGGGCGGTGACATGCGTAATTGTCCCCACAACGGCAGAAGATGCATATCCAGCCCAGAAATTTGCTTCGAGTCGATCACCATCCTGACACAACAGAATCCAATATTGATGCTCACTCGACCATCGTCCAACTGGTGAGGGCTCCCGAGTAGCTTCCTCCCACCAGTGTCCACGGCGCCTGACCGGGCTTCACAGCATCACCCCCTGGTATGAGAAGGTCGGCTGTGGTGGCGAAATACACGAGATCATCTATGGCTTGCTGAATGGTGAGAAGAGCGAGACATTGTGAGGTGAGGTTGTCGTATGGATTGTACTTGCCAAAGAAACGGTGTTCAACGATAATGGCTGCACCTTTCTGTTGTTGAGCAACAAGGCCATTGATGGTGCCATTGGTGACGTAGTCTTGGTAGCCTGAAAACAAAGTACTTGAGAGAAAGTCCCGAATCAAGCGTAGTAAACTGACCGTCTACGTCACCTTTTCCAAACGTTATCAAGACAATGGGACTGCCATATCATAATTAATGTGCCGGGGAAGGTGTGATAAAACACCGACCTGTATATCAAGGGCTCCAATGAGTTCTCCAAAATGTCAATGAAAGGTTCAAGATTCCGTTCAATATATTCTCAGAGGTTGCAGAAGGCCGAAAATGGTCTTCACAGTTTGTTAGAAGAGATCCACTTCAGTTCGGTCCACTGCTCACAAACACAATGCATGATTAGTTTAGAGGCCCATAGGATGGCGCCACCCCACATATATAGTTTATGAAGCTGTTCCCATAAAACAAACACAAGTTGCTGAACACATGTGAAAAGTCATTAATCGTTTACCAGGGGAACGACGTCAGATGATGGTGTGCTGGAGTAGCACTTGAACATGAGACGATCGCGGCACTATGCTGAATCACTGCCGGGAAGCATCAACTTGAATTTGAGCGGGGATGCATCAGGAAAAGGGCGCAGACGCGAGTTGGTCCTATGTGTAGACATGCGGGAAGTGAGGTCATCGAGGGAGGTGAGCGAGCGTGAATTTCTACCGGAGCTGCTGTTCTTATCACCTACACTTATGATAACGGGGAGCATCGTGGAGTTTTTGTTCCTGGGAGCAGGTTGTTAGAGATAGTCGGTTAAATGATGAAGACTATGCTGCTTGCTACCACACATAAAAAGTACTTTTGTCACCAAGTCTTTGGTATTCAAGACATCTTCGGAGACGTCCTTAACGAAGCCGTCATCGTGGGCTAGAGGGTGGGGTCTGAATCGACTGCGGAGCGTTTTGGTGTCAGGTATCCGGTGATGGTGACGCGGGCGGCGGCGCCGTTGAACTTGAAGGCAGCGGAGATCCATAAGTCCAATATGTATTCAACTGCTTTCAAGGTCAACGTTAGAGGGAAATTCAATATAAACACTATACTCCAATAGTTTAGTATAAATAGAAATAGATTATTTGCGCGCGCTTGACACATGAGAATTTGGAGAGAGAGAGAGAGAAATTCTATATTTATATACCGCAACAAACAAAGTGAGCTGTTAAGACGCGGTGCCCTGTTAGGGCTGTGCTGGGGAGTGTTGTAACAGGGTGAGGGATGTAGGTATAGTACGAATAGCCAAGCGGTCCGCGTTTGATGAGTTTTGGTGTGCGTGTGGGCTCGTTTGGTGTCCAGGCTTAGTATAATATGATACACTTTCTCTCCTTCCTCCTCCTTCTGATCTCTCCTCGTCTCCTCCTTCCCTCGTCACTTCCTTCTTTGCCCTTACTCAGGCTTCTGTCCCTCTCCTTTCTTCCCAGTCTCCTTCTCGTTCCAGTGCGACCTTCTTTAATGCGCTGGATTCTTGAATAAACTTCGCTAGTGCCTTTATGCCCTTCTCCGTACCCAAAATTTCGTTGAGTATGATGTTGTGTGATACCTCACGCAGATGGATGCGTTGTCGCGCAAATAGTGGGCAGTCACGTATGATATGTTCTCGTGTTTGACGTGGTTCTCCACATGGGCAGAGGGTGGGTTCGGTTGGAACGAATGCAGCGTAGTATTCTCCCATGAATCCGTGTCCTGTGCGGCATTGTATAAGACGGCCGTATACTTCTCGAGGAGTGTGAGTGAAATGTTGGCGGGGTTTGAGCGTTGGTGGGAGTCGATTTGCGAGAGCGAAGCGTCCAGTCTGTGCTGCCACGTCTCTATTCCAACTCTCTGTCCATTTCTGCAAGATCCCTTCCTTGTTTCTTCGGCGCGCATTTGCATAGGTCGAGTGGTACGAGTCGTTACGTCCAGTGGCTTCTTTTGCAAGCTCGTCGGCACGTTCGTTGCCGATGATGTTGTGATGTCCTGGGATCCATGCAATTTGGACATGATGGAGGGGGGATGTGGTTAGGTAGTCTTCGATCGAGCGTCTGATCTGTAATGCAATGTATTGTGAGGGTCCGGGTGCAGCTGCATATGCAGCCTGCACCACAGAGTTGTTATCGACGTAGAAATGTAAATGGGTCACCTGGGAATTTTGCGCGAAGCTGATAGCTCGCGATATTGCTCGAAGGAGCGCTACCATCTCTGCATCATACACCTCTGCTTTGGGACCCATTCCTTCCTGACCCCAGAAGACTTCTCTTCCTCTGTGATAGCCGGCCCATCCTGCTCCAGCTCTTTCCTCCTCTCTGACTGATTGTTTCGATCCGTCTGAGTAAACGAGAAGGTGCGTGTCCTCCGTTCGTAGATTACGAGCGGTTTGTATGTGCGCTTTGGCGGCTTCTTTCTTGCCTCCTCTTTGCTTGTCCGAGATCGTTAGGCGGCCGCGGTACGTTTCCTTCGTGTTTGCCCAAGGTGGCAGCGCAAATATGTTGATGCGTTCCGCGTTCGGGGATGCTCGTTTTGACAGACGGGTGAGTCTGGTCGATTTTGGTGGTTTGCGGCTGCGAGGACGGTATTTGTCGGTGGGAAGAGCGGGTGGGGGGTCAGCGAGGTTAAATTGTCGCCAGGGTTGATCAAGTCTCTGTAGGATTGGGTTGAACGAGGGGAGTTTGAGTAGTCGAGTGGCGGCGTTATCGTTTGCGTGTTCGAGGAAGAGGTTGATGGGGGGGATTGATGTCTCTATTTCTAGGGCCTTTATTGGGGTGGTTCGGAAAGCGGCACAGATATGTCTAAGGGATTTGTTTTGGACGCGGGTAAGCATGTTTGCATGGGTTTTCACGCCCGTCCACCAAACGGGGCTTGCGTATGTCATTACACTGCGGACACAAGCCGAGTATACAGTTCTCAATAGTGATTGCGAGAGACCTCTTACCGTATTTGCAAGCATTTGTAGTCCTTGGGCGATATTTTCCGCTTTGCCTGCCAGTTCACATACATTCCTGCGAAAAGAGAGTTTAGAGTCGAAATATATACCAAGCCATTTGATACAGTCACGGGGGTTAATTGTCACCTGTCCTTCGTCACTAGGCAGCAGGATAGGTGGTCGATCCGGTGCACGACGCCATGTGAAATGGATGAGCTCAGATTTGTCAATTTCCGCCATCAGTCCAGCTTCGCGAAGCCAATTGTTCACAAAAATGAACTCCTCCCGGAGTATTGCGACATTGTTCTCCAAGGATGGAGAGGAGACATATAAGTTTCCATCATCGATGTAGCATGCTAATGTGGTCGGTGTGGCTTTGTCCGGGCGTAATTCACGAGCTCGAGTTTTCGCATTGTAGGCTTCGTTTAGTGGGCTTGTGCAGATAATCGAAAGGGCCGGTGATATTGGGGATCCTTGAGGTATACCGTTTTCGACTGGTTCCGATGGTGACAGTACTCCGTCCAGGCAGATTGCTGCTTGTCGTTCGCTGAGGAAGGATTTCACCCACTTTACCATAGGGAGCGGTAGGTGCTTGTCCCGAAGTATTCGGAGTAGCCGTGTATGATTGACGAAGTCGAAGTATCCTTTGATGTCGAATGTGATGCACGACGTGACAAGTCCGTGATTACGGGCTGCTTCGATATCATGAACGAATGATAGGGCTGCGTCGACTGTGGAGCTTCCTGGGCGACCTCCGAACTGTGAAGAAGGTACCAGCAGATATTTTGCTGTGAGATATGCTAATCTACTTGCCTGTACGCTTTCGAGGACTTTTCCAAGACATTCCTCTAGCTGGATTAGTCTATAGGCTCTCGGGTTCGAATAGTCTGGTTTTCGGGGCTTGCGCAGGGCTACTGCGATTGTGCGTCGCCAGGCGATGGGATGGTAGCCTACATTTGCGCAGCGTGAGATTAGTAAGTAGATATATTCCGATGCAACCTCCCAGGCCCATCGGAGAGCCATGTAGTTGATTTGGCTGGGTCCAGGAGCTTTTTTGCGATTTGGTCGGTATATACCATTCTTCACTTCGGCATATGTTATGGGTTCCCATGGGATGTCATCCGGGAGGTCCTGTTCTAAATCTGGTGCAGCTAAGTCTAGATTCGGGGGCGGTTGGAACAGTTCACCTCGTAGTGTAGCACACTTTTCCTCATGTGTTATTGCCATGTTTTGACCGTTGTTTCGTCTGAGTGGTGGTGTGGGGTAGTTTCTTATCCCTTTGGGCCATCGAGTGAAATTCCAGACGTCATCGGGAGTGGCTTTTCCCAGAGTCTCGTTTGCCCACTGTCGTTTAGCAAGGCGTGTCTTCCGTTTGAACTGATTGCGTAGTTGGCGGATCTGTTGGATAAGGTCGTGGTCAGCAAAACCTGTATCGATGAGATGTTGTCTAGCCCTTTCACGAGTTTCTGCAATGCGGTTGAGTGATTGCGTGAGGTCGGGAGTCCACCATGGTTTCGCATGTGCACTAGATTTGCGGATGGGGACCGAGCTTTCTGTTGCTTGCACCAGTGCATCTTGTAGTGCTGTGGTAGCTCTTTCAATATCATCAATATTAGGAAGAGTTGAAACACGTAGCGGTATCCATGCGTCTTCTCTATCCGTCAGTTCTCTCATGAACGCTCCTTTCCATGCTTTGATCGTGTCTTCATCAATATCTTTCCAATTGAATCGTTGAGCCGTGATATTCTCGATGGGGACACGTTCATGGTCTAGTGTCCATGTGAGCGCTGCGTGGTCTGATCCGTAGGCTTTACCGTAGTCGATTGACCAGTCCTTGATCGTGTCGAGTTCGTATGCTCTGTCGTTGATGAATGTTAGGTCCAAGACCGACGAGGATTCACCGTCGTGTGCGAAGTATGTTGTTGCCCCACGTTCGTTTAGCATGATGAATCCCTGGTCAGTTAGCCAGTCAACGAAAGCTTCTGCACGAGGATTGGGGTTCTCAGCTGTGTTTGACCACATTGGGTGGTGTAGGTTCATATCTCCCGAGATGATGACCGGTATTCCGTTTGGTAGTTCGATGTTGAAAAGACGGTCTGCTGACCAGTTCAATGGATCCTCGCCTGCTTTCTGGTTGTACATATTTACAAGTATTGTAGGCGGATGTGTTCCTTGGTTGATCTGTAAAATTTGTATGTCAGCATCCATTGCGAGATCAGAACGAAGGGTAACCATGAAGTCAGGTCTGTTTTTGATGTATGCCATGACTCGAGGAATGACATTCGGGGGAACAGACGGTAATGGTAGGATTGGTTGCCATCCGGTTAACGACGCTGGGCCCTTTGTGTTATTTCCGATGTCACCATACCATGGTTCCGTTATGAGCAGGATGTCATAATCACGGACGGCATTGTTGAGTAATGCGTGGCAGACTATATTTGAACGGTTAGTGTTGAGTTGAATCATTTTTATGGGTTTAGTATGGACTATCATTGCCATCCATCCATATTGTTGTCGTTCATTGGTTGTGGCGTTATGATATGGTTCTGGGATGTTGATGGTGGGGTTGGAGTCCGGGTCTCTGGAGGTGCTATTGGATTGTTAGCAGTTTGAGGTCGACGTGCGCGTCGTCCCCCTTGGATACTTGGTCGTGGGTCTCTTGCAGATCCTTTGGTTAGTATATGAATGGGGCATTTGGTTGAGTCTGCCGTGTGCGCTTCTCCACAGTTTGCGCATTTAATCGGTGAGTGATCACATCCTTTTTGTGCTTTGGCCGTGTTAGGGCACAAATCGCAGGTATGGAATGATTCAGTGTGGTCGCCTGCACACATGAGAATTTGGAAATTCCCTCATGATCCCACTTCAACACATTTCAGCTTTATATGGCCTAGATATGCCTGCGATAGTTTGAGTCACGTTATACCCAAAGTCGCTTTATCAGCGACACAAGGACCATCAGAACGAAGTTCAACGAACCAGCTGTAGGCATAATGAACTGATGCCGGGCCTATCACACTGGCTACACAAGATAACGGTTGTAGCACATGTTCGCTGCACTCGGGGCAAGTGCCAGTACTAATATGCCATGTGACACCAGGTTCACGACTATCCCAGCACTCTGATGTGCACTACATGGTAGCACGTACTCTTTCTACTCCACCACCGTACCGCACCGGTGCTGAAGGGGACGGACAATTACACCTCCTTTAATTTCCACTGGAGATAACTGTGGTACAATCGGATCTTCTCCAAAGGATCTCTTCTAACCATGCTGGCCATCGTGTGCCAACGCATGGCGTGCAGTTTTTCTCCCACTGACGCATGTGCTTGCCAATGAAGGATCGGAACCGTGACATAGCTTTTTTGTAAGGTAATCCCGAGGTCAAGCCGACCTTTGTCATGGCATTAAGAAGTACTTGGTGAGCGCTCGTGAACTTCTAAGTCTCCGCTGATCAGCATTAAGTGCAGTTGTCTATCAGGTATTATTCGCAACCATTCATTTCAGCCGTGCGAGGTACAAGCTTACAAAGTACTCTGAATACGACCGGAAAATTCATACGTACCGGGTCCTTCGTCAAATCCAGTTCGTTGAGCACATTTTTAAATTGCAAGGCCGTTGAACGCTGAGCAACTTGCTGCCAATGCTGCCAGCTATGTACGTGACGCGTCCAATTATATCCTCGTGACCTTCTCTCGCGAAAAGAGTAGCACATGTGTCAAATTACAATGTGTACCCACTTATGCATCCCGCCGTAGCTATAAAAAGTCATTCCTCGACCATGATCATGTCGTGTAGTCCCATCCTGGCTCTCGAACCTCGATATGATGTGGGTCATTGCGTCGCTCCTACTTGCAGGTGTCGCCCGAGCGGCTATCCCTAATGCCATGCTCCGTGGCATGCCTTCTCTTCCAAAGGTCCCAGTCCCGGAACGTTCTGTTACGTCGCCGAATGGCACAGCACTCCCACCCATTACGACCGTCTATTACTTCGACCAGCTCATCGACCACAATGATCCAGGTCTCGGAACCTTCCAGCAGCGGTACTGGATGGACTGGGAGTTTTATGAGCCTGGTATGTCCTGAGAATTGAGAGTAACTTAACTGACATTAACATGATGCATTGAAGGTGGTCCCATTATCTTGATGACACCCGGAGAAACGGACGCAGATGGTTAGTTTACCATACGCGATTTGCGACTTTATCTCAAGTACTTGGTTTTCAGGCTACGAAGGCTACCTTACCAATGACACTATCAATGGCCTCATCGCTCAACAACAGAATGGTGCAACCGTCCTTATCGAACATCGTTTCTTTGGCTATTCCAACCCATACGACAACCTCACCTCACAATCTCTTGCGCTCCTCACCATCCAGCAGGCTGTCGATGATCTCGTGTATTTCGCCACCACAGCAGACCTTCCGATGCCTGGGGGTGATGCTGTGAAGCCAGGTCAGGCGCCATGGATACTGATCGGAGGAAGTTACTCGGGAGCCCTTACCAGTTGGACGATGGTCAAGTGAGCACCCTAAGATGAAATCTATTGTTTCACCATAATTGATTGACGTAAAGCAAACCGGGAATTTTCTGGGCTGGATATGCATCTTCTGCCGTCGTAGAGGCAATCACGTATGTCACCTTGTTGCAATCACCGCCCATCTTTCATTGATGTGATTGCTTCTTCTTCTGTTATAATCACACGAATATGTCCGCGTACAACATGACCATTCATTGAAACTCGATCTCCTCTCTGACCAAAACAGTGACTATTATGGCTATTTCACTCCGATTCGCGACTACATGCCACAGAACTGTTCTTCTGATGTAGAAGCAGTGATCGCCTACCTGGATGGGATGTACGCGGCTGGTGATACCGCTGGGATCCAGACGCTCAAGGAAGCATTTGGCCTCGGCGATGTTATACACGTAGACGATTTCGCTAGCGCACGTGAGTCGTCCTTGTCCTTTGTTCAGTCGTGTAGAACAAACAGCATGATCCGCACGCCTTCCGATTGGCGCAACATCTATTTCAGTGCATATTGCCTTCACCAACGCGTGCTGATTATCCTTTTTATTCATGTTGCGTCCCCCGTTGTGTTACTGGTTTCTCCTTTCTCATATGCTACCCTTGAATTTACCTTCTGCTTCTCACTTTGATCTGCATTGTTGACTTGACTGACTCTCGAACCAACAGTTCAATACAACCTGTTTGATTGGCAATCTCTACAACCTGATGTCGGCCCAGGAGCCATGTTCTTCGACTTCTGTGATGCCCTCGAGGTTAAGGATGGTGTCAACGCTGGACCTGAAGGATGGGGACTCGAAAACGCCATATACTCTTGGGGTAACTTCTGGAATACTACATACTATAACTACGGTAAGATGGTCCGTTTGATTTCAGATTGATGTGGCTAAACTGGATGATGAAGTCTGTGGATACGAAGATGCTGAGTGCGTATTCTTGGAACATAATGTCGTCCACACTGGCTAATGGTAAAGCTAGAACCTGTCTTGGGACGTATGACACAACCCAGTCCTACTGGACCGATGCTACCGTGAACAACGCCGGAAGGTCGTGGTTCTGGATGGTGTATGTATTCTCATTCTCATCAGCATCTATCCTGACGATCTTTCCAGGTGCAACCAAGTCGGATACTACCAGGTTGGACCCCCTGAAGGCCAGCCTGCAATCGTGAGCCGCATCATCCAACCCATTTACGAAGAGGTACGTATATTGAATTCAAAACATAATTATTCTAACATAATATTCAGCGCCAATGTGTCAACATGTTCCCTCAAGCCTTCGCCTACCCACCTTTGCCGACCACTGTAGAGACCGACATAATGTACGCTGGCTGGGACGTCTACATGCCCCGCCTCTTCTTCGCCAACGGCCTACGCGACCCTTGGCGCGAAGCAACTGTGTCTGCTGATGGGTTGTTCAAGCCTAACACTACCGTCATGCCCATCTACGAGGGTGATGGATTCCACTGCTCAGATTTGATCATAGAGAATGGCATTGTGGACCCGACTATCATGACAGTGCAAGAAGCTGGGTTAATGTACATGCATGAGTGGCTTGCTGAGTGGAAGCCTTCAGCTTGATCATCGGCTCGTTATAGATTAATTATCTTATCTTGTTTGATGTGCCTCAGGTTGCCGTGGAGGTATGATGCCTTACGAGCAATCAGGAACCGGCACCTGCCACAAAAGTATGAAGAGTCTTAGACGACCGGTGACGTTTTGATGTCTCTATTATAAAACTGTAGATCGGCGTCATGATTGTCGACCGCACTGGTACTGTTTGACGTCAGTGTTCAACGTTCAACCCTGAGATTGGTCTTAGCAGCGGTGGGACAGAGTGCGTGGAGACTCCTATGATGTTAAACCATACACCCAACATATACAGGAGGAAACGGAGTGGCTGCAAGGCAGCATGTGCGCTGCGTTAATGTTTCTCCCACAAGGGTGTGGTGGTACCCATGCGCACGGGTAATTCGCCTAAATGAAAGAACGTTAAATGTTGCTTCAAATTATCAATCATGGGCCCCGCTCAGGGGAAGGTCAAGGCTACACGCGAAGCGTTTTGTTAATCAGAGCAACAACGAATATTCTTTGTACCAGTCGAGCACAAAAATACAACAACTTCGATCCAGGGAAAGTTAATCCCTGAACCAGTCAGAGACTCAGAGTGACACATGTAGGATTTTGCCTGATTATGGATCGTCACAGGCTGCCTCCAATACGCGCTGTTGGGACGAGTGACACAAGATGCATCGATGGGGGCCGAAATAATTGACATGTACGTTGGTCCGTGAACACCAAAGACGTTACCAGTCCTTCGGCAGTGAGTTGCGGGTGACAATTCAGCTATCCTGGTGATCACGAGTTGTGTAACTTGTGCTCATCTGCGCATGGGGCCACGTGAGCCGTCCTGCGGTAGGTGACCGTGTGGATCAGGAATGGACCAGAGTCGAATTGCGGTTCAGAACAAGCCAGTTTAATAAAACGACTCATTCTATGGAAAAGCCCTGAGGCAAATGATATTGGGCTCAAATTTCCGCAGGATCAGGATTCAGATCTAGGAGTTTATGACTTCCGAACATCACGATTGGTATGAGCAGTTGATAACGTTAAACGTTGAGAAACGCACGCTAGTCATACAAAGGTCAAAAATAGTACGCGATCGCTGAAAAGACCGTGACAGGAATAGATTGCATGCAAGAGGCTGAGACAAGAGGAGACTCTAGAGAATAGGGCGAGTAAGGCAACCAGCCGGAACATTGTATAAACGATGAGTATATAAGTATTAGAAAATGCACACCGACCACAGTCGATGACAGTGATCTACACTATGGGGCGACATAGATATAATATACGGACAAAACAAAGCATGAAAGGACAAGAAGAACAGGGCGGGCGGGTGTAGAAAGGTGTTTAAAACGGATCATAGTACTGGGAAATACGCATGGCGGAGATATCAAAAGCAACAAGACAAACCTAATATCGACATGGAAGACGTGCAAAGCATGAACAGGGGTAACCAAGAGATGAAGAGATGGAATAGATAAGACAGGAGCGGCGAGCTGATGAATAAAAATGCTCAACAAATAGTCCCAGACCGACCGTAGGGTCAAACAAAATACGCGAGATGATCTCAAGAGCGACGTGTCGTGAAGGGTGATGCAAAGTGGGGATTATGGACAAGACGATACCAAGAAAACGATTATGCAAAGCGAATAACAGCGACGACATTGATGTCATTTTGATGGGACGACGGTTCCAGAAGAGTCGATCAATCACGCGCGGGCTGCTCAGCCGACACAGGCCAAACAGGTTCTCTGCTCCTGTCCTTCTCACCAGAACGAGTCAAAGGCACTGCGGTGGATGAAGACGTATTCTGTTGAGCAGGCTGTTCAGGGGAGTTGTGAGGATGTTGGGGCGAGTGTTGCTGTTGGTGCTGGGAGGCATTCGCCATTTCGTCAAGACCTCGCTTGACACCAGACATCAAAGCATCCGTCTTCTGGATCATCTCTTCTAACCGTTTCCGCTGCTCGTGAAGTTCGAGGTAGTGTTGCCTCAACTCACTCGCGGTTGGAACACCGGACGTCAAGACACCATTCATCACATCGTGAGGCGGGGGAGAGTGACCAAGGGGTCCATAGTATCCGCCAAGGCTATGAGGCGGCGGCAACACATATCCGGTACCAGGAGCAGTAAGACCAGGGTTCAATGGCGAATGCGTCCTGCTAGGTGCATTGGACCCAGAGCGCATGTAACTGGACGGCGTTCCGCCGAAATCACGATTACCCAAGAGACCAGGGGGTCCATAACCGCCAAACCGTTCACCGAGAGCGGCATTAAGAGGAGGGAGATCGAATCCCGCATGCGGCGCTGCCATAAATGCGCCATGACCCGATCCAGTGCGGGCAAGATGGTGAGCGTGTGCGAAGCGCTCCATGTCAGAACCGCGTGGTAACGAATGTGCGCGATCACCAGCGACACCGCTCAGAGCCTCTGCAATCTGTTGTATGCTCGAGCCTTCTGCCCATGCAGAACCGTGCGAATCGCGGGACGCTTTCCGTGTAGTCCGCTCGTTCTTCCTCCGACTGACGGGTTCTTGCTCCTCTTCTGCCTCCCCCATGTCTTCATCGTCATCCTTCTCCCGTGTGCGGCCCTTCTCTCGATCGCTCTTTCCCCGCCGTGCTCGCTTCCGGCGAGGTTGAGGTTCTTCTATCTCCCCATCACTCTCCTCGGTGTTCGCGTGTTGGCTACCAAGCCGGCCAACAGAGACAAGTGCCTCAGCCGCAGCTTGATCTGACATGCGTCCCGATGACATCCCTGCGGCTGCTGGGACGCGTTTCCGTCGCTTGATGACAGTCTTTTTCATCGAATTGGGACGATGGGTGCCATGAAGCTTGAAGTAGAGACCTGGAGAACGGATCATCGGTCAGCGACCGAACGATATGATTGATGCGCCCAAAAGCCAATAATATCAAACAATGTGTCAAAATTAAAGTGGTCTGACGGATGCCAAGAGCATCCAAAGATCAGCTCATTCAATATGGCAATGCTCGTCCCTACAAATCGTGGGAGTGAAGATAAACCGAATGGATAAGATGAATTCCCATTCTCCCATCACCTGTAATGACGGACTGGGCTAGTGGGCTCCCTGATTCTGGAAACGAGACATGACAGACACGCGCGTCATGACGAGATGAACGTGTGCTCCGCATGAAATTTTACAAAATAAGTGGAGTTTGCGGAGATATGACCAACGGCCGTGCATGCCAGATACGAAGGATGGCAAGGGCATGTATGAGAGCTGAAATGAGAACTTGAACGCACCACAAGCATTGCAGATGTTGTTTCCAACGTCATCTCTTCTCCAGAGCGGCGTCGTACTTGTACCGCAGTTAGCACAACTGAGAGCCCCGACGGCAGACTTGACCTTCTTAGCAGGCCCCGAAGCCGGGCTTTCGGTATCGACACCGGGTGACGGTGCATCACCGCTGGGAGTTGCGCCTCGCGCAGGCGCAGAGGGCGACGATTCGTCTGCAGGGGCAGTGATCTCTAATCTTCCGGATACAGCGAGTGCGTTGTTAAGCGTGGGACACCCGGCACAAGCGCTAGATCCCCCCGTGCCATCGCATCGTCCGTCACCTGGACACGTGCCTCCACTAGAAGTGTTGTGGGCACCTGAAGCGGACGTGGCCTTGGCGGGGGTCGACGATTTTGAGGAAGGTTTTGGCTGGGGTTGCCCGGAGGTCTCAGTTTGAGATGATGACAGCGCATCCTGATTTTTCGATGAATGTGGTTGGCTGGGAGATGTCGTTGGAACAGCCAAAGTTGCCTGATTTGGGTTGGACATATCTGGTTCGCTACTTCCGTTTGGGGGCTGAGGGACGGGAGCTGCAGAAGTCGCAGTGGGCGTTGGCGTGCGGGCCAGAGATGGGGGACGTGCGACTTTGCGTGATTTGAGGTAAAGACCTATATCGACGAACAAAAACCCAAGCGATGCGCACACGAGTTGGACACATTTCAATCAGCACACTGTTACTGCACTTGCCAAGCGGTAGGTAGGGAAAGAACGTAGGAAATGAGACTGGCCAATCATCAAGTTGACCGGTAGAAGCATGCATGGAACACGAGTTTGAGATGCAGCGGAATGATGCAAATGTGATATGGAGTACACGGGGTGTGTTTTGGAAACGGACGCCCACGAGCCCACCAACCATGGGTTGACACGTGACGGCGTAGGAGGGGAAATGAAAGAGATGAGATGAAGAGACGAGATCACTCACCACAAGCATTGCAGATGGTTTTGCCCTCGGTGTCGCGTCGCCACAGGGGGGTTTCAACGACTCCACAATTAGTGCAGCCGGTACGTTGCGGCGGGGGCGGCTGCTGCTGTTGTTGGGGCGCATTCGGTGCTGACGTGGGTTGATCTTCTACGACAAGCCGGTCTTTTTGCAAAAGCTGCTCTAAGGTGAAGTCGCCTGGGTTAATCTTCTGAGACCCGGCATGGACTGGTGAGGTAGCCAAAGAGTCGCGTTGTACTGCAGCATGTTCTGAGGCTGTGCTGGGCGAGTACTGCTGTTGTATCCGCGAGAGGGTGGAGAGCGCAGGAAGATGCATGTTCAACGCAGGAGATTCCATCATGACTGGCGACATTTTTTTTATCAGACAGTGGTAAGATAGTCAATATGTTGGCTACAATGAGTTGAGCGTGAGCTGTTGTCTATTGAATGCCACGGAACAATGAAATCTCACTGATGCTATACAGGACGATGAGGAGGCTAAGTGAGGTCGACGTGGGCGACGGTGACGAAGATATAGACACGTTGGAAGGGAGAAATAAAAGGGTAGAGGAGAGGGTCGGGGACCGCAAGTGTTTATGATTTTTGGATGTAGGCGGGAACCGATAAACCCAAAAGATAACGAGTATAAACTAAATCCAGCCAATCAGATTAATCCCGTTTCAAAGATAACAACTGAATTTCCTAATCTTCTACTCCTCCTGTTCAGCATGTACAAGATCTCCCCTTCTTCCCTACCATATTTTAACTGGAATTTTTCTCGTTAATTCTATAGATACAACCTATGCAATAATAAATATTCTCTGCAGTAGTAAAATTTTATCGCTTGGCTTCAGCGTCTATCATAACAGACGTTATTGCATGTACGTATTCTTTGTCTATGTTGACTTTGTGGCACCGATCCTCCCAGGCTCTCTTCCCCCAATCTTATCTCAATTCCCATTCACTATTATTACCTCTTCCCAAATCGTAGATCTTTGCAAGGAACTACCCGGTCAATACAGCGCCCGTGTCGTCACGACGTCCGTGATACTGAGATTTTCAAGTATAATATGCGTCGGCTCGCGTCAGAGATACCCAGTCTGGGCTGGTGCGAACAAACCAAACGTGCGTGGCGCTCATGACACCGGCCAATGAAAATTTTCGTATACAGTATGAAACTTGACCATGCAATACGTCAAGTGCATACGCAAGCGCATACGTCAACGGGTTGACTTAACCTTCCGGCGTTACAGATAAGATTATGCAATTCGCTGACTTGTAGAATTGAAAAATTTGCCTCCGTCTCGATCGTGTCAGTTGCTTCCGATCAAGAGTCCGCCCGCCGGAAGCCTGGAAGGGCAGCCTTCTCGAGAATCAGATTAAAAAATTCCCATTCCCTTTTCCGTGGGGTACTTATCAGATAACAATTTGACATCCATGGACAACGTTTTCAAAACTAAAGAAAGCACTCAAGTTCAGCAGGCGGACAAATAAAACATCCGCTGCCTGCAGTCTGAACCAAACCTTGTCTAAACATGGCCAATCACATCAGATGAAGCCTCAGATCAATCACGACCCATCCCTACGCCCAACACGAGGTTCCGCGCTTTCTCCAAATTCTTCCGCGGATATCAAACATAGCGTTCAGGGGGTCCCGGTGTCTTGGAATATCCTCGGTGCCATTTGCCTTGTGTTCGCAAGGTCATCGTGTTGTCATAAGCCCTGGCACTGGGCTCTGGCAGCAGTTAATCTACTGAGTCTAGTTGTTGATAATTCACGCAAGATGACTGGCCAAGAACGCAACATCGTGAGGCTCATTATGTGCATCATGCAAAGATGCATGGTGCACGCCCCGACAGATCTAGGACGCCGTCCTGGGTATGATCACGGAAAAAATGCTGAGGCGATGAGGGCTAGCGATGTGCAGGCGGAACACAGCTATCCGATCGTCGCAACTGGCTTGCGCGCTTGGATCTACTCATCCACAGGCATCCATGCTTGCTTGTTGCGTCGATTATGCTAGTCGAGACAATGCCATGTTTACGGAAACGGGGACTATCAACCTCCTCCTGCCCTTTATCATAGAACGTTGACTCAATGCAATAATTTATCTGCTCTCATTCTAAACTCCGCGACCCTAGTGGTACAGGATAGAACGCAAGGCGGTGAATTGAAGGCGTCGCAGCACGACATACGCCCTTCATCTTGCGTATCTGAATTGTCCAATTAAGCAACGCCCGTTGCAATCACTTGGACGTTCGCCACAACGAAAAAAGCCAGACACTCCACGTCCATATTTCCGAATATCATAGCGCACAAAGTACACCACGCCCCAAGCAGCAGCCAAAGATGCCACCCCTGTAGGCGCTATGAACACCCACATATGAATAGCATCAGCCCGTCCGACCCTTCGCAGCAACTGCGTTATGCAACGATAACGGAACGGCAGCCGATTGTATGAAGCGATAAGTGAGGGGCTAAGTGCGAAGCTGTCCCTGAAGCAAGCTCGCGAAGCCATCGCACCCTGAGCACGTGGATCGTAGGACTATGCAGGGATCCTGTTTCGTCCGTTCGCTGGGTGAAGGGAGGCTTCAATGAAGCAGTAAAGATCATCAAAGATACATACTTGCATCACTCTGTGGCACCACACAGCTGCGCGTGGATATCGCCAGAAATCGGGATGTCGGAAATGGTTATGGTTAACGTTCACTGATTACATATTGATGGTGGCACTTGGGACATTGAAGTTTGAAATGACACGCGTTATTATGCTAATTACACTTACCTAGCTTGGATGGAGAGGATCGGATTTATATGAGGTGATTCTGCGATGAATCGATAAACCTCAATGAGCATAACAGCGGTGATCTCTACCTACGCACGTACCAGTCACGACTCACGATCTCCACACGGAAAATTCGACGGGGCAGGTCAGGTCAGGTCGTGGTAGATCATAGCCATGTCCAGACAAATTCTGACTATGGCATCCTGGATGTTCGAAATACGGGGGATTGTAATACAGTCGTGGTTTTGATCAGTGCACTGCAATGGTGTACTACATAAGTTACTCGGGCTAAAGTATTATGAGCGGAGGTTGAACCGACCCCACTAACGAGCGGGGTCAAAATTTATCTCACGGTTGAGAACCAACATCGATGTCGTATACATATAAGACATCTAGATCTTTGCTAGATCTCTAACTTGCACAGCGAGTCGCAATTCCGACTACCAGAGACTCTACGGTGAACGAAGGGCAGGGCTACAAGGTGATTCCTGTAGCAAGGAACATTGCTCCTGTTCTTCGTACACTATGGCAATGCCATAATACCGCACTATTCAAGCTTCTGCTACCCAAAGTATCAATGTGCTGTTGCACGCGACCGGTCCGCGACCATAGAAGAAGTTCGTCTGAGCTAGAAGTGCTTCAAGCAAATACAAATACCTCTGCATCGACGCTGAGAGACGCAGTTAGCCGTGCAAGTTGCACACTCATTCCCCCTATGCGCTACTAATAGATGGCACACATGTGGGGATGCAGATCAAGATTATTCAAGAGGGCCAACCTTCTTACAAGCACTATCAATGCTACTGGTAGATGCAGACAACGACTATCGACACGGACTCCGGAGAACTCAAACTTTGGGTTTCATCCAGTCTTAAGTCCTTTCCTTTCATTACTTTATCGTTGTCATTATCGAGTCATTACAGCTACTAACTCCGAGGCTTGGAGCCACTTTTTAATAAACGCGGACTACGCAGATACGTTATATAATTGCGACATAGATAACAGTTTGAATTGCTGACCGTAGGAAATTAAGATGGTAGCGTTGATATGTCGATGATATCTTGAATATTTATCCCTGCCGAACATGAGGGCAAAGGCAGAGTCGGGCATGGGCGCTCTCAGCTCTGCGCCACTAAGATCCTCGTAACCATGCGAGCGGTGAGCGCTGCTGGAGGATGGGGAAAGTCGGGTCCACGAGAGGGGATTGCAGGGGATATCGACGTCTCCTCCATATGGTGCCTTCATATGCCACCACTATCAGACTTTGGGATGGCTGTCCGCAACATTGGACTAATGCATCGATTGAGTAGAGTACATTAGCAGGCTTGTAGGAGCGGAGGGGGCGGAATCGATCGATCGAGGAGACAAAGGGGGAGGAGGGAGTACGATCAATCTGGTACCCTCTCGCGTACCTTGCAAATAGTCCAGTGAACATCCCTAAGGTAATGGAAACGCATGTTTTTTTTGCATGAGCAGATTTTACGTCCTGCCGTGAATCATCGAGCCTGGGCCTGATGTATATGATCTGTCCTCACGGGTCAAGTCCACTGCGCTCAGGCGTTAACTGGCAATAAACCTGTATAAATATAGTGCACAAGATGCAAAACGACAACCATAAAAGGGATGTAGTGTACTATCGTCTAATATTTACCTGTAGTAGTGGAGTGCGCTAGGAGTAGCTGTACCTGTACTGAAGCGGTGACGCTACATAGAAGAGCCACGAAAACGTTGAGATACTCAATGACACGCTCTCTAGGTTGATTGCAACTATCATTTCAACTGACTATCAAGCGACTGCACTGCGCCGAAGTAAACAATGGTGCATGCTGTACAACAGCAGCCCTGCTTGCAAAACACGGCACGAGGCCGAAGGCAACGAATCTCCGTATCCGATGAACAAGTACCGATCATCAGGAAACATAGGGGTCGAAGGGCGTGCCCAATCCAAGGGGCCAACCATAATCGTGGGCTCGGATGCAGAGTAACAAGAGCGGACTCAAATGATGTTGATGACGGACGGCCAGATCCTATCAGGACTGAGTGAGATTGCATAGCAACACGACGAAAAAAAGGGTCCACTCACGCCAGAAGCCCTACCAGGCTCTGTATCACAGCCCATACGAACGGGACCCAGCTTGATGAATTTGATCAGTATGGGCATGCTGCGGGCGCCGAACAAAAAAAAACGCACGTGGACATGTAAAAGCCGCCTGCCTTGTACACACCCTGCAAGTACGAAGCCGACCACAGCTGCTCCCATGACAGCACCAGTGAGACTGAGGAATAGAAACGCAAGAATAACGAGGAGGGCAAATGTGATTCGAGAACGGCGAACATTTGGTCGTGGACGCTTTATCCATTGTTCCGTTTGGCTGGGTTCAGGAGATATGGGGATGTGGGTAGATGCTTCGAGTGGGAATGTCGCTATTGATCGACGCGAAGGCGGAAATGCGAAGTTGAGGAATGCATAGATGCCACAGATGGCATAGAAAGGAATGTGGAATATAAGAGTCCAGTAAAGAGTGAAACGAAATATATCTGTAGAGTTTTATAAGCTTTATGCAGGAGCCAGGTATCAGAGAATAGCCCACCATCTGGATTAACGAGATAAGAGCCACCTGGTTGCACAGGATCACGACCGACGGAGAGCTCAATGGTTGGGTTGTAGAGAGAGGGCCAGCTCACGGCGGTGACATTGATTTCCATTGCATGATAGACCATTCAAGGGAAAGCAATTGAAAGAATGAATGAGTGTCTACTGGCTTCAGTTGAACATCGTGTATCAAGGTTTTAGCGCGCATTGCGCAAGACATCTTGTTTAGGAATGTCCACAAACAACCGTTTTAGTCAAACCTGTCTGGTACCGTGCTGGTTCACTGGCATTAGCTAGTCTTCTTAGGCAGACCAATAGAAGGAAGACCGTCGTTCCTTCTATAAAGAATATGCATGCTGGATCTTTACCAGTCTGCGGACGTTTTTTTCTGGTCTGGCAGCTTCAATTCGGACTGGCCGTGTCGTAATGGCAGAGGGATGACTGTTGCTTGACCGTTGCGGTTGCTGCCAATTTTGCAGCGAACGCCTACGTTAGGATGGACATCCATAGTGAGTGTGCTTCGTGACGCGTGCTGACTTGATAATGCCAAACGGTGATTCCTTTAGCTGGATGGGTAGTCGTTCTCCCTTGTCATGATTCTTTGGATCGCAATCCACTGGTTTAATCCGGTCAACGATAACGACTTCTGCTCTTATACAGATGGATTTCTAGACGTGAAGATCCTCTTCAGTAATGTCACAGACGTTCTGCATAACATCTTCTCTGTTTTAGCGAGACAATAGCGCGGATCTTAAGTGCCGAGCTGGTCTCTGAGGTCGAGTTACCCAACCGTGGCGACGCAGAGCTGAGAGGATCCACCCAATCCTTCTGCCAAAGGCCTCTGAGCCAAGCATCTAGACGATAGTAGACATCCTGTGTACGCTCGTAAGGGACTGGGGGGCATGCTGCGGTTGGCCTTAGGGCGTGGCAGTGATGCGATCCCATGCGGCAATTTCCCAACCTTGGGCCCCTTTCATGCATGCATACAACAAACAAACGCGGTTTGGAGTGGCTAATTGGAGGGATCGTGGGCGTAGCTCGTTCATTGTACGATGTCAAATTAAGGTCAGATTATTTTTTCATAGTTTCCAGCAGCTATTAGCCCTAGCTGACCTCCGCAGAAGTCCAGTGGAATGATATGCTAATGAACATCGATGTTCCTCGAACCAGTGGTAGGGTTGGCGGCTGTAGTCGCATGTTGTCCTCTCGTGAACAGACTCGGCGTAATCATGAGCGAAGAAGAGGAAGATGTCGTTGTCGTGCTAGATAGACTGGATATTCTTCCGGTTTTGTGTTTGCACTGTCTACGTGCATAGTGCACAGCTAGTGCTAGTGAACCACCATGAGGCTTGCTACTTCAAACATAGAAAGCCGAAGGAAGATGCTCTTATTCGGTATTCATTGCGTTAACTATCTTTGGGACAGGTTCGTGCACTGGGTCCAATTCCGAGTTCCCTGCTAAGCAGGCTGGAGCAAACTTGACGATATTTGTACTTGCCTCAAATTGCTTGTCTGGTGGCCATCGTAGATTTCTGATCTCTGATCTATGGCTTCCTGTGCATGTTTCCATTCTAGCACTCGGCGTAACACATCAGAAGCTACGTGATAACTGAATAGCTTTCCAACAACCTGGAAGCTGCCGGTGTTAGGTTGGATCCATACTGGCCTCGTGTTCGCCTGGCCTCTGTCTGGACGAGTATAAGACTCATACACCCCGCTTGCCACCTTGTGTCTGAATTGTTGTCTCTTGTCTTCCCTGTGGGATCTTCATCACCCGGACGCTGCATTCAGATTATTGCAATCCATACAGAGGTGAGCAAAGCTGGAAGTTCCGCAGTCCACAATAAGTTAATCTTAGTCTAGGTCGTATCGGACGCACACGGAGAAGACGTTGCGACATAGCCCTTCTCACCGTTAGATTTCCCCCCATTTGTTTGCGCTTCAACCTAGCTGCTCCAGCGGTGATCGCAGCTGTTTCAGGAATTGGTTCAGCGATGCTCCCAATCGCTCCAGTAATGCTCCCATTTGCTCCAACAATATTCCCAGTTGCGTCATTAATCGCTATCCCATCGCTAGCGGTAGGCTGGTGGACGCAAAAATCCAAGAGAGGGAAAGCAGAAAAGGAGGTAAATGAAACGAAAGAAAAGGCGCGTGTGGCGAAGCAGGAAGCCGATGAAGCGAGGCGCAAGGCGGACGAGGCGGATGACATAGCTAGAATGGCCGAGGAAAAGGTCAAATTATTGACTGGGAAACTCGAAGAAGCGCAAAGTGCCAGGCGTGTCGCGGAGGAAGCGGCAGAAATTGCGCAGATGCGTCTGCAAGAATTCACACAAGCGACAGCCGATGCTGCAGAGGCTCTTCGCAGAGCAGAGGAAGAGAGGCTCGCGACTGAGCGTAGATGGTTAGAAGGAGTTCGCCCCGAGTGTCGTCCTTCGGAGGAGGATATTGTTCGGATGAAGGCCGAGTATCTTTATAACCCAAACTTCCTCCACCTCGCGGTCGTTGGCTCTTCTGGAGCTGGGAAGTCATCCTTTATCAACGCCGTCCGCGGCTTATCCAACAACGACCCCACCGGCGCTCGTACGGGGATTGTTGAAATGACCAATGAAGTCACGAGATACCCTGATCCACGCCCAAACTCCCGAATCGTTTGGTATGACGTTCCTGGAGCTGGAACTTTAAACGTGCCTGACTGGCAGTACTTCAATGACCTGGGCCTCTACATCTTCGACTGCATCATTGTGCTCGTCGACAACCGTGTCTTGGACTCCGACCTCGCCATCCTCCACGCCTGCGAGCAGTTCAGGAACGTCGAGGCGTTCATTGTGCGCTCCAAGTCGGACCAGCACATCAACAACATGGCGCACGACAAGATGGGGCCAGGTTTCGACCTTGCTGACACGGACGACGAGACTCGTGCTCAATTTCAGCAAATGAAATCGGAAGAACGCACGAGGTTCATCAAGGAAACGCGCGAGAATGTGCAAATGAACCTCGACAAAAAGAACCTCTCTCCTAAGAAGGTCCATATCGTTTGCAAGGACGCCTTGCTTGCGACATTAAGAAACGCGCGTTCCTCGAAGGCAATTGACGAGGCAGAGCTTCTGAGTGATGTTGGAGAATGCGTGCTTAGGCGTCTGCAGTCGGGATGTTAAAGGTAGGTCAGATCGTCCTGCTCAATTGTCAATCTGATCGTTTAATGCAGTTTCTACCCGTGACTAGACCTGTACAGACAGCCCCATTGCTCTGGACACGTAATCCTGTTTTTTTTTCGTCTTTTGTTACCTTTGTTCGTCATGTGACATCCCTTCGAGAACACGTCTGTAGTTGCACATAGTATCGCATTCTCGGAAAACGTCGATTCGTTTTAAAACTCCTAGTTACATCATTTTGACAATGAAATCTGGGAACAATCCTCAGGAAGAATAGGGGTCGCAGGGGTGAGTGACAAGAGCGAACGTTGATGACAGTCGACCAGATCCTGTTAGTACTGGGTGAAATTGCATAGCAAGACGGAGAAAGAAAGAAAGGAGTCCACTTAGTACGCCAGAAGCCCTACCAGGCTCTGTATCACAGCCCATACGAACGGGACTCCGATTGATGAATTTGATCAGTATGGGCATACTACGGGCACCGAGACAAAAATGCACATGGACACATAAAAGCCGCCTACCTTGTACACACTTGCAAGTATGAAGCCGACCATAGCTGCTCCCATGACAGCACCGGCGAAACTGAGGAAACGGAAATGCAAGACTGACAAGGAGGGCAAATGTGATTCGATAACGGCGAACGTTTTCTTGTGGACGCTTGATCCATTGTTCGGTTTGGTTAGCACTGGGGGAGAGGCCAATGTGAGGTGGTGATTCGAGCGGTGTGAACATGGAATTGAAGGCAATGTAATACTTAACTTGGTACATATTCTCATTCAATACTGATGAGTTTCTCTGAGTCAACTCTTTTTTCGAAACAGGTCAGTGCGTTGGGATCCCGAGTTTCCTAAGCAGCTGGAGCCAGGGTTCGTCCTGGTTCTGGTTCGTCCATCTGCTATGATCTGGAGCTGAAATGGCAGCGTTGCTTTTGGCCAGTGATCGAGGTATATCTTGACCAAAAAAAACTGGTTTAAACCTAGTGGACTGCGGTGACTGATTGGATACATGTCGAAGCACGTTTAAGCATTAGCAAATTGATTTTAAATGTGCGCCTTTGTAAGTGTACGTTGGAAATTTGCTATCACACTACTTAGTCGCGTCACGCTCATCACGTGGCGTTCGTACCATCGATCTTTGGCTGCCTGCAGTAGGTGCATGTTCTATTCCCCCTTCATGTGCGCTCGGCGTAACACATCAGAAGCAATGTGATAACTGATGCGAATAGCTTTCTAATGACATGGAAGCTACCGGTGTCAGGTTGGATTTGTACTAACTGGCCTCGTGTTCGCCTGGCCTCCAGTGTCTGGGCGAGTATAAGACTCATAGTCATCCCGCTTACCACCTTGTGTCTGAATCGTTGTCTCTTGTCTTCCCTGCGGAGTCCCCATTACCTGGACACTGCATTCGCATTACTGCAATCCATACAGAGGTGAGTGAAGCTGGAAGCTCCGCAGTCCACAATCTCTCAATCTTAGTCTAGGTCAAGTTGCGAAACAGCCTTCGCGCCATCAAGTTCCCCTCTGTTTGTTTTCGCTTCATGGAACCTACTTTAGCAATCGTCCTAACCGCAGTCGCTATCACATGCATAGTCTCGTGGAAGAAACCAGAAGACGATGTAAATGGAACGACAGAAAGAGCGGGTAGGGAGGAAGTCGATGGGGCGAGGCGCAGGGCGAACAAGGCGGAAGACATAGCTAGACAGGCCCAGCATGAGGTCGCTTTATCATGTGTACAAGCCGAAGAAGCGGAAAGAGCCAGGCGTGCCGCGGAGGAAGCAGCAGAAAATGCGCAGAGGCGTCAGGAAGAACAGGAACGGGCAGCAGCCGAGGCTGCAGAAGCTCTTCGCAGAGCAGAGGAAGAGAACCTCGCGATCGAGCGTGACTGGTTCAAAGGAGTTCGCCCCGAGTGTCGCCCTTCGGAGGAGGATATTGTTCGGATGAAGGCCCAGGTATGGTTATAACCCAAGTTTCCTCCACCTCGCAATTGTTGGTTCGTCTGGAGGTGGGAAGTCATCCTTCATCAATGCCGTTCGCGGCTTATCCAACAACGACCCCGCTGGCGCTCGTACGGGGATTGTCGAAACTACCAATACCGTTACGAGATACCCTGATCCACAGCCCGAACTCCCGGATCATTTGGTATGACGTTCCCGGAGCAGGCACTCTAAATGTGCCTGAATGGCAGTACTTCAATGACCTTGGGCCTCTACATCTTCGACTGCATTATCGTGCTCATCGACAATCGGTTCTTGGACTCTGACCTCGCCATCCTTCGCGCCTGCGAGCGGTTCAGCAACGTTGAGGCGTTCATTGTTCGCTCCAAGTCGGACCAGCACATCAACACCATGGCATGCGACAGGATGCTAAGTAATTTCGATCTTGGTGATCCTGACATAGACGACGAGACTCGTGCTCGATTTCAGCAAATGAAATCTGAAGCACGGAAGAGGTTCATCGAGGAAACGCGCCAGAATGTGCAAACGAACCTCGAGAGCAAGAATCTCTCTCCTAAGAAGGTCCACATCATTTGCAAGGACGCCCTACTTGCGGCATTGAGTAACTCGCCCTCCTCGAAAGCAATTGACGAGGCAGAGCTTCTGAATGATGTTGGAGAATGTGTGCGTAGGCGTCTGCGGTCGGAATATTAAAAGTAGGTCAGATCGTCTCGCTCAATTGTCGATCTCATCGTTTAATGCAGTTTCTACCTGGGGCTAGGCCTGTACTGACAGCCCCATCACTCGCACAAAGTTTGGATTATGGAACACGTAATCCCGATCTTTTGTTGGGCTTGTGTTGGCTGGTTTCTTATTTATTTTCTCGTCAGATGTAACATGCCTCTCCTCCCCGACGTCTGTAGTTGCACATGGTATTGCATTCTCGAAAAATGTTCATATACATACAGCTGACTCCTATTTACACCGTTTTGACGATGAATGTAAGTCGAAAGTGTGGCTAGAACATATGACTCACGCCCCAAAGCCTGCACGATACAACTTAGCCCATCAAGGATATCAGGGCGGTGACATTGATTTCCATTGCCATGACCCATAGATCATAGCACATCGATCAAGCTCTGGCGCAAGAGTGACATCTTGTTTGGGAAGCAGTTACCTGTTGGAAAACTCCGGGGTAAGTCGATTTATTCGTTTGAGTACTTACGTACTTGAGTTAAAGTAGTCTTCCACAGTCAAATTTCATCTCCACAACATTGTTAATATGTGAAGGTATCCAACATACGGGACGCATAAAACACGATGACAATGCAGAATGTATTACATAATATATATGTAATCTATGGTCGAGACGTAGTCATTGTTCCTTAACTTTCTTTCACAGATCTACACAAGTTCGTGCTCGCATACTCCTTCTATACATCTAACCAATTTATCGCGTCTCCCACAGCTGAGCCTGCCATGGTCATATTCTACGTCGTGCTGAAAACTACGTTGTTGCATGTTACAACTTCCGACGACGCTGAGATCTGCACGGTCTTTCAGGACCTCAAATCCGGATCAGAAATAGCGCGTCAGATGTTGGGTAGAACAACGTTTGATCAATACGAGTACTATAAGCTCAAAGACTCCGTGCCACTCCCCCTCTGCTTCTCAAACCGCGCAGCGATCGTCCAGACGTGCCTGGATAGGAGGGAATGGGAAGAATTGTCTCCCTATGATGTCTTGGATGTACGAGCGTCGAATTTAGCCATTAGACATGTCTACATGGTCATCCAGCCTCGGGCGGGTGAGCTGCCAGCGTATCTGTTGATATTGATTAGCTCATCCCTCATTTGTTCAGATCCAGCAGAGACAGTTATTCGAGATCTCAAAGCAAATTATGCAGATATATTTAGTCGCCTGCAGATCACGTTATCCAGCCTGCAAAACTGGACAATGGCGGACGTCCGCAATAACTTGGCCGGTGGCGGGTGGTGGCGTCCCGACGATGTACGTGGTGATGAATTTCCCGTCGCAATCTCTGGAATAGAGGAAGCGTTGGCGCAATCCCGTACCTATAATGTGAGCACTTCTATTGCTGTATCTATAGCCCTTCCTCAGTTCTTCCCCAAGGTCCCGGCAGCCCGAGAGATCAGGGACTATCGGAATGCTCTCTCCTACACTACACAATTTAACAAGATCTTTACGTTGGCTGCGAACCAATCGGGCGAGGATTCCCACCGGGAATTCGCAACGTTTTTCAATGTCCTTCGGTGCTTTGGCGAGGACTCAGATCGCATTGAGAGCGATGGATCCTCCGCCCTGAAGGCCAGCAACTTCATTGTGTATTTTATATCACCGCCGTTCTTTGCCCGTCGCAGCCCACATTTCGAATTCAGTCAGTAAGTGGGTCAACTTGCCGTAGTTCAACTGCTTATCATGAAATTTTTCAGGGAGAAGCCTTGGGGCTTCCCCATATTCCTCGGTACTCCAGATCTGCCCGATGCTCGGTGCAAATTTCGCCCAAGGAGCGATTTCATGGTTTCGTTGCCAAAGTTTCTTTGCCCGTTCTTAATCTCCGAGGTGGTTTCGCAGGAAAAGGAGGAAGATCGATACCGAATGCTGCTCCAAGCCATCGCCGTTGCGAGGGCAGGGCAGTACTTGATTCGTGAAGGTGCACCAGTACACTTTTTCGTCGTGGCAATTTATCTACGGGCAGATTTGACTGTAGAAAGATATGTAGTTGCTAATATTGGACCGCAAAGACAGGTGTGTCATCCTGTTCGTCGTCTCGTTTCTCTCCCTCACAGAGAGGCCAGATTTCCATTGCCCAGAAAGATTTTAAACTTACCACGGCAGATGGTGCGGTCGCATTTCTTCGTGAGATGTACAACCTCGTGGCAATACTTGAGGAACTGGCCGAGCATCTTGACCAAGGCAAGGAGGGCAGCCTTAGTGAAGTCAAAGACGCTGCTTCCAAGTTACTCTCCCTCACAATGGCCAAAGAGAGGGAGCCGGTCCGGTCGGTGTTGCCCCCAATACCTGAGGGCGGTGGAAATGGCCAGGCCCAAGGTGATCTCGGCGTCTTTAGTGCTGATGATATCCAAGTTATTTTGAGAAGGATGAATTACAAGATCAACTTTATTCTTTTCGGGGTACGTGTCCTCACAACGTCCTGGAATGTGATACTAACAGATTACAACACACCTTACAGTATCTACTCATCGCGTCTGTTTCGAATGTTACTCACGAGGCCGAGAAGGGATACCTGAAGTTCGTGCAAGAAGGGCGGAAGGAAATTGAAATCTTGCAATACCTCACAGGAATCAGTTCTCCTGCAAACCATACCATATCTGGAGTCCGAATCTGGCCTGTGCGAGGCGGCAACGTCATATCGATGCCTGTGGCTGGCGGCTGGCTTACGATGCTAAACAACCCTGATGTGCACCTGTGGTCCGTAGCTAAACAGCTGTTCGAAGCCGTCGACTTCATGCACCAACACGGTGTGGCGCACATGGATCTGAAACCGCAAAACATTTTGATCCCTCGCGACGGCGGACATCTGTCTATCATCGACTTCAACACCTCCTTGCGCGTCAAGGGTGTTGGACACAAGTTCGGTGGCATCGTGGGCACAACCGGGTATATTTCCCCCGAGGTAGCTGCTGGTAATGGCCTCTACAGTGCGATCCGTGCAGACTTGTGGTCCTGTGGAAAGACATTAGAGGAGCTGTGTATCAAGTGCCACCCATCCATGGATCGCGATACGCTGCTCGAGATATCTCGACAACTTATGGATGAAGATCCGGAAAAGCGACCAACGATGTCGGATGTGTTGGGCCGGCTGGCCCGTTGTACTGTTGACGCTACCACCACACCAGATTCCCTAAGGTAATGTGCTTCTCTTGCGGCATGCATTTACTTGTTCTGGGCAGTTTCTACTCTGTTGCCCCACCGGAAGTGAATGCATGAATGCAATACCGGATGTATACCAGGTCATATTTTATTTATTTTGTAAATTGTTTGTATGGACCCAGAAGTAACTGGTAGCCGCGACTCAGTTACGGAAACCTGCTTGCAATGGTGTTGTCCATCTCGTTGATCTATATCAGATAGCCATAAGTCGTTCATGTCCATGTCGAACAGCGCCTCGAACGCAGCTGGACCATGCCTATGGGATGGGAAGACTAGGATATATGCGGAATAGCGAGATGCCTGTGTCAGAGCGCTAAATACGGCACATGCAAGACGGTACCGAAAGATCAACTAGATGTGAGTCGTCATCAAGTCTTTGTAAATACCACCTGGCACAGACAATATGTACCCATCAAGAACCACCAGTCAAGGAACATGGCCTCAAATGCACTGGCAACCCAGTTTCAAGGCCATCTAAACGAGTTCCAGATCTCCCTCGAGCCCAGCGCGCTTAATTACCTTACATCTATGCTCGCCGTCATGTCCATGTCCGATAAAGCCAAGGGCATACGAGATGCCACGGAGATGTTTCTTGAGGAGGCTGATGTGGACCCCGAGAAGATCAACCAGTTTTATGCGACCTTTGGCCAGGGATGTGTGAAGACATCTTCAGGGTTTGCATTCCGCTTTTATTCTTATTCTGAGTCTGACGCATCGATGAAGGACTTTAACGTCGGTGTCAGGGTCTACTACATCTGCGGAGAATGCTCTGCCACTAGACCCACCGAAACCTATGTCGGCTATTGAGGCCCGCCGCATGAAACGCGCGCAAAAGAAGGCCGCCGCTGTCGCCTCCCCATCGCCGTCCACAGAAACAGAGCCTAAGATAGTAGCAACAGCCCAACAAAGCCGGTTCCACCGCGAGACGCTCGTGACATCGTCCAAAGACATCGACATGCAGACTGTCAACATCACCGTCAACAACCTCGACATCCTCGTCGATGCGCATTTGCGTCTCAAGGAAGGCGTACGGTACGGTCTCGTAGGGCAGAATGGTGTCGGAAAGACGAGTCAGCTCCTTTATTTGTAATACTTCAACTTGCCTCTAAGTCGACATTGCAGTGTTGATGAAATGCATGGCGGATAATATTCTTGCTATGCCAAGCAATCTCAATATCCTCCACATCGCGCAGCTAGAGATATTTGACGAGTCCACCACCGTGTTGAACGAAGTACTCGAAGCAGACAAGGCTTGCACGAACGCTTTGCGAGAATACGAAGGTAAATCGTCTCCTCACTGTATGCGCAAATCTAAATCTATCTCCATAGTCTTACACGCAATCTTCGGAGACACACCTCAGTCCACCTCGTCAAACACTGCCCAGCTGAATATTGCTCTTCACAACATCTTCATTTCTCGAATGCAGACCCGCGTGATCGCCGCGCAGCAACTCGCACTGAAGCGCTCGGGCGCACGTGGATATGATGCCCGTCAGGCACAGGTCGCGATAGAAATCGAGTTCACTGCGCTGAAGGCCCAGGACCCCCAGGTCTACATCTCACCTGACATGGCGAACGACCTGATCACGGACGTGTTTGATAAATTCGCGTTGATTGATCTGGATGCGCGGAAAGCAAATGCGAGAAAAATCCTGCGAGGTCTTGGATTTGAGGAGGCCCAAGTCGAGGCCAGGGTACAAACCTTGAGCGGTGGATGGCGGATGCAGATTGCGCTTGCGAAAGCGCTGTTTGTGGGCCCTGACATCCTCCTGCTAGACGAACCAAGTACGTCGTTTTCCATCATAGACGTCCACCTATTCATGTGCACAGCAAACCACCTTGACCTGCCTGCGATCCTCTGGCTACAAGAATACCTGATAAACGAAACAGCGGGACTGACGTTAGTGGTCGTGTCGCACGACCGGGCGTTTCTGAACGCGGTGACGACTGAGACGATCATTCTACGGGACAAGATACTGAAATACCATGCGGGTTCATTCGCAGACTACGAGAGCACGAGTGAGGAGCAACGAGTACGGAAGCAGGGGTTGCTGGACTTACAGGCAAAGAAACGGGCGAAGATCGCAGCAAGCATCCAGCACGATGTGCAACAGGCGCGAGCGACCGGGGATGACAAACGGCTCGGGCAAGTGACGAGCCGGAAGAAGAAGCTTGAGCGCCTCGGAATGGAAAAGATGGAGGATGGAAAGCGTTTCAAAGTGTCGTACTGGGCCGGGTACCACACGGGAGTACGCGCGGAGATTGAGATTGAGAAAGCCGTAAGGACCACGGCCATCAAAATCCCAGATCCTCCTCCGTTGCGGTACCACGGGTCCGTGTTCACCGTGAAGAATGCGTCATTTCGCTATCCCACTTCGGATAAAGACGTTCTTATAGACGTCAGCCTCGATGTGGGCCCGCATGCTCGCATAGCACTGCTCGGCCCGAACGGGTGCGGGAAGACGACCCTACTGAACATGATGGTGGGTGTGACGCAGCCGACAGTCGGGGAGGTATATCGACACCCTTCGCTGCGCATCGGCTACTTCTCGCAGCATGCGGTCGACCAACTCACGCTCACACACACACCCATCGAAGAGATGCGCTCTCGACACCCAGGGCTTTCAGAACAGGAGTGCCGGGCTCACTTTGGCACTGTCGGCGTGAGTGGGAATACCGTTCTGCGGAAGATCGCAGACCTCAGTGGAGGACAGCGGAACCGCATTGCGCTTGCGATGATTCTGTACGATGCACCGCATGTGCTCGTACTTGATGAGATTACGAATCATTTGGATATGGGCACTGTGGATAGGCTGGTGGAGGCGCTGGAGGGCTTTGAGGGAGCGTTGGTGTTGGTGAGCCATGACGTGTGGTTTATGAAACAACTGATGGAGGGAGAGGACGACAACGAAGATGAAAGTGATGTGAAGGAAGAGAGGACGTTTTACGTCGTTCGGAATGGTGCTGTGAAGCGCTGGGAGAAAGATATGGATGGATATGTTGAGGCGGTCATGAAGAAGGTCAAAAAATGACAAGTACTTCTGGACGCATACATTATGTTACAGTTCCGACCTGAATCTCTGACTGACATACCGCCTGCCAACTTTTTCTTTCTTTTAGCTGCCTTATCATCCCCGATCCCGACATTGTTAGCCTTGTATTCCCTGTGAATTATAATGTTCTCCTTCTGTTGAGCGGACGAACTGGTTCGAAATCATAGATGCAGATGAGGCAACTAGGTATGAGAGTAGTACAGCAACAACATACCATTCGTCCGAACAGGTTTCTGGAGCATTTCTAAATTTCAATCAGCTTCAACTTCCAACGCAAAAACAAAAGAAGCACACCAATATTCAACACGTCCTTAAAATTCCTCCTCTCAATCGCCTCCCTCAGATCCTCCTGCAGCCTCGCATTCTGGCACAACACCTGCATCGCCATTTCCACGCGTGCGTAACTCTGATCCAAGAGATCCGGGCACGCCGTTATGATAGCTGCAAGCAGGACGGTGGTGGCATAGATAGAGCACATGGGCTCGAAGTGGCAGGCTTTGGTGTTTTTGACCACATCAAGCTCGAGGAGGCGTGTGTTGATGGATTGTAGGGTGTTTTCGCTCAGCTCGAGTTTGATGCGGGGGAGAATGGGCTGATTGCGAAGTTCGTGAGCTGACATTGTAGTGGTAAAGTTGTTGCCCCTATCTTTGGTGTGCGACTACCCCTGTGTGAAAGTCTTATGATCGTTATTGCTTGCAACCGGCACGGATCCTTCAAACGATGGTCTCATCTGTGATAAATTAGTTAGTAATACCAAGTACGAGTACATCGCGTATAGAAGATGCTTAGATATCAAGCCAGGAACCAGCAGGCGCGTAACCGAACAAACGAGCGAGTTCATATCAAGTCCATGGATATAGAAAGGACCAAAGGAATAAGAAAAAGGTGTACCACTTCATCCATCGTCCACCACCATTCCATCCCTACTTGGTGTGGTATTGTCGGGACTCTGCCTCTCCCATATGCGATCGGGTTTCCGTCGTCCCTGTTCTCCTTCGTTTAAGTCTTTCGGCACAATACGCGGCGCGTCGCATACGGTTTCTCCGTCGAGCTGGAGCTCGCTCAACGACGTTCGAGCGCTCACCTCGCCTAGCCGGAGGCCCATTCCAAGGGCATCCGAATAAGCAGCGGGCGTTACTGGTACAGAAGAACTAGCCACGGGCGTGGAAGGTATAGAAGAGAATGGCGTCGAGGGAGTGGATGAAAGGCCCGGAATAGAATTCTGCCTTCGGTGTTGTGTGAATGATGATGAAGTAGGATCAAAGGGCTCTGGATCATCGCGAGACTGCTGGCGCTGTAAGCCGACAACGCGCAGGCGCTCAACCCAACTGAGTAAACCTTCAGTTTACACAGAGAATATGAAAAAGAGCGTGACGTACGCATCAGCACGGTCGAGACTGTCCTTCACAACACCAGTAACCCCACGCATCATGTCCAGACTTTCTGTGGCGAGCGCCAACACATGCTGCGCAGCCTGGGTGGCGGCACCGGTGGTTGGCCGTTGGCTCATCCCAAAGCCTGCGCGTGCGGAAGCCAAAGGTGATGATGCACGAGATGATACAGGTGTACCTGCTCGGGAGCGATCGGGGCCACCAGCCTTGCGTTCTTTGTGCCTAGTAGTCCGTCCACGTCTCCCAGATCCAGCGCCGCCAGTAGCGGCGCCAACGGCGGAGCAAGCACCCGGTGCCCCGTCCGCCATACCGGGAGCTGGATTAATGCTTGCACTTGCCCAGCGCTGAGGTAGATGTAAAATAAAGCTCCTGACACGTGACCGTGCAGGCTCTGGGAGTGCACTGCCGGCATACTTGCTTACGACATCAACCACTTGACGGATGGTTTGCACGACATCACGACGGACGTCGGTCAACGTCCGCATGTGCGTGGGTGAGATAAGGGAATCGGTGCCGGATGAAGTGCCGGATGGTTGTAGGGATGTGATAAAATCTCTGAGAATGAGGATCTGGGCATCGATATGCAATGTGGCGTACTGGTGGGAAATCACATGCGTATGAAATCTGAAGGAAGGACAAAGGACAAACCTGGAGCCATTGAAGACAGTATTTGAGACGCCGCATACTTTCTTCGCTTACAGCAGCACTGATCCCTCCTGCTTCTAGGAGGACAGCTTGCCAGCGGCTCCTTTGGACGACTGCTTGCTGACCTTGAAATTCAGGAGGTTCGGTAATTTGATTTGGTGAAACTGGACTTTTGTTGTCGTTTGGAGTAGGAGGATGGGAGGATGGACTACTGGCTGTAGTGACGCATGAGACAAT